TAAGCATCATAGAGCCTTCAATTATTGACCAATATCAGTTATTTTGTGAACAATATTTTTTTTCTCCAAGTAAACTTTCCTTCCTAATTTCAAAATTTGGGGTCATTGGGAGTCAAGGTCACATGAGCTAGATTTATATCTTTATACTTACTTTTCTTCATAAAGCCTTATTAACATCTTGGGAAGGTTTTCTAAAGGTATCTTGGATGGATTTTACCCTCTGGTTGCATCTGGGATGACTTTTTTAGATATTGGATTTATGTTGATAAAGGTTTTAATTGTAGTTTTCAAGGCCAGCTCTTGTTGCATGAGGTCATTCAGCAGCTGTAAATCTTCAAAAAGTAAGTACTTCCAATGATTTGCAATAAATTGTGTGAGACAATATAATAATATACATTGTAGACCGACTTTTATAAAAAGAATATTAATTGTACATTGAAGATTTGAATGTGTAGTTGTGAGTGCTTTTTTCCAATAAAGTGTGTAAAGATAAAATTGTTTTTATTATCTCTTTAAAATCTTGACATATGATCCACTGTTAATGTTTAATTAAGCAACAAAAAAGGGTGACATAATAATGATGGTCAATACTGGTAACAAGAGCTGTCGGTAGGACAGCAACGCTCAACTATTCTTAGTGCTTGATAGTAAAAAAGCCTTGATGAAAAGGTAAAATTTTCTCAGTAAAAAAAGGCAAATTTTTTCTTTAAATCCATATAACAGTTATAGGCCTTGGAGAGAGTCCTATTCTGCTCTCAAGAAGAGTAAAAACAAGAGGGCCATGATGGCCCTGAGGTCGCTCACCTGTATATAGGCCCCCGGAGCGGGGCCAGTTTAAACCCCAGGGCTTTTATTTGAACAAACTTTGGAAGACACTCATTAGAAGATGTTTCACAATGTTAAGTTTTTTACTACACACATGTAATGAAAAACAATGTTCTCACCCCCCCCCCCCCCTTCGCAGGGCCAATTTTCACCCCAAGGGCTTTTATTTGAACAAACTTGGTAGACATCCATAAGAAGATATTTCATGCTAAACATCTAAGCTCTAGCTCATTGGGTTTTTTATAAGAAGATTTTTAAGTTTTTACTACACAACATATAGTTAAAAAACAATGACACCCCTGGGGAGGGGCCCCAGTTTTGACCCAGGGCTTTTATTTGAACAAACTTTGTAGACACTTACTAGAAATGTTTTTCATGCTTAATATCTAAACTCTAGCTATTTGGGTTTTTTCAAAGAAGATTTTTTAAGTTTTTACTATATGCATATAGGCAAAATCAATGACCCCAGGGGCGGGGCCAATTTTGACCCCAGGGCTATTATTTGAACAAACTTTGTAGACACTCACAAGAGGATGTTTCATGCTTAATATCTAAACTCTAGCTATTTGTTTTTTTCAAAGAAGATTTATTTAAGTTTTTGCTATACACATATAAGGAAAATCAATGAGCCCCCCCCCCCCCCGGGCCGGGGCCAATTTTGACCCCAGGGCTTTTATTTGAACAAACTTGGTAGACAACCCATTAGAAGATGTTTCATGCTGAATATCTTAGCTCTAGCTCTTTGAGTTCTTTAAAAGAAGATTTTTTAAGTTTTTACTATATGCATATAGGGGAAAATCAATGACCCGCTGGGGCGGGCCAATTTTGACGCCCCAGGGCTTTTATTTGAACAAACTTGGTATGACACTCATTAGAAGATGTTTCATGCTGAATATCTTAGCTCTAGCTCTTTGGGTTCTTTAAAAGAAGATTTTTTTAAGATTTTACTCATATGCATATAGGAAAATCAATGACCCCCTGGGGGCGGGGCCAATTTTGACCCAGGAATTTTATTGAACAAACTTTGGTAGACACTCACTAGAAGATGTTTCATGCCAAATATCTAAGCTCTAGCTCTTAGGGTTTTTTAAAAGAAGATATTTAAAGTTTTTTCTTTCGGTTGCCATGGCAACCAGAGTTCTGCATAGAATTAAATTCTTTGAACAATTTTTAAAGGTGACCACCAAAGGAACATTCCTGTGAAGTTTTGATGAAATTGGCTTAGTGGTTTAGATGTCATTTAAAGTAAAAGTTTACGGACGGACGGATGGACGACGGACGGACGCCGGACGAAAAGCGATCACAAAAGCTCACCCTGTCACTTTGTGACAGGTGAGCTAAAAATTCAACATGTTTCAAAGCCTTTTGTCAATGAACTTTGAAAAAACTTTAATGAAAATTCCAAGTCGAAAAAGGGGCATAATTCTGTCAAAATGCTTGATAGAGTTACCTCCTCCTGTTTACAGGTTGGGGTCATGATGGTCAACAAGTACATTGCAAAGTTTTAAGGCCGCTACTGTCAATGGACTATTTAAATATTTGAGGTATTACAAAAACTGTTAACGTAAATTCTAAGTCGAAAAAGGCGGCATTATTCTGTCAAAATGCTTGCTAAAGTTACCTCCTCCTGTTTACAGGTTGCGGGTCATGATGTGTGAACAAGTGTGCAAAAAATTCAAAGCCATAATGTCAATGGACTTTGAAAATATTTGAGATATTACCAAAAACTTTAACGAAATTCTTATTGAAAAAGGGCATAATTCTGTCAAAAATGCTGATCAGAGTTACCTCCTCCTGTCTACAGCCGTTGGGTCCATTGTTTGTTCAAAACAGTGTGCAAAGTTTCAAAGCCATATGTTCATGGACTTTGAAAATATTCGAGGTATTACAAAAACTTTAACGTAAATGTCTAAGTCGAAGAAAGGGCCATAATTCTGTTCAAAATGCTTGATAGAGTACCTCCTCCTTTGTTCTAACAGGTTGGGTAATGCATGCGTGCGAACAAGTGTGCAAGTTTCAAGCCATTATGTCAATGGACTTTGAAAATATTTAAACTATTACAAAAACTTTAACATAAGGCCATCCTTAAAAAAATGTTTGTTTGCAGTAAGGCGACCGACCCACAAATTTTGCCTCACTCAAATTTTTTTTTCATGGTCTAGATAAAAAAAAATTTTTTGAATCCGAAAATTATGCCTTGTGCTTTGTTTTCGTTCTTTTAAAGGTTAATAGAAGAAATAAAATGTAGTTCTTATTTAATTAGAATTCAGTTATCAATTTATTAATTATTACCAGATTATCAAAGCATTTTGAAATTCCATGTTTATTTGGGAGTACAGTTCAGTAATAAAAAAAAAAATCGACCTACCTACCCACCTTGAAAATTCTGGGTCGGGTTACTGCAAACAAACATTTTTTTAAGGATGGCCTAAGTGGTTACGCCGACGCCGACGCTCGGGTGACTACAATAGCTCTACTTATTCTTATCGAATAGTCGAGCTAAAAATGAGTATTTCTAAAGCAGAAACTGCTGGACTTGGATAATGGTTTTGGGAGTCTTTGATTTTCAAAATACAAACAGGTCGTGTTAAATATACATGATGGTATAAAAACACTATAATTGTATTGATTTTACAGTTCACCAGTCTAGCTTAAACTCATTCAAATTACACCAAAAATAACACAAGAAACAACTGTAGTGTCATTTTGTTTATTGGTAACAGATAACATAGCAATATTTACAATTTGTGCCATTGTTTTGATGACATTACATTTAACAAGCAATTATCATAGTATTGCAAGCAATCCATAAGTCCCCTACCGGTATGAGCCCAAGCAACATTCTGAAGGGCCATTGGCCATTCACTTATGTTCCTATTTTAAGTAAATTTGTTAAAAAAGTTATTTAAAAGTAATCACAGGAAACAGTTTTTATGTACAGACAGACAGACTGAAGGACACTCTAAAGTTATTTTTTAAACATCCCTGTTTATCAAAATATATCATTTTTTAAAATCCTATCATGATTGAAGAAGTTGGAGTAAAAATTACCAATTTTCTCAAAAAAAAAGTCTAAGTCCAAAAGGGGCATAATTCTGGAAATAGTTTTGCTAGAGTATTGAACACTCACAAATGTTGAGTGATAATAAGAAACATTTATATGAAGTTTGAAGTAGATACATTCAAAAAAAGAAGTTATTAAAAAAACAATGTTTTTTTCATGAAAATTTTAAGTTCAAGGGAGGTAATTCTGATAAAATTTTGTGCTAGAGTTGTAAACCTTGTCACATATGATGTGGTTGATGACAAGCAACTTATATTTAAAGTTTGAAGAAAATACCTTAAGAAATAAAGAACTTACAGTGAAAAAAACTTAAAAACTAGAATCAGAAATCTTGAAATTCAGTCTATTTGTTGCCATAGCAACCAGAATTTTCAACATAGGAAGATAAGAAAAGGATGTGCATAATTTCCATACTGCCATCTACCCATATGTCAAGTTTCATAAACATATTTTCAGTACTTTTTGTGTTATCACTGGATCCAGGTTATGTGTAAAATTTGCCATATTTTCAGTCTATTTGTTGCCATAGCAACCAGAATTTTCATAATAGGAAGAAAAGAAAAAGGATGTGCATAATCTACATACTGCCATCTATTCCATATATCAAGTTTCATAAAAATATTTTCAGTACTTTTTTTGCGTTATCGCGGGATCCAGGTTATGTATATAATTTGCCATATTTTCAGTCTATTTGTTGCCATAGCAACCAGAATTTTTAACATAGGAAGAAAAGAAAAAGACGTGCATAATCTCCATAGTGCCATCTATCCATATATCAAGTTTCATTAAAATATTTTCAGTACTTTTTGCGTTATCGCGGGATCCAGTTTTGTGGACGGACGGACTGACGGACGGACAGACGGACGTACCAACTTTTGATATTTAAGAGGTAAGTCAGCTCATAAACTACACCTGGACCAAAGTCCATAAGCAAAATCAGCTCATAAAATCAAAAAAATAGCTCTTAATTTGAATTTTATGAGCTTTTGTTCTTTATTTAACTACGGAATGAAGCTCATAAATATCAAATGTTTGCTCGGACAGACAGACAGACAGACGGACGGAGGGTAAACCTAAAGTCCCCTCCGGTAAACCGGTAGGGGACTAAAAACACATTTTCAATTCTTTAAAGTAATATTTCTGTACAACAAACCCTTTTCATATATACAATAATAGAGGTTTAACTACATCATGTGACTATATCCTTGTAGATTTAAAAGTCATAATATTTCAAGTAACAAAGCTCTTTTAAAGTGACATTACGCTCATTTTTTCATCATCAAGTTGAACTTAATTGATCATATATCTGCTATTAGTGTCACTGACCAATAGCTGATCTTGGAAAATGTTTAGGATAAAATTTAAATCTGCCTTAAATGTAAAAAGATTGCCCCACTCTTAATAAACTGAATGTTACAGGTAAATTCCGATGGATATTTACTGGATATTTACTGTTTCCTTGGGCCATGCAAGTTATTTATCGTTTATGCAAAGTATACATAAAGTAAATTATGAAATTGAAAGGAAACATGGCAAAATGAAAACTTATTATGAATTTCATTCTGTTAACTCATTTTATTATATCCTTGAATTGTGAATGTTAGTTGATGCAAAATAACACAAATCTCACAAAATAAAATACCACTTGATGTTTGAAATAGTATGTTCTTTTCAGAATTAAAATAACATGTTTATTTCTAACCATAAAATAACATTTTATTTATAACCATAAAATTACATGTTTATATTTAACCATAAATTAACACGTTTATTTCTAAGCAAAATAAAATATGTTTATTTAAGCACCTTAAAATGACATGTTAATTTGAAGCATAAAATGTTTATTTCTACAAGTCAAGTAAGTATAAACATGTTAATTTCCAAGGGTAACATGTTTCTAAGCGTAAAATAGAGCCAACTTAAATATACATGTAACAATAATATTTACATTTAATAAAATAAAAAGAAAAAAGTGACAATGAAGGTGGACTAAATAGTAAAGGTGGAATAATGGCATATGTAAATGGACTAGAAAAAAAGAAAGAATAGTTTGATTTCAAAACAGCACACTGCACCAAATTAGAGTTGCTGGATGATTATATTAATGTATGAGTAAACCAAATTTGTCTCGAAACAAATAAAATACAATGTTTGGTATCTGTGCTTCAATTAAAATAATGGATTGCACAGCAAATACACATATACTGTACTTCCATAAAATACAGTACAATATAAAATGTCACATACGAGAAACAGTGTTGTTTTATTCATTTGGTTGGATTTTACGTAGCTTCAACACTGCTAACATCATACAGCATTTTTCCAGCTTTACATAAGTGGAAGAAAACCTCTCAGGTGCTTGATGCTGCATTATTTCAGGCACAAATTGGCACCTGAATAGAACCATCAATGTTCAATAAGCTAGCTTCCTCACATGAAAGAAAGGGATTTGTGTAATTTAAACCAAGAGAAAAAAGGAGCAAGTGATTTAGAGTCAAGGGCAGCAAACACCACCGAAGAAACATTACAAACAATTCATGATAATATTATGCTTTCAATTGGAAATACACATTTAATACAATGCACTTCTATGAATCTAAAAGTAACACTATACACAAATTTCTTTACAGCAAAAAAAATACACTTAAAGTACATTTTCACAAACATGCATTATTTAACTTCTCTGAGAAAAACATGGATCAGTTCAGCAGTATTTTCAGAAATTCTTCACTGCTTATAAAATATTACCACTAGGGTAAATGACTTGAAATGCCAAACAAAATTCTGATACAAAATACATTTTGCTTGTTATACAAAAAAACCAAACATGTATTGCTAAAACTGATGTCTCCACTTTAACACACATGATTGTGATCCTGATGCCATCTTTTGGTTCACAAAATGTCTAAACAAAATAAACATACATTTTTAATATTGCTACATTTTCATTGCATGCCCACTCTTAACTTTCATTACACATCATGTGACCATATCTTAGCCAATCACAAAGATTCATTACATAAGCATCACATTTGTTCACTTACACATGGATAAATACAAGAAAACATTAACTTTGCTTACAAAATGGAAGGCTCAGGATTTACTAAATTTCACAAAATTTATGTCTACATGCCACATAGAAAAACACAACATTAAATGATTGCACAACAGAAAAAAAAACAGAAGTCCTTCTGGAGAATTTACAGTCTGAACATGTAGTTTTCAAAAATTCTAAATAATATAAATTCAAAATAATATAATATTCATTCTACAACAGTAAAAACAACTAAAAGTCGGAAATAGATATCTAGATGAAAGGTTAAGGGTTCAGTAAACATTTAAAGTACCAGTAACTTGATAACTTTAAAGATCAAGTGTATTATATAATGATGCTTTACAGCTCACAAACAATTTTTTCATGGCATTGTTGGTTTTGCTTTCTTATTTAACCATGTACATGTAGTTTGAAAAAGATCAGTAATAAAAATCTTAAGAATTCAAATATTTCTTGACAAAAATAGATTGCATACAAAATATATATCTGCACTGTTTATATAGATACTGTAACTTAAGTTTATATCTAGATTTCAATAAAATCCATGCATGTACACGAGATTTATATTACAATATAAAAAGTCAAATAATTCACCCTTTCCCATTTGGAACTGAAAGTTAGTAGCCTTTGCCACCAGTATAGAGCCAGGCCAGCGCTCACATTCCTGCCCTCTGACCAGGCTCTATACTAATGGCTAACCAACTTCATATTTTCATCCCGATACCTCCAAAATTCATAATGGAAATTTCCAAAAATAGAAACTGGACAAGTCCCTTCAGCAGATTAAAGGTTATACAATTTAAAAATTGCATTGATAGGAATGTCATGTATAATTTATTACTGTATGTACAAAAATATATCAGTTTTATAACTTCTCAGACAGTTTTACATAGAATATATAACTTTATACAAATAAAGGAGAAAAGAATAAACTTTGAAAGCTGCCACTAAGGATCTCTGCTTAATAGGTTCTTCTGTTAAATTTTGAAAACTATAAACAAAAATTAAAAAAAAAAAACAACATAAAATAGATTCAACAACAGACTTAAAACATAAAACATTATTTTCACCAATGTGTATTATTAAAGTTTATTGACCTCATGCAGTCTTTTTAAACTACAATATATTTACACAGAACAACAAACCTATAGAAGATACATGTAATACACAAGATTTAACATGAACTACATGCATTTTGTGATATCCCTATGAATTTGAATTTCCCTCATCAAGCTAGTATAATGGTGAGATATCAATGTTTACTAAAAGTTTATAAACACTACAAGTGACATATATATACAAAATTACATATATACATGACGTGACAACATAATGACCATCTACTCGCTTATATGAGCCACGTCATGACAAAACCAACATAATGGGTTTGCGGCCAGCATGGTTCAAGACCAGTCTGCGCATTCGCGCAGACTGATCAGGATCCATGCTGTTCGCTATCAGTTTCTCTACTTGTAATAGAGTTGGTAAGTGAACAGCATGGATCCTGATCAGACTGTGTGGATGCGCAGGCTGGTCTGGATCCATGCTGGTCGCAAACCCATTATGTTGGTTTTGTCATGGCGCGGCTCAATTATATTTTTGTTATACACAATCACAGAACATGGAATTCACCACAGTTAGTATTTAAAAAATCACAGCCCTTGAACTTTTATATTAGCAATATAACTAAGAACACAATAGTTTCACTGTAATCTTGCACATATCTGACTAAATAGTGTAACCACTAATTTTCAATAACTATGTACATTTTCATATTATACATATCAAAAGTAAGTATCTGCTGGAATGCTCATTTTTCTGTTTATTTTTAGAAATAATACTATTGAAATACAAGACAATTTATATATATTGCCATTAATAAAGAAAACTGCCCTGCCATTATTAAGAAAACTGCCCTGCCATTATTAAAAACCTGCCATTATAATTTGTTGTGAATGCACTTCTGAAATAAAACTGTGATCCTTGTATATATACTGAATGAACATAGTTATCAAAAATCAATGAACACATTATTGACTCATCCAAGTATCTTGTACAACAATCTAATATTAAATCTATCTACTTATGTCCTAACTTTATACAACATTTTAGAATTTTTTTCAACACTAACTGCACCTGGTACTATATTTACTGGAGATATTTTACATATTTTGTAGCTAATAAGCTAATTGAACCTAGAAACACAAAACCTTATTTATATTACAAATCTAATGATGCGATGCTTATTGTTTAAACTCAGAAATTCAATGTAGATTTTGATGAGGTGTTGCTTTGGCAAAATAAACAAAATAAAAATTGGCTATGCAAAAAAGATATAAGTAAAAATTTCTGTAAATGTATGTTTAGTTTTCTTATATCACAACAAATATTCCCTCTCAGGACTGTGTATGCTATGATTCAAAATTGTTCCTCCACATTGTTAATTGTTTTCTCATTCAACATGGGTAAAAAGAATCAAGGACCAATCTGGAATGAATGCAAAAAATATATTTCAAGTATGTTTCATAAACATATCCATAGCCAAGTAGAGAATTATACCACTCAAAACAACTGATAATTTATGTGCTGTTTTACATATACACGTGTACATGTATTATTTCTTCTTTCTAATTGCCCCCGTTTCTTGCATTCTACAGGCTACTTTGCATTGATAAATGATAACAAATAAATCATTATAAATAATGATACACCGAGTCATGGATTAATGTTATGTTACACATTTGTATATGTAACACATACTGGTATAATATAATGTTATACATTTCTATATGTAACACATGTCTAAAACTGTTCGTCCTCGTCCTGCACCACTGATAAACTCATCTTCTTCTCATCAAATAAATTCTTCGCATAGTTGATGTGCTGAGCAACCTATATATATATAGAAAAATAAGAACATTTATCTACAAAAATGCTAGAACCCAAATTTAAAAGGGGAACATTTACCCCGAAACAAAATAATGAAAAAGCTAATTGCCCTTTCAAAAAATACTGTCCTTTTTTTATTTCCCGCAAAACTCCTCTAATTTTAATTTTTGAAATTGAGATAAAATTTTTTTAAGGAAATTTATAATTTTTCTTGTACAACCCCTTTTTCTTTCCCCTTTTTTAGTCTTTATCCAATTAAAACCTTGGCACACACCTTTTTACAAATTCTCTATTTTATTTCATTTTTTTTATTTTGTCACTTTTTAAATGAAAATTTAAAAACTCAGTTTCTAATGCCCTTTTAATATCTCCCGTCCACATTTTCTCCCCCAAATCACCAAACATAAAAATAAGCTTTAAAAACATTAAAAAAAACGTAATACAAAAGTTTATTATTTTAAGGAAAAAAGAGCAGAAGGGAGAATTTTATACCCTGTATTTTTAAAAGAGACGTATAGTAAATTTTTAATTTTCCTTTTGTGCAGTGCTTTTCGTTACACATCTTATTTGTGGTTTTTTGTTACTGGAGTGTCTAATACTACTAATGTAGATTTCTACATAAAACCTCCCATCTGAAAAATCAACACAATTTTAAACCTTTATCTGATGCAAATATACTGGTTAATGTGAACAATTAAAGGAGGACAAAAAGACCATCTAGGTCACTGTAGGAAATGACAACTTATCTAGTCTCTCCTTAGTAGCGTTATGGAATACATGGACCAAGTACGTATTTTTACTATTGGGCATGGCCAAGAAGTTAATGGGTAGGACAAGTAATTAAATATTTGTTAACTGCCAGGGTTTAACCCACATCAGGGTCAAGAAGTTGTTTCCTTAACAAACTTTGCACCCGTTGCTTATACTGGTTGGTTCCAGGAACATGTTCGAAAGTATGTCTTAAGCTTATAGCTTGCTACATAATCAAACTAAAGGCTATTGAATAGCCGAAATGTAGGTCTTTAATAAAATTATAGAAACCTGACCCACTTTGTTTCGTGTGTTTCACTTTCCTTATTCTTTTTATCAAAATAAATTCTGTATTAAACTGTTTTAATATTTCAAAGGTACAGCGTATTTCAAATCATGAAGCATTTTTTTAAAATACGAACCCCACCACCCCCGCAAAAAAAAAAAAAAAAAAAAAAAAAACAACAACAAAAAACAAGAGGGCCATGATGGCCCTGAGGTCGCTCACCTGTATATAGCCCCCCCCCCCCCCCCCCCCGGCCCAATTTTTACCCAATAGCTTTTATTTGTTTATTTGAACAGACTTGGTAGACACCCATAGGAAGTTGTTTCATGCAAAACATCTAAGTTCTAGCTGATTGGGTTTTTTAAAAGAAGATTTTTTAAGTTTTTACTATACACATATAGTTAAAAACAATGACACCCCTCGGGCAGGGCCAGTTTTGACCCCTGGGCTTTTATTTGAACAAACTTTGTAGATATTTACTTAAAGATGTTTCATGCTTAATATCTAAACTCTAGTTATTTGGGTTTTTTCAAAGAAGATTTTTAAGTTTTTGCTATGTATATAAGGAATATCAATGACCCCCGGGGCGGGGCCAGTTTTGACCCCAGGGCTTTTATTTGAACAAACTTGGTAGACACCCATTAGAACATGTCTCATGCTAAATATTTTAGCTCTAGCTCTTTGGGTTCTTTAAAAGAAGATTTTATAAGTTTTTACTTTATGCATATAAGGAATATCAATGACCCCCTGGGGCGGGGCCAATTTTGACCCCAGGGCTTTTATTTGAACAAACTTGGTAGACATTCACCAGAAGATGTTTCATGCCAAATATCTAAGCTCTAGCTCTTACGATTCTTTAAAAGAAGATTTTTTAAGTTTTTACTTTATGCATATAGGGAAAATCAATGACCCCCTGGGGCGGGGCCAATTTGGACCCCAGGGCTTTTATTTGAACAAACTTGGTAGACATTCACCAGAAGATGTTTCATGCCAAATATCTAAGCTCTAGCTCTTACAGTTCTTTAAAAGAAGATTTTTTTAAGTTTTTACTATATGCATATAGGGAAAATCAATGACCCCCTGGGGCGGGGCCAATTTTGACCCCAGGGCTTTTATTTGAACAAACTTGGTAGACATTTACTAGAAGATGTTTTATGCCAAATATCTAAGCTCTAGCTCTTACGGTTCTTTAAAAGAAGATTTTTTAAGTTTTTACTATATGCATATAGGGAAAATCAATTACCCCCAGGGTGGGGCCAATTTTGACCCCAGGGCTTTTATTTGAACAAACTTGGTAGACATTCACTAGAAGATGTTTCATGCCAAATATCTAAGCTCTAGCTCTTTGGGTTCTTTAAAAGAAGATTTTTTAATTTTTTACTTTATGCATATAGGGAAAATCAATGACCCCCTGGGGCGGGGCCAATTTTGACCCCAGGGCTTTTATTTGAACAAACTTGGTAGACATTCACTAGAAGATGTTTCATGCCAAATATCTAAGCTCTAGCTCTTACAGTTTCTTTAAAAGAAGATTTTTTAAGTGTTTACTATATGCATATAGGGAAAATCAATGACCCCCTGGGGCGGGGCCAATTTTGACCCCAGGGCTTTTATTTGAACAAACTTGGTAGACACTCACTAGAAGATGTTCCATGCCAAATATCTTAGCTCTAGCTCTTACAGTTCTTTAAAAGAAGATTTTTTAAGTTTTTACTATATGCATATAGGGAAAATCAATGACCCCCCGGGACGGGGCCAATTTTGACCCCCAGGGCTTTTATTTGAACAAACTTGGTAGACACTCATTAGAAGATGTTTCATGCCAAATATCTAAGCTCTAACTCTTAGGGTTGTTTAAAAGAAGATATTTAAAGATTTTTCTTTCGGTTGCCATGGCAACCACAGTTCTGCATGGAATTAAATTCTTTGAACAATTTTTAAAGGTGACCACCAAAGGAACATTCCTGTGAAGTTTGGATGAAATTGGCTCAGTGGTTTATGAGGAGATGTCTTTTAAAGCAAAGTTTACAGACGGACGACGGACGGACGGACGGACGCCGGACGAAAAGCGATCACAAAAGCTCACCCTGTCACTTTGTGACAGGTGAGCTAAAAACATTAAATTTTGAACTTTCACACACTTTATCACACTTTAATCAAAACTTTTTAGATTTACCTTTTTCAAAGTTTTTACACTGAGTGTAATCACTATGTTTAATGTTAAGGATGATATTTTCTTTATGATGATCTAGATTTTTCAGGAAGAAAACTTGATGACTTGTAATCATTACATATAATGTATCAGTCTCCCCTCCACGTACCAAATCTGTCGCAATAAACCTGAAAATATTAAGACACTGATTATAATGTGAATAGACACAGCAAATTGTTAACATACCAGGTTTTATCCCAATATTTCATTTGTGAAAGAAAAGCAGTATCCCAATATTTCATTTGTGAAAGAAAAGCAGTAAGAGCCATAAATTCACCAATTAGTAAATAGATTTATCATAAACTCTGACAAGCTAACATCTAGCGTCACAATAGTTCTATTGAAGTTTAGTTGAAATCCCCTGAGAAATGTTAAATTTGTGCATATAAGATGTTTTATGCCTCTATATTCACTTAATTAATAACCAGATTCTTCCTTCAGTAAAAATTATGTCATATTCAATTGTTAGTTTGCTGAGCAATATGTGAAATATTCGAAATATAGGTTTTTGTTTCTAAATATAAAGTATTTAAAATCCTGAAATACTTAAAAGCATCATATATAATACAATATAAACTTACACTTCATCATAGCAATGATCATTCAGTCTGTATAACAAAGTCTGAGACTCTGCCTGTGGTAATGAGTAGGACGGCAGAAGACCTCCAGTGCCATGGCAACACCGAGGGTTGCGCACACGACCTGGCTGCATGTGTGAGGACCGTCGACTTGCATCACGGACAGCGTTAGACATTCCCGAAGCAAAGTCCAATACTCCAGCGACAGGTTTTGTTACCATTCCTGTAACACCTTGGTATAAACCCTTTCCAAATCCCTAGAAATATTAAAACTGTCATTACAAAGCCATATAGTTTTCACAATTCTGTCAAGGAAATACTCATTATTCCAGTACTTACACTTTTCAACAATTATCTCAATACATTTATTCTTCAGATTTTAAATAAGGTAGAGATTTTTGGTTAAGGTTTCTTTTCATTTTCAGTTTTAAGTACATACTTTGGTTATAAGTAAGTTTAAATGATTAAAAAGACAAACAACAGAACTGTATGGAAATTTTACATGAATCACAAAATGTATATGCACCTCGATGCCACCTTCAGCTGCCCCTTCAAAAGGTTTGACTATACTCTTCACTCCCCCATACAGTCCATGCCCTAAACCTCTGAGCCCGGACATAAACTGACTACCACTAGATGTAGCACTACTTCTAATCTGTTGTCTCTTTGTATTGTGTTTACTGTCCATGTGTACTGTACTCAATCCTTCTGATAATGCTCCTGTCACCTGAATTAAACATGAACATGCTGAATTTGTATAATGGATTTGTCCTTTGACTTTGGAACAGTCCAATAGGAAGTCTAGGGATTTAGATATCGAAATACAAAAATAGAGCTATCAACTGTCAAGAGCCTGGTCAGACTGCACAAAAATGCTAGCTGGCCCAGCTCTATACTGGTCACTTTTGGCTCCTATTACCTTTCTTAAAGGGTAATTATAACAATCATTACAAATGCTGCAATACATATTGAATTATCAACCAATTTAAACTGTGAAAATACATGTATAATCAGAATAAAATTAATCATATTAAGAAATAATAGAAGCCAACATTTTTATGTACACTGTTGAAGAATTTCCCCCTCTATTTTACAAACAATTCAACAAACATGCAGTCTAACAACATGTTGGTCTAATAGTGACCATTTATAGAAAACTATGAGAATCTTTCAGTCCATGTGATTAAAGTTCCTCACCTGAAGGTGAAGAACTAATCTATTATCATCTTTAATTACATTATATTATAAACTAGGATATAAATGTAAATTCTTTATCTAAGAAAAGCTATCCAGCTAAGAATAGTTTAAACTGTCACTTTAGTACTTAGTTGTTATGCCAGAACTGAAGTGCCGGTATATATATTGCATGATTTCAAAGAAATTTATATATTGTAATATATGTGTACCATCTTGAGAATTTCCCATCAGATTAAGTTGGATATTTTATAACATGCTTTCTATTTGATAGTTTAAAACATCAAGTCAATAAAATCTTTAAATTATTAAAAAAGTTGTAAATTTACTTTAGCAGTAGAGTTGGAGAATCCATGAAAGATGCCTTTAGCAAGTCCGCCAACATTTCCCTCCTCTATTAGACCTGATAAGCCCTCGGCCACATCATTCACAAGACCTAACGGATTACCTAGGAAGTCTACAGAACCAAGGATCTTTATAGCCTGTCCTGTCAATTCCTAAATAAAAATTAGTATCAATATTAGATTTGTAAATTGTTAATCTGGAGATTATTTAAATGCATTTAATATGTTTTTGTTTTATAATAAACAAGCAATTATCATAGTATTGCAAGCAATCCACAAGTCCCCTACCGGTTAGAACCCCATCAACATTCTGAAGGGCCATTCACTAATGTTTCAAGTTTTCTCTATTTTAAGTAATTTGTTGGAAAAGTTCTTTAAAAGTGATCACAGGAAACAGTTTTTATGAACAGACAGACAGACGGACTGAAGGACACTCTAAAGTTAATATTTGAAACATCCCTGTTACCAAAATATAACATTTTAAAAGCAAAATTCTTAAACAGGAGATAACTCTTGAATTAAAGATGCAATTTCATAAAAAAATTTCAGCTCTTTTTGACTAATCACAAATATTGTTATATTTGCCATGATTTAAGCCTATTTGTTGCCAAGGCAACTGATATTTTTTCAAAATAGGAAGAACAGATAACACATGCATAATCTCAAGACCGCCATCTACCCATATGTCAAGTTTCATAAAAATATTTTCAGTACTTTTTGAGTTATCACTGGATTCAGTTTATGTGTAAAATTTGCCATATTTTCAGTCTATGTGTTGCCATAGCAACCAGAATTTTCAACATAGGAAGAAAAGAAAAAGACGTGCATAATCTCAAGACTGCCATCTACCCATATGTCAAGTTTCATAAAAATATTTCCAGTACTTTTTGCTTTATCACTGGATCCAGTTTATGTGTAAAATTTGCCATATTTTCAGCCTATTTGTTGCCATAGCAACCAGAATTTTCAACATAGGAAGAAAAGAAAAAGACGTGCATAATCTCAAGACTGCCATCTACCCATATGTCAAGTTTCATAAAAATATTTCCAGTACTTTTTGCGTTATCACTGGATCCAGTTTATGTGTAAAATTTGCCATATTTTCAGCCTATTTGTTGCCATAGCAACCAGAATTTTCAACATAGGAAGAAAAGAAAAAGACGTGCATAATCTCCATACTGCCATCTATCCATATACCAAGTTTCATAAAAATATTTTCAGTACTTTTTGCTTTATCACTGGATCCAGTTTATGTGTAAAATTTGCCATATTTTCAGCCTATTTGTTGCCATAGCAACCAGAATTTTCAACATAGGAAGAAAAGAAAAAGACGTGCATAATCTCAAGACTGCCATCTACCCATATGTCAAGTTTCATAAAAATATTTCCAGTACTTTTTGCGTTATCACTGGATCCAGTTTATGTGTAAAATTTGCCATATTTTCAGCCTATTTGTTGCCATAGCAACCAGAATTTTCAACATAGGAAGAAAAGAAAAAGACGTGCATAATCTCCATACTGCCATCTATCCATATACCAAGTTTCATAAAAATATTTTCAGTACTTTTCAAGTTATCGCGGGATCCAGTTTTGTGGACGGACGGACTGACAGACGGACAGACGGACGGACGGACGGACGGACGGACAGACGGACGGAGGGTAAACCTAAAGTCCCCTCCGGTAAACCGATAGGGGACTAATAAATTTGTATGATATTTGAATATAGTTTGTTTTCTATATCTATTTGATGTCTACATTAAATACTATTGAAGTATTCAAAATATCAATAAAAAATTGTATGACTAATTCATTAAATGGGCAATAAATGTATATCAAGGAATTATAGATTTTCATTGAAAGAAACATTTAAGATTTCATATACTTACGTCCTTATAATGCTTTTTCAGTTCATTCATGAAGAATTCTTTAGATTCAAATGTATGACTTTCACAAAATCGTGCTGAAAGGTAAAATTGCTTTAATATTACATCAGATATTTCAGCATATTACTTATCACAACAATATCAATGTATTGGCTTCACTAATATTATGTAATATTAACCACCTCTTAAAATAAAATTTAGGGAAACTACACTGTAGTTAACATACAAGGAAGTAAAGTCTGACTATAAACTTATAATTATTGGAAGATAACAAAAATTTATTGAATGAAAAAAACAAACAATTACACCTTAATGAAATAAAATTATAATTTACAATTAAGCTCTATCATGGTTAATGCCTTATGTAACGTCATACATAGAGGACATTGAATGAGTATAGGTTCAATATAGACTTTATTGAATGAGCTGAATAAATTTATATTATTCATGCTTTTGGTGAGCATAATATTATTTTATTCAACTAGGTCAATAAATTTGGAAATGAAGTTACACGAATATAATATTCTATTTATTACATATCCAAAATAAAAACTGTTTATGGTAAAAAGAATCACTTTTTCATTGATACACCTATAGCGTAACACTAACATTTAGCACAACTTTATGCTATGTTTATATAACGCAAATGACATTGCATCAAAATATATATACAGCCATGCAATACTGTTTTTAATGAGTGCAAAAGCAGTAGGATATGTGATATATTCTAGTAATCAGTTGTAAGATATTTACCAATATCAACCTCAGCATCCTCAAAGTTTACCAGTGGTATTCCCATAGTTTTCTTTAAGCTGGCTAGATCAGGTGGTAAACCTCCTGATGCTTTTAACATACTCAATGTTATACATGTCTGATTCACTCGCAGGTTACCAAAATAATAACGTTTTGTTTTAACCGAGGCCACGCTGGAAAGGGTCCTGAAATTTGACAAACATTTCAAGAAATAGATATTGTTTTTCATCATCACTAAATCGAAAATTTAACAGACATAAAGCTTTTTCAAAAATAATTTAAAAAACACGCTTTTCTTTATAAAAAGTGATATTTCATTTATTGGTCTACACAATGATTCTTTATAGTAAAATATATGTTATAATAAACTCTTACTTTTGTAAATCATCAATTCCCTCATCTAGTTTTTCCAAGCTTTTATCTGATTGGCCAAAGCCAGCAAACTGTACAAGTTTCCATAGCAACTCTTCTTCTAACTGAATAGTCAGCTTCTTCATAGAGATAATCAAGTGCTGAAAAAAGTGATATTCAAAACCAATAAACTTAATTTAATTTATGCAAATTCACATTGCCATATCATTTTGTTACTGGTTCAATTATGTGTAATTTAAGAGTATAGTCTAGTCAGTCCGCACACATGTCCTGGCTGACCTAGCTCCATATTGGCGGGATAGGCTTAAAATAAAAAACACTGTTTTAACATGTCAATGTGGAAAATGTTCAGTAAAACATCTACTTTAATCAAATCAGCAATTTATATATATATAAGTACCAACAAGTTTTTCCAATTGGTAACTACTGGAGTTGATGTGCTCTTTTACAATATTTAAGTTGATGACCTCAGAGGTCATTATGTGTCACTAACCTTGTATATTTCAGCATTCCAGCCAACATTGGGAAGTTTATGAGCTGATATAAGTAACGCATTGGTATTTTCTACAACATCTCGTTTTGAGGTAGGTGTCACAAACAACATAGCTGTACGACTAGCACCAAACAACTGATTGTCAGCCTGTCAAATAAATAACATAAGTTATATAGTTATATATTATACCCTACATGAATAGGTTCCTTCTTTATGTAAGTGTCAGCAGGCCTTTAAATTGTATCATATTCACCATGATGTCAATGGTCTGACAAAAAATAAAATGAACGCCTAAGCAGGCATTATTATGTTTTTGATGGAAAGCTTCAATTTAGTGGGGTATAACTGCCAAAATATTTCTTTCTCTACCATTCCTTATTTCTTATTTCACTAGCTGGCATATAAGATCAATACAATGAAGAATCTGGTATCAAATTTGCTAAAACACAACACAAAATTGACTATTGCATTTATACATGCTGAAATGCAAAAAGGAGAATGTACCTGAATATTTGCTACATTCATTTCAAGTGTTGTACCTCTCTGGTTGGAACGATAACTAAGGGTGATATTCTTTAATGTAATATATAACAGCTCTTCAGGCACCTTGTTTACTAGAGACAAACCAACTCCACCCTTTAAATTTACATCCAACTGTAATGTAAAAAAATACATTCAATATTTTAATATTATATCATATGTAGCCATTAGACATGCATTCATGGCATTAATTAATAATATAAAGTGAGGTTAACATGACAATGCCTCTTTTTTATCAGTGAATTGTTATCTATATCATTCAATGTATATCACTCAAATTCAAACATATATTTTCATCAATTTAATCAGTATTAACCTATCATATTTTATAACCTCATTATGTTACAGTTAATGGAAATATCATTTTCAGCAAGTTAATTAATTATACCTCAATATATTTCTGTGTTGGTTTCTTGCGTTTCTCATTAGTTTTATGGTTAAGTGATTCCTCGTAGATTTCCCAATCATCATCATCCTTGCTTACCATTTTTCTTATATGCTGAGAAAAAAACAACAGATATTTACATATCTGGCAGAGTTTCAAAGTTATCCTTAGTTTCATACTTGCATACATGCCATAATTTTTAGGCTCATTTCCGGGACACTTTTCATTTGGAGGTGGGGCATTGATCAGCAACCATATTGTTTCTAAAATTTACATAGTGGCATACAACCTATATTACTGGTATTTACAACTTGCAAATTTTATTTCAGCATAAACAAGACAAAATGTCAATAATTATCAACAGATTTTCTATCTTTTTTTAAAGTAATAAGGCTTTGTAAATTCAATCAGTCACAGAGTAGAATAAAGCTATGTTAAGTAAGGACAATTAGCGATGTCGTTTGGTAAAAATACCTGAAACATTACCTGAAACATTTGTTTCATCACCTCATATTTAGCAGTTATTTTCACAGAGTTTGAGGGTCCATGACGTAATGGCATGTATGATAATTGTATGAAAGTCAAATGAAGACTTCAGCTTGCCTAGTATTATAGTAAGACCTTTCTTTTCATATATCACCTTGGAAGCTCATCAGTAGAACCACTGACCTCAAATGAGCTAGACTGATGAAACCTCTTTATGATTTGTAATATGCAGTCAAACTTTATTGATGTAGATTTTAATTTTGAAGTGAAACATTGTTTTTTTTTTTATTTTAAGACTTTTCTTTTGATCTTCATTCTTCTAGATTATATTTCATTATTATAAATATATTGAAATAATCATAGAAATATAACCTACCCGTTGTTTCACATCATTTATTTGTACAACTCTAACAGGGCCGTCCATCTGTATACGTACAGTAAGACAGCCACTACCAGGATGAAGTTTCTGACATGATATCTGCATACAGGCAGGGACAGGGGTACCCTCTGCTGGTCCTGGTCCTAATATAGCTATAGCACCTATATAAAATATCAATATACATCCACTTAGTCACTTTATAGTAATATAATGTAAAGGTGATAGGAAATTGTGTCATATGCCAATGTTAAATATTTATTTAACTAAACAAGAGCACCATATACAGTGTTAATAATTCCAAGTTAGAAAGGGGCATAACTCCAAATATAAAGCTTTCAGAATGACGACTCTTGTCAAACTACCATTCCTTTTTATAATAAGCAAATGTTCCAAATTTCATATTGATACCTTTTAATTGATTGAGTAATGGGCTACATTAAAGTTTTTGCACAACGAGAATTCCGCAGCTATTGTTTTCTTTCAAACAGGCAAGCTAAAAAAAGGCCATATTTTTCTTAATAACAAATAATCAAATCACAAAATCCAAATAATATTAATCAGGGCTTTCCATAGCATTCATTTTCAGGACTTTTCCTAACAATCAATTTGTGAAAGATTGGTCAAAATCACTTAGACGAGTAGCACACCTAAGGTATTGTTTAAATAATTAAATAAGCTGCACTCAAAAACCTGGTTAGGAATATCTAAATACTGGAAAGGACACTCGAAAAGGTCCTTTTAAAACTGATCTTTATATCTTATTTTTCTGTCATCTTAATATTTTCAAATTTCATTTAATATTATATAAGATTAACACATGCAATACACATGTATAAATCAAAATAAAACTAGAGAACCACAGTACTAACCATCTTGTAAGCCATCATCATTATTGACAGCCTGTACACAGAAAAAACCAGTGGAACAACATAGCATACCATCCTGTTAATTATAGAAAATATTATGTAAATGCAGTGATTTTTTTTTAGTTTTCTTGAAGCATTGTCAATGTATTGATAAAAACAATGCTGCTATAATTTCAGTATCATCAAACTCACTGAATATATAGAAATGAATTGGAGGTACCAGCACAATTTGGTCTTAATCAATCAATTATGATGTCAAATTCAATCCAAATTAATTGGTAAAATTAATCACATACATGTATAATGTTCCATTATTTAATGTGTATGGAAGATTTTTCTTCTAGATGGGTTAATGGATTATAAGCCTAATTAAGCTTACAGCATCAACATGAATTTAAAATCATATAAAAAGGTATGTAACACAACAAAATGTTTTATTCCCAGGAAAGAACATATTAATTAAACAAACCACAAATCTCCAGGTCTGTTTAGCTGCTCGTCTTTCATCAGCTTTTTTCAGCGCAAGGGCAACTGGCTTGCCAGGTTGGTATGCTATGTCAGCGATATCAAGTACGAATCTCTGACCTGGCCGTGAAGCGCTGGCTTTGCTTGGATCCATGGGTTGTCCTGTACCCTCATGTTCTAACATACCACTGCTAGTCATACGCCATAACTGTGATCTTTTTCCTGCCTCCTTTATTAACAAGTAGAACAACCTATTATTGCCCCAGTGCTAGACCAAAGTATATGCTTTTTACATTTAAAGAAAAGCCCCTCTAGCATTTTGAACAACATTACAAGTTCTACTTTAAGTTATAGAGCTACCGGTACACATCTATCAATTATTGTGTGTCAAGGCTAACATTTCTAGCAATATCTATGGTAATACTGAATCAATCCCTAACAACTTGACCATTGCTCTAAGTAATTGTTAGAGCCATCTGACTGTATCAAATGTACAAGTACTAACATCACTTAAGTAGCAAACAAACATTTTTAAAACATGCTTGACTTACTGTCCTACAAAATTATGCAAATTGCTAATGAATAATGTGAAAATTTTGTAAAAATATAGTACTGTACTTAATCTTAACTTTAAAAACATGACAATTGAAAAATTCATCACATTACAATATGATATTATTCATTGTATTTAATGAATGATAGAGATAGCAGAGATGTATAAGTTACCTTTTTCCTGAATTTCACATAATTATGTTCACAGTCTAGAACAAGATCTGTACGCTCATTACTGTATCCATCACCCCTGAAATTAATTAGGATTTCAAAATATTTCATGGTTCTTTAAAAGATTGTTGACTCACAAGTATACAATGTACTTAAAGTTGCATTTAATAAATTTCATAAACAAGAGGGCCATGATGGCCCTAAGGTCGCTCACCTGTATGAAGGCCCCCGGAGCGGGGCCAGTTTAAACCCCAGGGCTTTTATTTGAACAAACTTGGAAGACACCTATAAGAAGACGTTTCATGATGTACACACTTATATTGAAAAACAATGATCTGCCCTCCCCTACCCCCGGCAGGGCCAATTTTAACCAAGGGCTTTTATTTGAACAAACTTGGTAGACACCCATAAGAAGATGTTTCATGCTAAACATCTAAGCTGTAGCTCATTGTGTTTTTTTAAAGAAGATTTTTTAAGTTTTTACTATACACATATAGTTAAAAACAATGACACCCCTGGGGCGGGGCCAGTTTTGACCCCAGGGCTTTTATTTGAACAAACTTTGTAGACACTTACTAGAACATGTTTCATGCTTAATATCTAAACTCTAGCTATTTGGGTTTTTTCAAAGATGTTTTTTAAGTTTTTCCTATACACATATAAGGAAAATCAATGACCCCCAGGGCAGGGCCAATTTTGACCCCAGGGCTTTTATTTGAACAAACTTTGTAGACACTCACTAGAAGATGTTTCATGCTTAATATCTTAACTCTAGCTATTTAGATTTTTTCAAAGAATACTTTTTAAGTTTTTGCTATACACATATATAAGGAAAATCAATGACCTGGGGCGGGGCAAATTTTGACCCCAGGGCTCTTATTTGAACAAACTTGGTAGACACCCATTGGAACAAGTTTCATGCTAAATATCTTAGCTCTAGCTCTTTGAGTTCTTTAAAAGAAGATTTTTTAAGTTTTTACTATATACATATAGGGAAAATCAATGACCCCCTGGGGCGGGGCCAATTTTGACCCCAGGGCTTTTATTTGAACAAACTTGGTAGACACCCATTAGAACATGTTTCATGCTAAATATCTTAGCTCTAGCTCTTTGAGTTCTTTAAAAGAAGATTTTTTAAGTTTTTACTATATACATATAGGGAAAATCAATGACCCCCTGGGGCGGGGCCAATTTTGACCCCAGGGCTTTTATTTGAACAAACTTGGTAGACACCCATTAGAACATGTTTCATGCTAAATATCTTAGCTCTAGCTCTTTGAGTTCTTTAAAAGAAGATTTTTTAAGTTTTTACTATATACATATAGGGAAAATCAATGACCCCCTGGGGCGGGGCCAATTTTGACCCCAGGGCTTTTATTTGAACAAACTTGGTAGACACCCATTAGAACATGTTTCATGCTAAATATCTTAGCCCTAGCTCCATGAGTTCTTTAAAAGAAGATTTTTATATTATTACTATATGCATAAAGGGAAAATCAATGACCCCCTGGGGCGGGGCCAATTTTGACCCCAGGGCTTTTATTTGAACAAACTTGGTAGACACTCATTAGAAGATGTTTCATGCTAAATATCTTAGCTCTAGCTCTTTGGGTTCTTTAAAAAAAGATTTTTTAAGTTTTTACTATATGCATATAGGGAAAATCAATGACCCCCTGGGGCGGGGCTAATTTTGACCCCAGGGCTTTTATTTGAACAATGTTGGTAGACACTCACTAGAAGATGTTTCATGCCAAATATCTAAGCTCTAGCTCTTTTGGTTCTTTAAAAGAAGATTTTTTAAGTTTTTACTATATGCATATAGGGAAAATCAATGACCCCCTGGGGCGGGGCCAATTTTGACCCCATGGCTTTTATTTGAACAAACTTGGTAGACACTCATTAGAACATGTTTCATGCTAAATATCTTAGCTCTAGCTCTTTGGGTTCTTTAAAAGAAGATTTTTTAAGTTTTTACTATATGCATATAGGGAAAATCAATGACCCCCTGGGGCGGGGCCAATTTTGACCCCAGGGCTTTTATTTGAACAAACTTGGTAGACATTCACTAGAAGATGTTTCATGCCAAATATCTAAGCTCTAGCTCTTTGGGTTTTTTAAAAGAAGATATTTAAAGTTTTTTCTTTCGGTTGCCATGGCAACCAGAGTTCTGCATGGAATTAAATTCTTTAAACAATTTTTAAAGGTGACCACCAAAGGAACATTCCTGTGAAGTTTGGATGAAATTGGCTTAGTGGTTTATGAGGAGATGTCATTTAAAGTAAAAGTTTACGGACGGACGATGGACGGACGACGGACGAAAAGCGTTCACAAAAGCTCACCCTGTCACTTTGTGACAGGTGAGCTAAAAAAGAAATAGCGACATTTCATTAATAAACTGGGTTTCATATCGACTCCAGATCTTAGTTTTGTGTCCAGACAACCAAATTGAGTTTAATGAGCATACAAATGTGCAACCTCATTGTGGGGAATTCGGAAGTACAATTTCTGTTTGCATGAAAAACTCACAGGCAATCGGTGCGTGGCTTGGATAGTATACATGTACATGACCACGCCCACTTATTTTTTATAAATATTTTTTTTTTTCACTAATAAAATATTTTTTCACTCAAAATGTTTTTAAAATATCTTATTTTCAATAAATCAACAAAGGAAATTTGTTTTCAAAAATTTCATCAATATAGTATTTATAATATATATGGATGAAATTTATAAAAACGTTACTTCCCTTTGTTGATTTATTGAAAATAAGATATTTTAGAAACATTTTGAGTGAAAAAATATTTTATTAGTGAAAAAAATAAAAATAAGTGGGCGTGGTCATGTACATGTATACTATAGAAGCCACACACCAATTGCCTGTGGAAAAACTCCGTCTTCAGATCATCCGTACATCAATACTAAATCAACAAACATGACTATAAGTAGCAGTCCTAATTTAACAGTATATTTCCGCATTGTAACGGATATTTTCATACAAATTTAATCTTTTTATGAGATGATTATGTTTCCTAGTGCACCGTGAAGCTTAAATGGTTAAAGTGTGTTTGCACAAGAAAAAAATCTTATATTTGGTGTGTTCCTGATAGCAACTATAACACCGTGACGTAGCGCATACACAAGCTTATTATAGTCTTCATTTGCATGTTAAAATTCGTATACAAACTTTAGTGTTACCGTGGGGTTTTCCATTTAAAATCCTAATTTATGAACAATATTTGATGAGATTTACAACAATACTGTTCAAAAGGTTAATGAAACTGTAGAATGCTTGGTTTTTAGGCAGACGGAAAAAAAATATTTTTACATATTTATTTAATGTAGCTTTAACATTAACAATATTAGCTGTTACATGCATCTAAGATTTATTGAATACAAAACCACTATGATTTAAAATATTCATAACCATTTTTGTTCTGTTTTAAAGACCATTTTTCTAAAGGTTTTTTAATGTATCTAAAGTTTGGGCAGAAGGTGGGGGAGATGGGTTTCTGGTGTCCAAATGTAAAATGTTCTACAACCATGAACATAATATCTTATAACATTAGACCTCAAATAAACAGCCTATAGCAGTATCTATAATGTCACATGTTGCAGAAAGTGCCTTTAGATTCAAACATGCAAATAAACAATTTATAATTGACAGATTGGCCTATAATGTAGAGAACCTTCTCTAAAGCAGATAAGGCATACTAATAAATATCATATATGGTAGATGAAGCTTTCTGTTTGAAAACAAAGTAATATTATCAACGTTTCTAGTGTTTCAATGTTCAAATAATTTACAGTTTACTTACAGTATATTCAGTCTCAATACATAGTTTATTCATGTTTACATTGTTATAACAAATATTACCTCGGTATTGTAGCTGTAGCACAGATATATAGATAGTTCTGGTAGGTGAGCTGCTCCCCTTCACCGAGAATATCCAGGTTATAGGTGGCTGTTGTACCATTAGCTACAGCCAATGTCATATATGGGTCAAGGGTAGGCTCATCCCAGGCATATGGCACTAAAAGAAATGTGCATTCTATTTATTCTAAAACAAAATATTTTAAGACCATAACTTCTGTCACCTAAAACTGTTTGTTTTGAACAATGCTATTAAACTGCAATTTTCAACATTTATGTCTTCTGAAATATAGTTGACAAACACCAGAATACATAATAAAATTACTCAGAAATAAAAAATATTTTGGGTTTCCCTGCTTAATCTGGGGCACAAACATTGTGGGTTTTTCTCAACTAATCTTGGGTACAAAGTTTTATAGTAACATCATGGTAAATATTAGGAAAATTAGCGAATCAAGTTGATTAGGTGGGGAAAAAACATATTTGTAGAGATCAGGAAAATATGTCTATTTAGGTAGAGAAATAGAGATATGTTGTTCTTGTGTTGGCATAACAAATACCAACATTTAAACATTAAAACACCTTAAAGGTGGCTCTTCAAATTCAATTTGTTCATTTGTGTGTTTACATTAAGATACTGTAACATCCATAATATATAGATTTCAGAATCCTAGCAATGCAAAGTGAGCTGGCTTGTCAGACTGTATAAATTAAAACACTGGCCTGGCTCTATACTGTTGGCATACAACTTAGGTCACTTAAAACTAAAACAGTAAACAAAGCAACATCTACTTACAACTTGTCTGTGGTCTTATAAATGTTCTTAGTCTCTCTTCTGTAGTCTTAGTTTGGAAATACAACAATGGTACCTTTAATATAAAATTGTGAAAAGTTAAACAAATGTACTTGGTACAGAGAATACAAATAAAGAAGATATAAAATAAACTGTAAGATCCCAGCTTACAACTTCAAAATAACAGCTTCTTATTGCCACACATATTCAAATGTTACTTTGATTAATTCCAGTTGTTTGTTTCTGAGTAAAACCATAAAGGATAATTATAAATGTGTCCATAAGACACTTGATGCTGCAACATTTCTCTGTTTTGATAGTCTACAGAAGGAAGGACAGTGGGACAGACCTACAAGGGCAAATGAAAATACCCTACCCGTCCTCTAAATGAGAATAAAGAAGGTGAAACAGGTGGAGAGAAAGATGAGCTGTCTGTCAAAACATAGTGACTATATGCAATCATCAAATTTAGAACTGGCCCGGTGGCCCATGGCCAGCAAAAATTAGTTCGGGCCAGTGAAAATTTTAAGAAAATTTAGAAAAATATATAGTAAAATAAATTCAAAACTGGTATTCGTGCTAGTGAATTCAAAATCTTAAATTCATTGACTGTATATGCAATGAAAGAATGATAAAATTGACAACAAGAATTACAAGAGCTGTCCGTAAGACAGCGCGCTCGACTTTTTTATTGCTTGCCAATAAAAAAAGTTTTTGCAGTAAAAGGCAATACAAGAATCTCTGTATTTTTAAAGTGAACTAGTTGTTTGATACCCTTGAATATTACAGCAATGTTTATATGACATAATTTATGGTAAAGTGAACAAGTGGATAGGAATGAATTTTTTTAGATTTTTTAAGTTTTTTAGTGCTTGCCTATAATACAAAACATTGACAGTTAAGGGCCATAATTCAAATAAAATCTTTGACAGAATTACCTTCTCCTGGACATGTTTGGGAATCATGATTGTAAACAAGTATTCCAACTTTCAAATTAATATCTCAAACAGTTCAGTCAAAAAGTGGACTGGTACTAAAAACTTAACCAAGATTCTAAGTCGATAAAAGGCCTTAATTTTTAAAACAAATCCTTGACAGAGTTACCTTCTCTTGTGTACAGATGGGGGTAATGATGTGAAATAGCATTAAAAGTTTCAAAGCAATATCTCAAAGGGTTAAGGCAATAAGTGGATTTTACCCATATTCAATGTATTTTCTAAGTCAAAAAGGGGCATAATTCTGTCAAAAACCTTGACAGAGTTATGTCCTCTTGTCTGTTGATGAAGGTCGTGATGGTAAACAAGTATGGTCAGTTTCAAAGCAATACCTCCAATGGTTTTGAAATAAAGTGAGGTGGTACAAAAAACTTAACCAAGCTCAATACACTTTCTAAGTCAAAAAAGGGCCATAATTCTGTCAAAAACCTTGACAGAGTTATGTACTCTTGTCTGTAGATGGAGGTTATGATGGTGAACAAGTATGGTAAGTTTCAAAGCCATACTTGTAATACTTCTGAAATAAAGTGGGGTGGTACGAAAAACTTAACCAAGGTGTGACGCCAACGCCGACGCCGACGCCGACGCCGGGGCGAGTAGGATAGCTCCCCTTTTCATAGAAAAGTCGAGCTAAAAATGGTATGAAATGTCTGACCTACCTCTGACATGTTATCAATCCTGAAAGGTGGGGGTGTTTCCTCAGCATCAGAAAATATTATACTGAATGTCTGACCTTGTAGCAGAACTTCTACTTTCAGTAGAATAGAATTCTTGCGACCATCTCTGTAATATCATATAGACAATATTAACAATTATTTTCAAGGTTTTATTCAAAACAAAATAACATCAACCGGTAACATCCACAACAAAACTTACAATACAAACAACAGTTGACTGTTTTCACCTAATTTTTCCTTGCCCATCTGAATTTGTGTAATGAATTAGAATGTTTTTAATTTAATATAGTCAAATTTTTGAAGGTATATAATATTTCATTGAAAAATATTAAAATTGTCTCGACAGTCTGGTCAGATTCCATAGACACACAGGCTAGCAAAGCTTCTTTGCTGTTGCCATAGACTAATCAATACACATGAACCACTTGAATGTGCATGGAGTGGCGGTACCTTAGGTCTTTCTCTACTAGTAAAGCAGGAAAGAAGCAGTATGACCATAACAGGGTCCATATGACATGAAACACAACCAACTTGAATTAAATCAGTGACTTCTTGCGAGTGAGGTAGCACTTAATTCACTAAGTCATCAGTTTAACATTAGTCGCCTTAAAATCATTCTTAAAGAACCCCACTGAAAAAAGATTGTATCAATATTTTGTAAACCTACAAACATTAGTTGTCTTTGTTGTTGTTTTTCTTTACAATAAAAATATTTCACAGCTATAAAAAAGATACTTTACCTCATGTTTATATGAAAAGAGTTCACTGAATCAATTCTGAAACCACCTGACCAATTACTCTCCTCAATGTCCAATAACTTCACACATAACAACTGATCTAAATCCTGCCTCGGCCAATGAAATGGCATCTTACAATTTGGCAAGGCTGTTAAGTGACCATCTGGATTGTGTATAGCCTAAAAGATATTTTAAACAAGAGCGATCAGTAATCACATGTGTCGCCTCATGATGGCCAATTTCATGTTGGGACAAATTTTGTGACAGACGGACAGACAGACGGACAGTGCACAACTAGACTTGGTACTGATCATTCCTGTAAAGTTTGAATAAAATTGCACCAGTAGTTTATGAGGAGTAGTCCAGACAAGCTTTTGCGCATCTGGCAACACACAGAAAAAAACACCTTTTTATCAAAGGGCCATAACTTGGCCAAAAATCACTCAACCAGAAAACCCGTGCAATATGCGCAAGGACTTGAGCTACAGATCAATCCTGTAAAGTTTCATTGAAATTGCATTAGTGGTATAAGAGAAGTAGTCCGGACAAACTTTAAAAATAAAAATTATTAAAGGGCCATAACTCTGACAAAAATCATTGAACCGGAAAATGCTGACGATATGCACAACAAGACTTGGTACTGATCATTCCTGTAAAGTTTGGATGAAATTGCACCAGTAGTTTATGAGGAGTAGTCCAGACAAGCTTTTGTGTATCTGGCAACACACAGAAAAAAACACCTTTTTATCAAAGGGCCATAACTTGGTCAAAAATCATTCAACCGGAAAACCCGTGCAATATGCGCACGGACTTGAGCTACAGAACAATCCTGTTAAGTTTCATTGAAATTGCATTAGTGGTATAAGAGAAGTAGTCCGGACAAACTTTAAAATTAAAAATTATTAAAGGGCCATAACTCTGAGAAAAATCATTGAACCGGAAAATGCTGACAATATGCACAACTAGACTTGGTACTGATCATTCCTGTAAAGTTTGGATGAAATTGCACCAGTAGTTTATGAGGAGTAGTCCGGACAAGTTTTGTGACGGACGGACGGACAGACAGACGGACAGACAGACAACGGAGAAGTGATCCCTATATGTCGCCACTACCCCGTAGAGGCGACACAAAAAATAAATATTTTCATCTAAATATCTCATATAATATATAAATGTATGACTGTAAAAGGGAGAATAACTACATTTTACCATTAAATTTCTTTAAAAATTAAAACTCTGTAAGTTTACACTGCAATTTTTATTTTTCATAAAATATGTATGTTCAAAATGAACAACTGTAATTTATACTTTCTACCTTTTCCATATATGCAGAAATTACTGAAGAAAGCACTTTTGTAACTGAAAACCTACAACACCCTTATGCTTAAAAAGTATATCTTTGAATTTTATCCAGGATGGCTGATAAAGCTACTAAAGTTTCATTCAACCTCTACAAAATGTGCTTGCTTTGAATATGGAATTGTCCATTATTAACTTCAGGTGTTACAGCTTTGATTAGAAGACAAACTTGGACATGTTAAAGTATTAGTTTTAGAAAGACGGCAGATTTGTCCTAGCTCTATAAGGGTGGTATAGGCATACCATTATCAATCTAATCATTTATAGTAAATACTTTATAAATACATAAAATGGACAAAAAGTTTCTTTAAGCCTGAAATACTTAAATTTGATAAAACATAAAAGATAATAAATCAAGTTTCATGCAAGATTAGTTGCATCTGCTATTTTTTATTTGCATGCAATTACAGCAGCCTTATACAAAGACCAGTGGTGACATTTCAACTTCCTGAATTCTCGGGTTCTTCTTCACGAATTCATGATTTCAAATTCATGAATTCACGGTTTCAACATACAGAATTCACAGAAATAGTGAATTTGTGAAGTTGCAATCACAAATTCACGTAGCTTAAATCGTGAAGTTCAAAATATTAATCGTGAAGTTGATATCGTGAATTCATGAAGTTGAAATCATGACTTCATGATGTTGAAATAATGACTTCATGAAGTTGAAATCATGAATTCATGGAGATGAAATCAGGAATTCATGAATTTTGAAATGTCCCCACTAGTCTTTTGTAGCATTGAGCCAAAATTAACATAACATACCTCTTTATTAGTGAAATGTCTCTGTGCGACAGCTAGTTTATGTTCCGACATGTTATCTACATGATATCTGGGAGATAACGTCACAATACTTGTGTGCCGGAACTGACCTTTACCTGGCTTTGTCTCAATACCAATGTTATATACCCTGTTACAAAAAAATCAATCAAATCAGAAAATTTCATTATTTCACATTCATATGTAGGTTGATAATATAGCATTAAAAACAAATTCTTCAGTGTCAATATGTAATTTATTTGGTTGGTCAAATGAATAATTTCACATGAGCAGAATATCAATTTTAAATCATTGATAATCTTTTACAAATATTACAATAAATCTTAATCATTCACAATCTGTGCACATAAAGTTGTGCAAATAACAAGAGCTGTCACAGGAGACAGCGAAGCTCGACTAATAAAATGCTGGACGCAGTAAGGAGGACAAAACTATGAAAGAAAAATCAATTATGTATAATTAAGTATTAAGTTATAGTAAAAATATAACATTTGTTAACATAAATTCCAAGAGCAAGGGGAATAATTCTAGAAATAGTCATGCAAGAGTTATGGACCTTGCCACACAACATTTGTGTAATGATAAGAAATATATATTTGAAGTTTGAAGTAGATATCTTAAAAAATAAAGAAGTTATTATATTTCTTAAAGAAAATCCTAAGTTCAAAGGGAGATAAATCTGTAAATATTGCTTTGAGTTATGAACATTGTCACATAAAATGTAAATGATTATAAGGAATAAGTATTTGAAGTTTGAGGTAGATACCTTTAAAAATAAAAAAGTTAAAATAAAAAATAACATTTTTCTAGTAAATAAATCTAAGTTTATGGGGAGATAATTCTTGCGATATTGGTGCTAGAGTTATGAACCTTGTCACATAAGATGTGGATGATGATAACGTAAATATATTTGAAGTATGAAGTTGATTCCTTTAGAAATAAATAAGTTACAGTAAAAAATAATATTTTGTATGGAAAATTCTAAGTTCAAAGGGAGATAAATCTAAAAATATTGGTGCTAGAGTTATGAACATTGTCACATAAGATGGGGATGATGATAATGTAAATATATTTGAAGTATGAGGTTGATCCCTTAAGAAATAAAGAAGAAACAGTAAGAAATAGTATTTTTTGAGGAAAATTCTAAGTTCAAGGGGAGATAAATCTGAAAATATTGGTGCTAGAGTTATGACCCTTGTCACATAAGATGGGGATGATGATAAGGTACATATATTTGAAGTATGAGGTTGATCCCTTTAGAAATAAAGAAGTATCAGTAAAAAATAGTATCTTTTAAGAAAAATTCTAAGTTCAAGGGGAGATAAATCTGAAAATATTGGTGCTAGAGTTATGAACCTTGTCACATAAGATGTGGTTGATGATAAGGAACATATATTTGAAGTTTGAAGTTGATACCTTAAGAAATGACAAAGTTATAGTGAAAAATATTTTACTGCACCAAAACTTTAATCTAAAATCTGGACGCGGACGCGGACGCCGGGGCGAGTAGGACAGCTCTCCATATACTTCGTATAGTCGAGCTAAAAATGATATTCAATAGCTTGTTACATGAAATATTGATAGATTTTACAAAACATCATTAAATTTACAAAGCATTTTATCTAATTATAATAAAAAGCCTCAGATTGAATATATAAATGATTTGCATGAAAGACTGAAGTATTTTAATCAATATGCAAAATTGCAAAAACAAAGAATAAATATTTTGTTTCATGCAAGCCAACACCATGTTCTAAAGGAAAATGTAGTTTACTCTAACTCAGTAAAATAATAATAAGCTGCCCAGTGCTTGTAAATTTAAAGACCCAAGATAATTTTTTAAAAAAGGTGAAACAATAGATGGAGTAAGAAAGTTATGCCTATAAAATTAAATTCAAAGTACTCTTTTTCTCTTTAAATTGGAAATAACTCAAACATACTTTACTTCACCAGCTATAGACTTTATGTTAAAGTCTTATCTACCTTTGGATTCAAAACTAAAATGTTCATGTATGATTTTGTTGAATTTTTCACATGAACCATTTGCACCGATTTGAAATTGGAAATATCCACGAAAATTAAGATACATGCACAAATAGTATTAAGCTTTGTCAAACTGCATTATACTGGTGGCAAAGACAGTTTCAGAACATTATGATTGTGTTACAGGGAATTAAGTACAAACAAAAAATAATAAAAGTAAGTAGGTAATAGTGTGGAGTTTGGACTAACTACACAAAAATACTGGCTGGCTGTTTTATGTGCTGGTAGTACAGACAAGTTATCATCAAAGATACAGTAGCACTGTAAGAGTTGAAATGAAACATGAACATTTCTGTACAATGGATTTAATAAACCTTTAGCCTGCTGTAATGTAAAGTGAATAGCCTTTGCCACCAGTACAACGCCATACCAGTCTGTACATCTGTGCAGTTTTACCAGACTCTTTACTACTGGTAGCTGAATTTCATTAAGACATAAATAGTTATGCATATCTTACTCCTTATCTACCCTTTATATACAGCAATGACTGCACAATTAGAGTCATAAATACTGCAATACTTACAAGGGAAATTGACAACAGACATCTTTATTTATAAAGACAACCACAGACATTTAACAAACAAAACTCACTATGTACACTTGAAATATTTAAAGGGATTTTTTAATACTGTGCTACAGTCATGTACCAACTTCACAATACAGTTGACTGACAATTTTCCTGCACCACATGTACAACAAATCAAATACTGATGGTAGAAAATTGATCAAAAAATAAAATATAAAGAATATTTTTCTTCCAATAATTCCCATAAGCAAGCATTATATTAGGGTAAAATATGAAATAGGAGAAAGGCAATATAAAAGTCAAACAAAATATATTACTTAAAGTAAAAATGAAATAAAATTAAAGTAAATTTTAAATATAAAATAAAATATTTGAAATGTTAGTATTAGATTTTAATTAAAGTTGTTTGAAAACCGAGTCTCCATGACTTGAACAGCATTGTTCCCTTCACCCAAGCACATCCTGTATTCAACACCATCCAAAATGTAACATTTAGGGGTGTCATGCCTAGGTTACCATGGTGATGACTTACTGAACACATTTAGATGGTAAAGAAAACCGTTTCCGGGCCTTGAACCGAGCAGATACTAACCAGTCAGGGCGGTTCCCATCTTTAGGCGTCACGTGTAGTTGGCAAACATTAGCTTCCTTGTCTAGTGAAAAACTGTTACTCCTTAAAAAAATGTGAATATGTTTGAAACAATTGTGTCCCTTTATGAACTACATTTTGCAACATAAAAAGTACTTGCTAATGTTAGAAAATTTCTATAATCAAATTTTAGTGTGCTAAAATAGCACTCTATTCCATCACTCTAGTTACTTTGCAATTCTTGAGGATGCTAAAATTATTTTCTATTAAGTCTGAATGAATAAATAGTTCGAAAATGAACACACATTGGTATAAATTGGTGATTTTGACATCAGTCAACTATAATTTTGTAAAGTCAACCATAATCTTGATACAGATATATTCAACCTTATATATAGCACTCATTACTCCATAAATTTCTTTAAAGTACTTGTCTGTCTTTTAATCTGGACAAAACTATTCATCATTTTCAGGGAAAGTTACAAAATAAGTATCAGATTCAGTTCAGATCAGATGGCACTGATAGGCCAGCCGGTCTCAAGGTTTAACTTATAAAATATTTTTTCTATTATCTGCCATGAATCTCAGGATTTTCATTAGTCAGTACATATTCTATGCCTGTTTCTGACTAATCAAATACCTGAGAATTGAGTAAGAGCTTAGAATATTTCTTTATAACCATTAACCCTGAACTTGATCTACACTGGTTTGTAGGATAAATTTAGTTGCCACCAGCAGAGGTATGATTAAATCGTTTCATCATTTCACTTCGACTTTCTTATCCTTGCCCTCACACTGATCAACAGAATTACCTGTATCTGATTCATTGAGTTTAAAATGTAACACATGTTTGCTGATCTAGTCTAAATATGAAATTTGACTTCCCAATGCCTTACCATATAGGTATTGTGTTGGGTCCATGCTTGTGTTTTCCCACTCTCATTTCACACCTACAATGTAATGGATAGAAGTGTAAGACTTGTGAAAATAAATCAATCTAGATCAAATAATAATCAAATATGAAACAACTGTTTAATACATAAGGCTACATAAAATTCTACTCTACAGTGAGTTAGTTTCATAGGTAGAACATTAGGCATGTCATCCATGGGACTCTGGTTCCTATCATAGCAAGCCAAAAATTCTTTGTGAAAACTGATCTCAGATATTGAGTCTAATGATCATATGTATAAATAACCAGTGATTCAAAAACCATGTGTGATTAGCAGATGGTGATTGCATTGAAATTGATTATCACTGGTTAGATGATATGTGTTAAAATTGGCATAAAAACCATGACAAACAAATTTGTACAATGAGCATTTTTTAACATTATGAACACATACCTATTTTTAACATTGATATTTTGAATGTAATGTTGATAGAGAAATGATTATGAATCCGAGTGATTTGATCAAAATTTTGATCTATTTGAACACATGGTCCTTATTTATTCTAATCAATTACAAAGCTTCACTTAAATATTTTATATGCTAAATGTTTCCCTTCTTAAATAATACATTTGTTAAAGATATGAAGTTTTCATTTTTTAGACTATTTCATTTCCAGTCACCATCTATGATATCCAATCAACAAATTCATGGAGACCTGTCCTTCCTGCATAAGTAAGCTACCGTATCTATTGCTTCAACCATAATTTAGAAAATTATCTTTAAGTATTGTTTTTGGAGACGGCCCTTTATGCATTGTATTTGACTAAAGACGGTTTATGATGGATAGGGTTGTACCACCTGTCAGAATTTTAGAACTCAATTATTGTCATAATCTAAGTACTATAATGAAAGGAAAAGCAAACACTTAATACAAAAAAAATAAAACCTAGATTTCACATTTCACCAGCTGAATTTGTGTAATACAATTGCCCTGCTTTTAATTTATGTTAAAGGGATATCAATTTGAGCAGGGTCACAAAATACTCACAAATAGGGGGCTTCCTTATCAGTGAAACTGAACAAGAAAGGGGAGACAATCCTGGCCATTTCATTCTCCTCAAACTGTCCTGCGGCTTCCTCTGTTGAACCATCCTGGCGAAATACCAGCGGTAAACCTGATTTGTTTACTATCCAGTATGGAGCACTGATTACCAACTGAAAGAAAATATTAACAAATTTTTATTAACTTTTTTGGAATTCTGAAAAGAGAGAATTTCACATTACTTCATACAAAAGAATGATCAGTTCACTCAATGAGAGAGAAAGATACCTCCATAAAAATGGTTGAGACAGTTAGATACTTTACAGTGTTATTACCGTTATTACTCGACAGTAAAAGTCAGCCATGACCCTGCTATTTCAAATATCAAACTCTCTGACTGTACCAAGTTCTAAGTGCAACCAAGGGCAGTAACTGGGGAAATGAATGCCACAGTTATGTAACTTGTCAGGATCATTACCTTTGAGAAATATGAGCATTTATTATATGACTAACAATTTCTCTGTGTAGCAATTGAAAAAGACATGGTCACAAGACAGTCAATGGAAAGTGACATATCAATTAAATCAAACTAAGTCATAAAGTGGTGCTTAATTTAATTTTCTGTTATAAGAAACAATTCTTAATGGCTTTAAAAATATAGCCAACCAATCAAAAACAATGTTATTTAAAATAAGCATCTTTTTCAAATTTATTTATTTAGATTCATAATGCATTCTTTTTGTCAAAAATATAATGATGTAATAAAAAGGTGTTTTGCTTTGTATTCTTGAGCATTTTGACACTTTGGAAAGGGATACAAATTATGGCTGGTTTGTAGGGAGAAACAAAAACAGACAACTTTGAAAATTTACAAAATGAAGAGTTTTATTTTTGTAATGTAATAAAACAGTTATTGTATGAAGATTTCTGTGACAATATCAAAGACTATAAACTTGGCTTACCTGATATTCACCCCTCCGCTTTGGCCCTGGTGAATATCAAATTAGCCAAGTTCAAAGACTTGGATATTCATCTTATTATCATATCATAATTGTATAAAAGTGTGAAGTATTAACAAATGTACAAGTAAGATAAAAGTTAGATATATCTTACTTTCCAAAATTATAGTCATCATAAGTTGAGTAACTTATGGGGATAATTAATTTGTAAGATATCCCTTTTTGTGCTGTAATAAATTAATCAAACATATTTTCAAAATACATACAAGGGAGGCAAATTGGAAATGAATCATGGCCTTTGACAAGTATTAAAGCAACCTAGAGTCTGAAGCTTAGACTACTGATAGAAGTAGAACTTTCCTCAGTTCATGAGAAAAGAATGTTATAGCCTCTTTTAGCTCTAACACATGCAGGGCAAATAATAAAATGTACTTTACCTTTAATGAACCAAGTTTACATGTTATCCCTACATAGAGTTCAAGCAATCTTTTCTCAGAGTCAATGAGTCGCAGTTTTACCTTGTATCTTCTAGTATCAGAGGGTATTGATAGTTCCCTATAGACCTGAAAGTTCTCCAAGCTTATACCAAGCTCTAACTGGCTTGTCAAATCAGCCTGCAATTGAAAAATATACCAGTACATAAATACTCATTTACAACAAACTAATCATTGACCTCTAGTGACTGATAAAATGTGTATATCAATCTATTTTTTTGGATATTATTACAATTTTTTTCAGTTTATTAGAAATAAAAACTATGAAAGCTATACACCAAGTTTTGTAAAATAATCACATGACCGACTCTTAACCCTACCCTCTAAAGATTGCTGACCGCGTGGGTTCAAACCCTGACAGGGGCAAGCCATTGTTTCCTTGAGCAAGAAACTTAACATTCATTGCTTAGTACTGGTTGGTTCCAGGAATGGATTCGAGAGTGTTTCAATAAGCATATAGCTTCCAACACAATCACACTAAAATAAATTTGTATAAACTAACCCTACTTGTACAATTGTTCTGAAAAATAGCCCCATGATATAAATATATTTATGCATCAGTATCAAGAAAGCACTTAAATGTTATATATTTTTGCACCACATTATATGTATGTGACCATATCAATAAAAGTTTAACAGACATGTCTATGTTCTAATGGAAAAGACAGCAATTTGATTAGAGGTCAATCCCTTCAGTAACTAGATGACCAAGGGCAACATGTTCTGCCTGCGTTCATATCTTACCTTGAGCTATGACCTTGAGCTATGACCTAGTTAAACAGTTCTTGCACGCACAACGTAGTCTCATGGTGTTGACCATTTGTGCCAGATTATTTGAAATTTTACCTGCTAGTGAGAAAGTTATGGTGAAGGCCATTTTTTTTTTGCATTTGACCTCAAAGATCTTGACCTTTGTCCTAGCCACAAGGTTCTTGCATGAAACACACAATGTCATGATGATGGACATTTGTACCAGTTTATTTGAAATTCCACCAGCTAGTGATAGTTATGGTGCGGACAAGCTGTCTGAGACCATTTTTTTTGCATTTCACCTATTAGTATGACCAGTTTTACCTAGCATACGGTCCCTGGGCGTGACATGCCATCTCATGATGTTAAATATTTGTGCCGGGTTATTTGAAATTCCACCAGCTAGTGATAGGGTTATGGTGCGGACAAGGTGTCTGAGACCATTTTTTTTGTATTTCACCTATAAGTATGACCAGTTTTACCTAGCCACACGGTCCCTGGGCGTGACATGCCATCTCATGATGTTAAATATTTGTGCCAGATTATTTAAAATTCCACCAGCTAGTGATAGGGTTATGGTGCGGACAAGGTGTTTTTTTTTCATAATGACCTTTAAGGATGATCTTGACCTTTGACCTAGCCACACAGTACTTGTGCGCATCACACCCTCTCATTATTGTGAACATTTGTGCTAAGTTATTTGAAATTCTGCCTACTAATGACAGAGTTACATCCTGAACAAGCATAATCTGGTCGGACAGATGCACACACACATGCTTACACATCAAACTACCATAATGTGACAACTATGTTGAGCTTGCCAACAAAAATGATAAGAGCAAAAATTATATTATGTTTTGAAAGTTCAAAGAGAAAATAGCACTAAGGTGATGAACCATAATGTCATGCATCATCAGATGTGAGTAATGACAAAGAACAATTATCTTAAGTCTAGAGATGATACAATTTATAATAAAAATATAACAATTTTCAAATAAATTCAGGAGTTTGGAGATAATTCTGGGAAAGTAGGAGCTAGTGTTATAAATCTTATTTCACCTGACAAAGGTGATAATAAACATATATTTGTAGTCTGAATTAAGTCTGAAGAATAAAGAAGTTACAGAAAAAAGTAAAGAAAATTCTAAATGTCACAACAGTTATGAAACTTAACATATTATTGTTTAATATTATGTGGGAGTTGAATTTAAAGTAAATCTTTTGAAAAATAAAGAAGTTAGAGCAAAAAATAACAGCTTTTATATATATACAGCTTTTATACATGTATATAAAGAAAAATCCTGATTCAAGGACAGAATAATTTGGAAATACAACAGTTATGAATCTTATCACACAAGACGTGGGTCACAGATAATAAGAAACAAACATTTGAAGTTAAGTATAGTAAAAAATAAAATTTTAAAGGAAACATTTAAGTTCATGGGGAGATAACTCTTAATATATTGGTGCTAGAGTTAAATACCTTGTCACTTAATTAATTAACCCTTATCATGCCAACACTGAGATATCTCGGATTTCATGTCCTTACCACAGCAGCCAACATCTTAGATTTGTTTTAGTAATCCAATACACAACTGGGAATACACTAATCAGCACTGTCATACTGATAAGAAATAACTACCAGTGAATGCAGGCGAAATTATCTTAATTGTTTCTATATAATCTGTAATCCAGGATGGTGGGAATGTTTTCAGTTTTATTCATTTGTTAAAAGTTCAGAAAAATGGCAGATTGTGATAAACTGTATTTTTTGTAAAATATCATATTTCAGTATGTACACACAAGTTACTTACATATTGAGGTTAACAATATTTGCACAAACACATGATCTGACTCAAATAAACAGTTAGATCTATATTTATTATTTGCTTAATAATTTTGGTACATTTTTACATTTCTTATTATTTTTGTAAGTAATTTATAAACAAAAACTCAATGAAATAAAATAATTTTTATATCATTACATAGATATTTTAATCTTCTTTCAAACAAGAGCTGTCGGTAGGACAGCAACGCTTGACTATTCTTAGTGCTTGATAGTAAAAAAAAAATGCTTGATACAGTTACCTCCTCCTGTTTACAGGTTGGGGTCATGATGGTGAACAAGTGTGCAAAGTTTCAAAGCCATATGTCAATGGACTTTGAAAATATTTGAACTATTACAAAAACTTTAACGTAAATTCTAAGTCGAAAAAGGGGCATGATTTTGTCAAAATGCTTGGTAGAGTTACCTCCTCCTGTCTACAGGTTGGGGTCATGATGATGAACAAGTGTGCAAAGTTTCAAAGCCATATGTCAATGGACTTTGAAAATATTTGAACTATTACAAAAACTTTAACGTAAATTCTAAGTCAAACAAGAGCTGTCGGTAGGACAGCAACGCTCGACTATTCTTAGTGCTTGATAGTAAAAAAAAATGCTTGATACAGTTACCTCCTCCTGTTTACAGGTTGGGGTCATGATGGTGAACAAGTGTGCAAAGTTTCAAAGCCATATGTCAATGGACTTTGAAAATATTTGAACTATTACAAAAACTTTAACATAAGTGGTTACGCCGACGCGGACGCCAACGCCGACGCTCGGGTGACTACAATAGCTCTACTTATTCTTATCGAATAGTCGAGCTAAAAAGGGGCATGATTTTCTCAAAATGCTTGATAGAGTTACCTCCTCCTGTCTACAGGTTGGGGTCATGATGGTGAACAAGTGTGCAAAGTTTCAAAGCCATATGTCAATGGACTTTGAAAATATTTGAACTATTACAAAAACTTTAACGTAAATTCTAAGTCGAAAAAGGGGCGTAATTCTGTCAAAATGCTTGGTAGAGTTACCTCCTCCTGTCTACAGGTTGGGGTCATGATGGTGAACAAGTGTGCAAAGTTTCAAATCCATATGTCAATGGACTTTGAAAATATTTGAACTATTACAAAAACTTTAACATAAGTGGTTACGCCGACACAGACGCCGACGCCGACGCTCGGGTGACTACAATAGCTCTACTTATTCTTATCGAATAGTCGAGCTAAAAATATATAGGTTTAAATATCAAATACCGTAATAATAATAAGGTAGAACGAGAGGTTTAAATCAACTTACCCCAATTAACCTTAACCCAGCTGTTGACATAAATTAATTTGGCACTGCAGGTAGTTAGCAGCAGTAGTTTACTTGGCATGATAAGGTGATGATTACATATAATTTTGTATGAAGATGATATCTTAAGAAATAAAACAAGAGGGCCATGATGGCCCTAGATCGCTCATCAAACTCATCCAAACAATTACCTAGACAAGCATTCTGACCAAGTCTCATGACAGGTGAGTCAAAAATGTGACCACTACAGTTCTAACAAGGATTATCCATATTTGAGCAGTGTGACCTAGTTTTTTACCCAGGTGACCCATATTCAAACTTGACTTAGAAATCATCAAAACAAACTTTCAGACCAATTTCCAGGATACTTGGATCAAAACAGTAGCAACTAGAGTGTTAACAAGATTTTTCTATTTTTAGCTCCGGTGACCTAGTTTCACATGCGATTTTGAACTCATCCGAGCAATTACCTAGACAAGCATCCTGACCAAGTTTGATGATAATTGAGTCGAAAATGTGACCACTAGAATGTTAACAAGGTTTTTCCATATTTAGGCGGTGTGACCTAGTTTTTCATCCAAGATGAACCATGTTCGAACTTGACTTAGAAATCATCAAAACAAACTTTCAGAGTGTTAACAAGATTTTTCTATTTTTAGCTCCTGTGACCTAGTTTTTCATCCGAGATGACCAATGTTCCAACTCATCCAAGCTATCAACTAGACAAACATCCTGACCAAGTTTGATGATCATTGAGGCAAAATTGTGACCGCTAGAGTGTTAACAAGGTTTTTCTATTTTTAGCTCTTGTGACCTAGTTTTTCATCCGAGATGACCCATGTTCGAACTCATCTGAGCTATCAACTAGATAAGCATCCTGACCAAGTTTGATGATGATTGAGGCAAAAATGTGACCGCTAGAGTGTAAACAAGGTTTTTCTATTTTTAGCTCTTGTGACCTAGTTTTTCATCTGAGATGACCCATGTTCGAACTCATGCAAGCTATCACCTAGACAAGCATCCTGACCAAGTTTGATGATGATTGAGGCAAAAATGTGACCACTAGTGTGTTAACAAAGTTTTTCTATTTTTAGCTCCGGTGACCTACTTTTTCATCCAAGATGACCCATGTTCGAACTCATCCGAGCTATCACCTAGACAAGCATCCTGACCAAGATTGATGATGATTGAGGCAAAAATGTGACCGCTAGAGTGTTAACAAGGTTTTTCAATTTTTAGCTCAGGTGACCTATTTTTTCATCAAGGATTACCCATGTTCGAACTCATCCAAGCTATCACCTAGACAAGCATCTTGACCAAGTTTGATGATGATTGATGCAAAAATGTGACCGCTAGAGTGTTAAAAGGTTTTTCTATTTTTAGCTCCAGTGACCTACTTTTTCATCCGAGATGACCCATGTTCAAACTCATGCGAGCTATCACCTAGACAAGCTTCCTGACAAAGTTTGATGATGATTGATGCCAAAATGTGACTGCTAGAGTGTTAACAAGGTTTTTCTATTTTTAGCGCCGGTGACCTACTTTTTCATCCGAGATGACCCATGTTCGAACTCATCCAAGCTATCACCTAGACAAACATCCTGACCAAGTTTGATGATGATTGAGGCAAAATTGTGACCTCTAGAGTGTTAACAAGGTTTTTCTATTTTTAGCTCTTGTGACCTAGTTTTTCATCCGAGATGAACCATGTTCGAACTCATCCTAGCTATCAACTAGATAAGCATCCTGACCAAGTTTGATGATAATTGAGGCAAAAATATGACCGCTGGAGTGTTAACAAGGTTTTTCTATTTTTAGCTCCAGTGACCTAGTTTTTCATCCGAGATGACCCATGTTCGAACTCATCCGAGCTTTCACCTAGACAAGCATCCTGACCAAGTTTGATGATGATTGATGCAAAAATGTGACCGCTAGAGTGTTAACAAGGTTTTTCTATTTTTAGCTCTGGTGACCTACTTTTTCATCCAAGATGACCCATGTTCGAACTCATCCGAGCTATCACCTAGACAAACATCCTGACCAAGTTTGATGATGATTGAGGCAAAAATGTGACCTATAGAGTGTTAACAAGGTTTTTCTATTTTTAGCTCTTGTGACCTAGTTTTTCATCCGAGATGACCCATGTTCGAAGTCATCTGAGCTATCAACTAGATAAGCATCCTGACCAAGTTTGATGATGATTGAGGCAAAAATGCGACCGCTAGAGTGTTAACAACAAAATGTGAACGAACGACGGATGGACGACGGACACTCATCGATCCTAAAAGCTCACCCTGAGCATGCTCAAGATGACCCATGTTCGAACTCATCCGAGCTATCACCTAGACAAACATCCTGACCAAGTTTGATGATGATTGAGGCAAAAATGTGACCTCTAGAGTGTTAACAAGGTTTTTCTATTTTTAGCTCTGGTGACCTACTTTTTCATCCAAGATGACCCATGTTCGAACTCATCCGAGCTATCACCTAGACAAACATCCTGACCAAGTTTGATGATGATTGAGGCAAAAATGTGACCTCTAGAGTGTTAACAAAGTTTTTCTATTTTTAGCTCTTGTGACCTAGTTTTTCATCCGAGATGACCCATGTTCGAAGTCATCTGAGCTATCAACTAGATAAGCATCCTGACCAAGTTTGATGATGATTGAGGCAAAAATGCGACCGCTAGAGTTTTAACAACAAAATGTGAACGAACGACGGATGGACGACGGACACTCATCGATCCTAAAAGCTCACCCTGAGCATGCTCAGGTGAGCTAAAAAGTTGTAGTAAAAAAATAGATTATTGCATCAAATTTAATCTGAAATCTGGACACGGATTTGCAACTGTGTGTAGGACAGCTCTCCATTCAAACTAAAAAAAAAAAGACTATAAATCAGGAACCCAGATAATTATGTCTATATATAACTAGAGGGAAAAACCTTTGGAATTTATAACTATTTTTAGCATCTATACACTATTTTTACCCTTCATGTCACTTCCCATAATGTCTTCCCATGATGTAAGATCTATTTTAAATACTCTATGTTTGGATTTCCTCGTTTTTACCATCGGATTGGTTAAAAACAAGGTAAGAGTTTCATAATATCAAATAAGCAGGTCAAAATGAGAATATTTTGTAAGGAGAATAAATGGCGTACTGACAGCTTGATAAATTTTTGTTTCTTTTTTATTTAATTGCATTTTTTCCAATAATTCAAATGACTGGAAATGTCACATTTTTTTCAAGCAACAATGTCATTGATATTTCCACAAAAGTGAATAATTACAATTTAGGAAAATTAAGTAAATTTTCTCTCTTCTTTTCCTAAACTTTGTTTTTAATCATTATATGAATAGATTAGAAAATAATATTTGTATTCAAAATGCAGAAGTTATGAAACATGCATACTTGACATTGAAATGACATTGACTTGACCCTGATCATAGGTAATGGTAAATATGTGGCATTCAGGCTACAGTATAGGCAACAGCATGCCCTGCAGGTTTAATCAAAATAAATCAACAACAATAACATGTTTAGCATGAAGGGCTACTTTTAATAATAGATGCTGTTCAACTCATAAGATGTCATAATGTTTTCCTTAAATTTACACTAGAATTTTATTATTGTGGATTTCAATAATATATATACATGTACAAGCATTTATATCAAATTACATGCACTGTTTGCATTTTGCATAATAAATTATACCATAATAAAGTGTATTTAAAAAATCTTTCATCAAGGTCATTCTTATCTCAAGGTTAAAAAGTTGGATTTCTAGCATTCTATTTCAGTCACTGTATTTTGAGAATGTTTGATTGATTTTCAAAATTTATTTTTAGATAATTCTGTCAGGAATTTTTACTTATTTTTAGAAATTCTAAAACAAACTTCTAAGTGGTTTCCCAAGTCTGTATTTAGTATACATGTACTCTGACCTTAAGTTTTTTCAAGCATATTTGTCTCATCATATTAAATCTAGAATTGATAACATATTTTGATTGTGAATGCACTTCCTATTTTTTGATGATTTTGATTATAAAACTAACATTCATTATTCTTAACACATCTGTTTTGGGTTATCTTATCATGTACATATTCTAACATTTTATTTGTAAGGCATAAAAGTAATACACCCTTTATTAGTTATAATTGATATACAGGCTAATGACCTATAATGCACCTCCGGGCCTGTGTTTACTTACAATTAAGTCAAGACCATGGGTAATGGGCACCATAAGGAACTGTAAAATTGACAACATAGGACAGTTATATGTCTTCAAGGTCACCTGTATGCAAGATTTAAATAAAATTTAGGCCATCCTTAAAAAAATGTTTGTTTGCAGTAAGTCGCGACTGACTCGCCAAATTTGCCCCTACTCAAATTTTTTTTCATGGTCTGGATAAAGAAAATTTTTTTTTGAATCAGAAAATTATGCCTTGTGCTTTGTTTTCGTTCTTTTAAAGGTTAATAGAAGAAATAAAATATAGGTCTTATTAAATTAGAATTCAGTTATCAATTTAATAATTGTTACCAGATTATCAAAGCATATATTGTCCAGCATTTTGGAATTCCATGTTTATTTGGGAGTACAGTTAATAAAAAAAAAAATCGACCTTTAACCTACCCACCTTGAAAATTCTGGGTCAGGTTACTGCAAACAAACATTTTTTTAAGGATGGCCTTACTGTGTGGTTTACAAGTTATCATATGAATGTATTTCTGAACTAAGACTTTGCCATTAGAAGGGCTTTTTATTAGAAATGAGGAAACTAAAAAATAATCTGTAATATAATCATTATAAAAAATGTTTTTCTATTGCTCATTGTTGAGAAACAAATAATAACATTCAGGTAACAAATTAAACAAGCAAAATGATTGTTTCTAAACAAAATGTTCTTAATATGTATAAAAATGTTACCCTACCCCACACACTTTAAACACTAATTTTACTATCTCCCTTATCTAAAATGCCTTATTCAAAATATCCTAAAATTAACCATAATGAGGGGCTGTTTTCAAAGTTTGCCTAAATTTTCTTAAAGGTATATTGGTTGATCATGCGAAATATAAAATACTTTTATCGTGTAGTTTTTATTTTTTTAAACTTTGAAAATATTCCAGTATCATATTTGCTATAAATTTTTGCATTATTTAGCAAACAAATACCTACAATAATTATATAATTTAAATCAAACCCTTTTTTCTTCAATAAGGGATCAGAGAGATACATAAATAATGTTAAAAAGAAAAAAAAGAAAGAAAAAACTAGAAATGTGTCCATTGGACACGGGTGCCCCCTATGCGCCACTGTTCTGTCAATCTTTTCACTAAGTCAAGGGAAATAACTCTACAAATACTGGATAAATCCACAAGCGAAACCCAAGGTGCAAATCTAAATATGCTGAGCAACCTGCCCATAAGGTTTAATGACTATGTCAAATCCTTTTTGAGCAACTTGCAACACAAGTTGAAAATTGCAAAAAATATCTAAGTGAAGGGCAATAACTCAAAAAATACTAAATAAATCCAGACGAAAATACCTGGTGCACAACTGCACATGCTGATCAATATTCCTGTAAAGTTACATGACTCTAGGTCCAATACTTTTTGAGTTACTTGTGACACATGTTGAAAATTGCAAAATTTTACTAAGTCAAGGGAAATAACTCTGAAAATACTAAAAATATCCACACGAAAATACCAGGGTGCACAACTACACATGCTGATCTACATTCCTGTAAAGTTTCGTGACTCTATGTCAAATACTTTTTGAGTTACGTGCGACACAAGTTGAAAATTGCAAAATTTTACTAAGTCAAGGGCAATAACTCTGAAAATACTAAAAACATCATCACACGAAAATACCCAGGTACACAACTACACATGCTGATCAACATTCCTGTAAAGTTTCATGACTCTAGGTCAAATACTTTTTGAGTTACATGCTACACAAGTTGAAAATAGCAAAATTTTACTAAGTCAAGGGCAATAACTCTGAAAATACTAAAAATATCCACACGAAAATACCCAGGTGCACAACTACACATGCTGATCAACATTCCTGTAAAGTTTCATGACTCTAGGTCAAATACTTTTTGAGTTACATGCGACACAAGTTGAAAACTGCAAAATTTTACTAAGTCAAGGGCAATTATTAAACTCTAAAAATACTAAAAATATCCACACGAAAATACCCAGGTGCACAACTACACATGCTGATCAACATTCCTGTAAAGTTTCATGACTCTCGGTCAAATACTTTTTGAGTTACGTGTGACACAAGTTGAAAATTGCAAAATTTTACTAAGTCAAGGGCAATAACTCTGAAAATACTAAAAATATCCACACAAAAATACCCAGGTGCACAACCACACATGCTGATCCACATTCCTGTAAAGTTTCATTACTCTCGGTCAAATACTTTTTGAGTTACATGCGACACAAAAGTGAACGGACAGACGGAAGGACGGACGGACAGATGGACAAGGGTAAATCTAAATGCCCGCCACTAACGTGGGGGCACAAAAAGTTGCCCCTTCTGGGGTTTGAACCCACGTCCCTCGATTTCAATGTAGTTGGCAAGCGATTCTAGCCTCTATGAATACTCTTCAAAGTGGAGGTAATGCATTACCCATGGTCTACCTTAAGTATCAAACCAAATATAAAAACTCAAATATTACTTACTGTTTATCTTCATAGAAAATTTAATATCAACTTGGTAAAATTGGACTTTGAAATTATTGCATGTTATTTGACAGGTGGATCCAAATATTTATCCTTATCCTAAAATTGATTCTTTATAATTTTGATATGGTTATTTTTGTGTTTGTTTTGTTATTCATTGATGCCAATCCCAAAATGTTTCTGTGTAAATCAGCAATTCTTTTTTTCAGTTTTTTTTTTTATAAAACAATGAAAATAAAATCAGCATCATTTGATCCTGAAATCGCAATGTTAGTAACTACATGATTGTAATGATTTATCTTTATATATGCCATTTGTTGATATCTTTAACTATGGAACATATACAACAATTTATATAATACATTTCATGAATTTCTTACAATTTCAATGAATTTCAAAAGATGTAAATTGTATATCTTTAATGATAACAAGAGCTGTAATGTGTGAGTAGAGTAGATCTCCTTCTTCTTCAAATGGAAAAGCTAAAAATGGATATTTTCCCATTTAAGGCTCAAGAATGGCAGCAAATACCTCTCAGGCAATGACAAGCTTGAAAGAAGACAGTGTTGTCAGACAGAAAACTAAAGGTGAGCCTCTACAGGGAAGCAATGTGACAATCAACGCAGATAAGAACAATGATCTGCATAGAGATTCTGTGGATAGCTATTTCAATAAGAACAATGGTTTGCTTAGGGCTGAGGACAACAATGGAAACAGAAACATCTACCTGCCAACAGACCATGTTGAACACAATGGCTCGCCTGCAGTCCATGTGGAAAACAATGGCTTGCCTACAGACAATGTGGAAAACAATGGCTTGCCTACAGACCATGTGGAAAACAATGGCCTGCCTACCGTACATGTGGAAAACAATGGCCTGCCATCAGTCCAGGTGGAAAACAATGGCCCGCCTACAGACCATGTGGAAAACAATGGCTCGCCTACAGACCATGTGGAAAACAATGGCCTGCCTACAGACCATGTGGAAAACAATGGCTCGCCTACAGACCATGTGGAAAACAATGGCCCGCCTACAGACCATGTGGAAAACAATGGCTCGCCTACAGACCATGTGGAAAACAATGGCCTGCCTACAGTCCAGGTGGAAAACAATGGCCTGCCATCAGTCCAGGTGGAAAACAATGGCCCGCCTACAGACCATGTGGAAAACAATGGCTCGCCTACAGACCATGTGGAAAACAATGGCCTGCCTACAGACCATGTGGAAAACAATGGCTCGCCTACAGACCATGTGGAAAACAATGGCCCGCCTACAGACCATGTGGAAAAACAATGGCTCGCCTACAGACCATGTGGAAAACAATGGCCTGCCTACAGTCCAGGTGGAAAACAATGGCCTGCCATCAGTCCAGGTGGAAAACAATGGCTCGCCTACAGACCATGTGGAAAACAATGACCCACCAAACTACCATGTGGAAAGCAATGACCCACCTACAGACCATGTGGAAAGCAATGGCCCACCTACAGACCATGTGGAAAGCAATGGCCCACCTTCTCAAGGTCTCACTTTAAGGAGTAGTAAGGAGGTACATGTGTGTGATGTGCATGAAACAATATATTAACCAATCTAACATAGCTAGTACATTATCTTCACTGTAGAGTAGTTTCTTCTTCTATTTATGCTTATACTATATATTTCTGCTTCAGAGTTCCAATTGTATAAAAGAAAATATAGTTACTTTCGTAAAACATTTCTCTTCAGCTTAAAGATATGATACAGATATAAAGATTTCAACATATTTTTATTACTTACATATTAACTATACAATTATAAGGTCAAATAAAGAAACACACAGAATAAATAAGTGATGAAATTTTTCAAGGCAACAATCCTTTTGTCCTTGATTTTCAATTGGTGGCAGCTTTTTAATTGCAATTTATGTGAAATGCTTTATTAATAAAACAGCTTTTCTTGATAAATGCAGGATATTGGTGACTTTTGATAGATTCTATTTGGACTTTACACTTTATGTGTGTCTTATATTGTTGGCATGACGCTTAAGTTTCATATTGAAGAAATTTCGGTAAGTCATTACTTTTTTATATTTACTACAGGAAATACATTTGCTTTGAGACAGCATATAATGAAGGCTCAGTAAAAATACCTGACCCCAAATTATTTTATAATATACTAAATAATGTGTCATCACTCCCAAACAGCCGTTTATTTTGAAATAAAATCTATTCATTTTTAACAAATTTTGAATCACTGAAGAATTTTTTCCCCCCATTTATAAGATTCATTGTCAAGATTTCCCTATACATAAACATGTATTTTCAAAAGTGACCGACTACCTTGGCCAAAACTCTTTCCAATTTGCAGTTCTATAAACGTGCAGGATGATATAAGAAACAGCAAACAGCACTTTGGGCATAACCTCCAAATCAGCCCCAAACAAAATTAAGACTTCAGCCTAGGGGTTTGTTAAATGTTTGTAGGCTGACTAATCAGCCACAATAATGTTAAAATAACATTAATGCTGTACATATTTGTTAATTAAGAAAGCACACAACACCCTACCCCCACCCTTCAAAGATGCATGTATACAAAATAATGTTATTTTGATACAAACAGTCAAGTAATATTCAATGGTTATTTATCACACTTATTTCACAACAGATAACAAGTCATGAATGGGAAGAGCTAAAAAAGATGGTGTCTGTGCAAGCCTGTCTTGAATTTGATAACAAAGCTGATGTACAGGAGGCAATTTTGAAAATAGTCAGAGAAAAAGGTATGCTTACTGAACAGCAATGTTAACAACAGTAGTAAGCTTTTCTTTCCAATTTCACTAGAGCCATAATTGCTAACAGTAATATTCCTCAGGAAGATACTTAACACTCATTGTTTAGTACTTGTTGGTTCCAGGAACAATTAAGAGTGTTAAAAACCTTTAACTTAAGCATCCTAAATACTTCAACTCAAATAAATTCTGTATTAAGTAACAGTAATAAAATAAAATGAGCAATAATAAGGTTAAATCCTGCATCATCATTGTTAAAGACCTTCAGGTATTTATATACTACTTCATCCTTTGTTTCAGAGCTTATAGTAGCAAACTTTAGCTTCTAATCTTTAAAAATATACATGTATATAAGTAATATTGTGACTTTCATGCTTTCCTAGTAAAAACAGACCTGTGATATCCTTTGCGCATTATCTCTGGAATATATGAAGGTTAAACAAGAGCGATCAGTGATCACATGTGTCGCCTCATGATGGCCAATTTCAAAAATCATTCAACCGGAAAACCCATGCAATATGCGCAAGGACTTGAGCTACAGATCAATCCTGTAAAGTTTCATTGAAATTGCATTAGTGGTATAAGAGAAGTAGTCCGGACAAACTTTAAAAATTTTAAAAATAAAAATTATTAAAGGGCCATAACTCTTACAAAAATCATTGAACCGGAAAATGCTGACAATATGCACAACTAGACTTGGTACTGATCATTCCTGTAAAGTTTGGATGAAATTGCACCAGTAGTTTATGAGGAGTAGTCCGGACAAGTTTTGTGACGGACTGACAGACAGACGACGGAGAAGTGATCCCTATATGTCGCCACTACTCCGTAGAGGCGACACAAAAACCATGGCACCAACCAAATATGTTAGTTTTACTACCCAGCTATTTATTTTCTTTTCTAGATTAATTGAATGTTGATGAAACTATAACTAAAACTTTCAGTTTGTATTTCATGAAAATGGTTTCTGAATTTCATTGAACTAAAATGAAATTTTGCAGGGTGTTTCCCAACAGATACCAGTGCTGCTGAAATTTCAGAAATTATCATGGTAAGTGATTTAATAATTCTTTGCTCCATATGACCTAAACAGTTTAAAGGAACTCCACTGTGGTTTTTGAATTGAAGGGATTTTACTGAAACTTATGTACCATTTGATGAAGGTCTGGACTAATAACTTGGAATAAATGAAATAAATTGGAAAGCATTACAAAGCTATTGAAACAAACAAGGCTAAATATAATGCAAAAAAAATATTTTTTTCTTTGATCATCTTAGCAGATTTTTCAATTTTATGTGCATCACTTGATCTATGCAAGAATTTCAAATTTTATGTTTTTTAATTTTTATAATTATTTTTTTTACCTCAGTGGAGCTCCTTTAAGATGCATTACATAGCCACAATTAAATTTCAATGTTGCTCAAAGTATGAAAAATATAAGTTAATAGGATTCTCACATAGGGTTGCAAGCACCAGATAAAAATAAAATTCCTTGACTTTTCCCTGACTTTTCACTGACCAAATTAGGTTTTTCACTGACCAAAACTACCGAACTTAAACGGCCTACACCTCCCCTTCAGCTGTCCATCCACCCATAAGTTTTTTTTTGTTTTTGTTTCATTTCAAATTCTTTAAACAATATGGTATTACATTATTTAACAATAAAACATGCTTATACATGTAAACAAAGTTTGGTACTTTTGTTCAGTAAAATATTAACTATGCACAATACTTCTCAGATTATTGACAAAATTAATTCTGTATGTTTTGCTATTGATAGGGTAACAAAATATCACAAAACACACAAAAACTTTAATGATTAAACAGCATATTAAAAAGCAAGTTATCCTCTCAACTGAAGCTAAAGTATATATTATATACTATTGACTAGGATTATCATCAAATGCATAGTAAAAGAAATAACAGTCTGTAAATATGCCCAGCAAACCACATTCCATTTTTTACACAAAACAACTTATCAGAGAGGATCCTCATACATGTTTCTACATGTTGTGAAAAATATGAAAAAACATAAGAATTTCAATAGCTTGAGAAGCAGGGGTTACTTCATTCCATTGAGAATTTTCAACTGGTCATACTTAGATTGTAAATAGTTAATCAAAATGAAATACAAATAAATATAAAACTATAATAGCATACAGCAAAAGCTATGTAAAATAATGAGTAGCTCATTATTAAGTGCGGTCATTTATCCATGCATCCAATACTTGTACATCACTAAGACTTTTCAATGCTTCAATTTCTTTAAAATCCACAAGTATGAAGAAATAATCACCACAAATATGAAGAAATAATCATAACAAAAATACGTAAATGCAATTTTTAATACAAGAAGATGCCATAGCCTATAGAATTAATAAAAAAAATAGTGTCCTTCGAAATTATTTTTCCCTGACTTTTTAGGATTTTTATTTTTCACTGACCAATTTTCAAAATTCCCTGACAATTCCCTGACCTTGAAAAAATATCAGAATTCCCTGACTTTTCAAGTCCGCTGGCAACTCTGTCAGACACAATAGTTTACATTAAATACTTTCTTAATGAAAGTTCAGACGACATATTCTTCCACTCAATTTTCATAAACCAAGTTTCAGCTGCTGAATTTTATGACCACATTTTTTTCTTATGTACATTGTCGTAAAATTAAGGGAACTATTTTCTAGTAAAGTTTTAGCATTTCAAAATGGCTTAATATTACATTTTTGTATACATTACAGGATAGGATGTGAATCCCAAGAACATAGAAGAAAACCATGTTATGCAAATCAACAGCTTAATTTTATAGTGTTTTTTCTTCCCCCACTAAAAACAGCCTTTAAACTTGCCTTAACCCTTAACCAGCTGGAATTAAAAGTTAGCGACCTTTGCCACCAGTATAAAACCAGGCCAGCCTGCATAAATATGCACTCTGACCAGGCTCTATACTGTTGGCTGACCAACTCAATATTTTCATTTCAATATCCCTCAAAATTGAGTCCATTTAAATAAAATTCAGCAGGTTAAGGGTATAATGATGAAGAGTTAGTAGGTTGTAATAATTAATGTTCACATATACATATCAATTATTATAGGGCACTTTATTTTTGTAACTTTCCCAGTTATATACTTTCCAACTAAATTCATTTCAATTTTTTTTTCTGAACAGTTTCTATGAAATTACTCTTATTGAGAAGAATGATCTCTTTTAAGCAAATTCAAAGGCAGTTTAGATGTAAGAAATTGGTGGATATTAAACTTATTGATATTAGAGAGAAGCTGATGTTACCCTGAGATTTGTGCATAGTTCAGCTTTCAACGAAAAAGTTCATTCTTGTGCATTAACAGTAGCAAGTAATGATGATTGTGTATGGGCATTTTTTGATACCAGTTCAGAATGTTGTGTTCTTATAAGATAATCTTGCAGTAAATTATAACAATTTAGTTAAATATATAGTAGAATAAATTCAACCAGTAAATTCAATGACTGATCTTACAGATCTTTGCTTGTTGCATGACATTCATTATTTTCCCTTTTTATGATGTTGTAATGAAACTAGGTCCAATACAATGATTTTTCTTTTACGGGCATTACCTGGTATATATGTTTGATGATATATGATATGTAGGGCACATTTGATTCGGTTAATACGTGTAAGAAAAGTTTGTTAAATTGTACCATTCCTATATAATGCATATTTTAAATCATGTATTAAAATTGTTTCATTGAAATGATTTTTCATTATCTCTTGTCGGCCAATGAATCCTTGAACATTAGCATCAATATCTAACACTGCCTAAGATATTACACAAACATGCAGGAAAATCAGTGCATAACACCTTTAAATCCCTGACCTAGAACTTAGTTTAACTCTAATTATAACAAGATATGTTTGTAAAACATGTATGCCCCCTATCAGCAGCCAATTAGTCATGTGATAAGGTTATTATGCATGACTTCTGACCCAGTGATCAAACAATTAATAAGGGTTATCAAGTATCTACTGGTCATGACCTTAACCTTTGACCCCTTGACCCAAAACTCAATAGGGGTCATCTGCTGGTCATGACCAATCATCATACAAAGTTTGAAGTTCCTAGGCCTAAGCGTTTTTAGTTAATTGATCGGAAACCTTTTTTACCTACAAGGTCAATGTGACCTTGACCTTTGACCCCAAAATCAATAGGTCATCTGCTGGTCATAACCAATCACCATACCAAGTTTGAAGTTCCTAGGCCTAAGGCTTCTTTAGTTATTGATCGGAAACCGTTTTAACATACAAGGTCAATGTGACCTTGACCTTTGACCCCAAAATCAATAGGGGTCATCTGCTGGTCATGACCAATCACCATGCCAAGTTTGAAGTTCCTAGGCCGAAGCGTTCTTTAGTTATTGATCAGAAACCGTTTTTACTTACAATGTCAATGTGACCTTGACCTTTGACCCCTTGATCCCATAATCAATAGGGGTAATCTGCTGGTCATGACAAATCACCATACCAAGTTTGAAGTTCCTAGGCCTAAGTGTTCTTAAGTTATTGATCAGAAACCGTTTATACTTACAAGGTCAATGTGACCTTGACCTTTGACCCCTTGACCCAAAACTCAATAGGGGTCATCTGCTGGTCACAACCAATCATCATACAAAGTTTGAAGTTCCTAGGCCTAAGCATTTTTAGTTAATTGATCGGAAACCGTTTTTACCTACAAGGTCAATGTGACCTTGACCTTTGACCCCTTGACCCCAAAATCAATAGGTCATCTGCTGGTCATGACCAATCACCATACCAAGTTTGAAGTTCCTAGGCCTGAGGGTTCTTAAGTTATTGATTGGAAAGCATTTTTACCTACAAGGTCAATGTGACCTTGCCCTTTGACCCCTTAACCCCAATATCAATAGGGGTCATCTGTTGGTCATGACCAATCACCATACCAAGTTTGAAGTTCCTAGGCCTAAGGGTTCTTTAGTTATTGATCGGAAACCGTTTTTACCTAAGAGGTCAATGTGACCTTGACATTTGACCCCTTGACCCCAAAATCAATAGGGGTCATCTACTGATCATGACCAATCACCATATCAAGTTTGAAGTCCCTAGGCCTAAGGGTTTTTTTCGTTATTGATCGGAAAACCGTTTTTACCTACAAGGTCAATGTGACCTTGACCTTTGACCCCTTAACCCCAAAATCAATAGGGGTCATCTGCTGGTCATAACCAATCACCATACCAAGTTTGAAGTTCCTAGGCCTAAGGGTTCTTTGTTATTGATCAGAAACCGTTTTTTACCCAAGAGGTCAATGTGACCTTAACCTTTGACCCCTTGACCCCAAACTCAATAGGGGTCATCTACTGATCATGACCAATCACCATACCAAGTTTGAAGTTCCTAGGCCTTTAAGTTCTTTGGTTATTGATCGGAAACCGTTTTTACCTACAAGGTCAATGTGACCTTGACCTTTGACCCCTTAACCCCAAAATCAATAGGGGTCATCTGCTGGTCATAACCAATCACCATACCAAGTTTGAAGTTCCTAGGCCTAAGGGTTCTTTTGTTATTGATCAGAAACCGTTTTTACCCAAGAGGTCAATGTGACCTTGACCTTTGACCCCAAAATCAATAGGGGTCATCTACTGATCATGACCAATCACCATACCAAGTTTGAAGTTCCTAGGCCTTAAAGTTCTTTAGTTATTGATTGGAAACTGTTTTTGCTTACAAGGTCAATATGACCTTGACCTTTGACCCCTTGACCCCAAAATCAATAGGGGTCATCTACTGATCATGACCAATCACCATACCAAGTTTGAAGTCCTTAGGCCTAAGTGTTCTTTCGTTATTGATCGGAAAACTGTTTTTACCTACAAGGTCAATGTGACCTTGACCTTTGACCCCTTAACCCCAAAATCAATAGGGGTCATCTGCTGGTCATAACCAATCACCATACCAAGTTTGAAGTTCCCAGGTCTAAGGGTTCTTTTGTTATTGACCAGAAACCGTTTTTACCCAAGAGGTCAATGTGACCTTAACCTTTGACCCCTTGACCCCAAAATCAATAGGGGTCATCTACTGATCATGACCAATCACCATACCAAGTTTGAAGTTCCTAGGCCTTAAGGTTCTTTAGTTATTGATCGGAAACCGTTTTTGCTTACAAGGTCAATGTGACCTTGACCTTTGACCCCTTGACCCCAAAATCAATAGGGGTCATCTACTGGTCATGACCAATCACCCTACCAAGTTTGAAGTTCCTAGGCCTAAGGGTTCTTTAGTTATCACTCGGAAACCATTTGGTCTACGGACCGACAGACCGACGGACCGACAAGTGCAAAGCAATATACCCCCTTTTCTTCGAAATGGGGGCATAATAAGACTAACACAACTGTAACCACTAAATAAATGACTCCTTTCTTTCAAGCTGTCTACAAAATGACAGATTAATTTACTAACAATGGATATTAATGTCAGTTCTTATAAATATATTGTAACTTACAGCCGGTATTTGAGCCATCTTCCCTGGTTTAACATCTCCAGTAATATCTGTGTTCTTAAAGTAATATCCAAGATCTATTGGAAGCAGGTTTACTATAGTTACAGGGGGCATAATCAATATTGTATGACCAGGTAGGGGAGATAATCCTCTAGTTACAGATTCTTCTGGAAAATGTTCTCGTCTCACAGCAGCACAATACCTGTGAACACCAAAAGAATAAAGTAAATTGGTATCTTAACACACTAAAATGCATTGCAAGACAGTGGGTGGCATGTTTTCCTGTCCGGAGGGAAGGCCATACACATGTCACTCTCCTATATATTAGAGTTATCTTGGCTACCACAGTGTCAATATAGGGATTTATTGGATGGTGATGAATTACAATTCAAAGGCAGCAATAACATGTAAACAAGCAAATGATTTTAGCTGTATTATTCAACTCATTTGATTGTAAAGATTACTTTAAACTGACAAAAGACCATAACTCAAAAACTTTCAAAGCATTTTTCTTTTCATACAAACAATCTCGCCAAACAAATTGAGCAAACAAATTCTAAATTGATAAAACAAAACAACCAAATAACACTTAAATGATTATTTTATGAGAATTTTATGTACTCAATAAATTAACAACCTTGAGATCTAAACACTTAATGGATTAGACAATATGGTAAAATTATTGTAAGAATCAAGCAATAGCAGCATAAAACATTCACTTATATTAGATATAAATAACAGTTTATTATTTATTGTTAACCATGATTTCTCACAAATCAGTTTTATATTTTAATATAATCCATCAAGCAGATTTTTCATAATTAAATGCCAAAATTACCTAAATACTGCATTTGTGTCAGGCATTTTACATTCCCTCAAAGTTGTTTTTACTTCTCCTGGTTTACCAATGTGCTGCCAGTTGATTGGTTCATGTGAATGTTCAACCGGCCAATCACTAGGCCTTATCCAGAGTCTGGATGACAAAAATGGCATAGGAATTGACTTTTGTTGACAAGAATTTACAGTGATGTAATCGTAACGACCTGAAAATAATCAAAGGTTACAAACTAAAAACACCTGTCTATAAATTGGATGAATGATTGATTTATTTGTTGCAATGACACAGAAAAGATCATGCACTATGGCAACTTTCTAGTTTTAAAGGTGGAGGAAGACATTAGCTGTGCCTTTGTGCATTATTTCAGGCACAAACAAGCTCCTCTGTAGAAACACCAACATTTCCTAACTAAGCTAGCTGTATAACTAGTAGGATGCCCTACTCTGCTCTAGGTTTTTACTTTAATTATAAAACTTTGGTTTATTAAGCATATAGTTTTCTTAAATTACTACTTAAAGGAATTAGCATTTTGATTTCTCATTGTTTTGTATGCAGTCAATTATAAATGTTGCTTCTCAAAAGAAAATATCTCTCATATCAAGCAGAATTATCCCCAAAACTAAATTTGGTATCAGAATATTTTATTTCCCTATTCCAAATTGTTATGCATTATCTGTAAAGTCCAACTCCAAAAACTCTATAAACAATTTGGATGCCCTTAATTTCCAATTACATACCTGGAATAATAGGGTTGTCCATCTTTAACTCTATAGGGGTGTCAAGCCGGTTAGACACCATGAGGGCTGACCTTAGAGTGATCACCTTCCTGGCACTGCCCTCTTGCTGGATATCAAACACAATCCTAGCCTGTTGCTGATCATTCTATAATAAATATCTTATATTTTTATAGTCTTGCCATAAATCAAATAATTTTACATAAATTGCCACTTTTCTCCAATGAACTAATTACATCAAACTATCCTGTGATAATACTATTTTATATGAATGAATATTAGCAAGTCATTTTCATGTCATAAGTTATATGATCTCACAAAATCAAGGTTTTTGAAGCTTTCCCAAAAACATTAATCAGTATCTTTGCAAATCTTATTCTGTTACAAGCATTACACTTTAAATAAACAAACCTTTTATGTTTATTACTTGAAACATAATTTATTTTAGTTTGTGTAAGAAGCTTATAGACAAACTCTGTAACCCATTCCTGAAACCAGCCAGTATGAAGCAATGGGAGAAATGGGATAGCAGCTGGCCCATGACAGCAGTTGAACCAATGCAGCTAGGGGTCTTTAGATTACTAGTCTGACATGTTAATCACTTGGCCATGCTGTAACTTATGTATTTTGATTTTTGGTTGACTTCTCAAGCATATAACTACATGTACCTAAAGTATCCTTATGAAAATAAATTAATGTGAGGGGGATGGGTTAAAATGGAACCAACATTGTAAAGACCACATGGTAACTTTCCACCTTTTCTGATTAAGGAAGACATTCGGGTAGAACACCAACCTTTGTATCTATCACATTATCTTCCTTACAAGGTACACAAGGTACATTGCTGGTGAAAAGACTGGAAAAACTTAACAATAATAAACAAGCCAATTGTCTAATTGACCTAAAACCATCAATTATTTCTCAGGGCCAAAATTATAAACAATGTATCAGTTTTCCTTACATCTAATTCATGCAATTAAATCATGTTGTTCTTCAATTTCCTTCCCACAGAGAAATTATTTCATAATATCCTGAAATCTCCTAAAGTTCAATGCTATTCAAAATGACTGGAGTGGCTTATTTTATCTGTGTCACAAAAAATCTAAACAGTTGATAAGATAAATATATAAACATACCACTTTAATGATGGAAGGTTTGCTAACATCTGGTAGGGTATTTCTGAAGTAGATGCCAACTTTGTCCACTGACACTGGACGTAATCCCTGCCATCCATCTACTTTCACAATCAACTGATTCACAACCAATGAGCTGGATTTCTGTTTGAAACAAAAACCGTAAAAGGAATACATCAATCTTCTATTTATCACAGCAGAATAGTTTTATGCATTATAAAAACAATTAAAAATAGAATAAATCAAAATGGAAAACTTAGTGGTCCTTTTAATACAGCAAAATTCGAAATGCTGTCATACTGGCTTGCAAACAGTCAATGATAAGAATTAGATCTAAGACGCAAAAATCAAACTATTATCTTCCTTCATGGGATTCTCTTAAAATGTCTCTGAATATAAGAAAGTAATAACTTTCACAAACTATAAATTCAAAAACCTGTTTCTGTACTAATTAGCCAATGACTTTTAAATTATATTGAATTAGTCCTAAAATAAGTCTTGTATTGTCTATAACTATATTCAAAGCATTTCAAGTAAATATCATACAATTTCAGCAGCCAATAATAAGAAAACAACTGTACATTTAATGCATGGCTTTATTCTGGTGTACATTGGTGTTTCAAAATTTAGAGTAACCTACCTTGTGTCTTATCTTATCTTTCCTCCGGAAGCTGAAAGTTTTTTCCTGATTCGGAGGCACATATATCATTTCAGATTCATTAAATCTTTGCTCGGAGTATTTCATGGTGTCTGCCCCCACCAGGGAAGGGTTAACAGTGACTGGTGCAAACCAGACTGGAGATCCAGTATGGTTACGTACAGCATAAGGTGTAAACAGCTGACGTCTTCTAGCTCCACTAGGTGAGTATAGCTCCTTCTGAGATCTGTGCAAAGATAAACAGCCAAAATTGAAATGTTTGTCATTTTAAATCATTTAATTAATAATTTTTAAGAACCATACTAATCAGGTAAGGTTAGAAATCAAATATTTAAATAATTTTCCTCATATGCGGACACTCAAAAGCAAATAAAGTTATATAAACTATTACATTGTATATCAAAATGTAAAAGTACAGAAATAAGTATAAACCTAAGAAACAATTTTAAGCAAGACTTATAGAGAATATTTTATGCAATATTAGAACCTCAATACTACATGTACATTTAATGTTAAGACATACCCATCTTTATGTTTGTAGTAATCTTCTGTCCATTTATCCTTGGTCATATTGTATAGTTCTAACAATGTACTAGTTGCATTGATGTTCAATACATCAGGAGCTGAAACACAAAAATTATACAACATTTATACCTTATGTTCATGTTACAGGACCCATTCTGTAAACTTAAATATCAAATATATAAGTACATATATAAGTACCTACATATACTGAAGATAAAGGGTGTACAATAAGCATTTTCAAAATTAACGAAAATGACATGAAAACTGTGGACTGTTATCACAATAAGTCCAATTTAGTTATGTTTATAAATGATAAATTATAAACTACAGTAAAGTTTTACCTGAAATTTCTATGGCTAGCTTTTCTTCTGCTTGTTTATAGTTCTTCCATTGGGCATGACACCTAGAATAAAGTAACAAAATTTAGTGTTCATTTTCATCAATAAGGCACTGGTTATTCAATTCACCTTAGCAAGTTTAAGTTGCCTTCTAAGTCATATGAATATTGTTAAAATTGAATGGCAACTTTGTAGCTTTTAATGGTGAAGAAAACCAATAAATACCCTGTTCAGCCTTACTTCAGGCACAGACAGGCTCCTGTGTAGAATATTCCATACATTGACCTATAGTCAATAGGAATACATTTTTATCCCTACCATGCTAGAATCGAAAGTGATTAGCCTTTGCCACCAAAACAGCCCGGCCAGCCTGCACTGCACATCCTTGCAGACTGACCAGGTTCTACATGGAGGTGGACAAACTTAAAATTATCATCTTAATATCACAAAATTAATAATAGACGGTTCAAAACATGGAAATACTATAAAAAAAATCAGCAGGTTAGTGTTAGGAGCAGGTTAGGAATATAGGAATTTAAACAATGAAATGTATGATTGCAAATAGAAAAAAAAATTCTGACTACCTCCATTGTTCAATGAGTGGTTCCCAGCCTGACAGTGTCCTGTTATAGTAATCCCCTGCTATCTGGAACCCGGCTTTACCTTCCCTGCCAGGTTCATACTTCAGATCCATACCTATAAAATTATAGTTTTGTTAGCATTAAGTCATTAAAGTGACTTATCATACTTTTAAATCCATAGAATATATTATTAAAATCTGGAGCTTATAGTTAAGATATATATATAAAATTTTAAATACAGTACTTTTCATATATGAAGATATCAATGATTGGGTACACAAATCATGCTCAGGTGGTGACAATGAGCAATAGTATTTGCATAATGGGAGCATGAATGAGTATTCAGCAATGTAATTTCATATCTAAGACTCCCCAACATCTAAATGTCACTTAGTCTGTTTCATACAGACTATTTTGCACGATGTGCATATCTTTATTATTTTTATGATGCATATTTAGGGAAAATACACACAAAATATGTCCACAAAAAGATTTGTGTAGATATGAAAGGACTCACCAAAGAAGTTGAGCTGTATTAGAGGAACATCTGCATCTAAACAATCATCTATAAGGCATAGGCAGAATGTTGTCATATTTACCTGTATAGACACACAAGATAAATATTGACATGTTTGTAACTTCCAAAAAAAATGTCACAAAAACCAATTTATCAAAAGTTCATTGAAGTAGTGTTACTATGTATCCATTGAGTGAACTGACTTACTTACAACATAATTGCTTTTATAAATGTTGAACTACTAATTGCAGAACTATTTTACAGATGAAATAAAAAATGAAAAATAAAATAAATGTATAATAATGTGACTCAATACCCTGAATTTTCAAATTTAAATGGTATGCTGTCATAAAATGTGAAATAGAATATAATCTGTTCTTTTTGAGTAAATGGACAATAAATATCATATTTCTGATTCCATTATGTTGAATCATTCAAAAAGTCCAAATAAACTTTCCTATACTTTAACAGATGTAATTTTAGAATCAACATAAAAAGTGAATAAGAATATTTTCCGTTTTTAATGACCAAAACAATAGCATCATATTTGTATAATGAAAACTCTAATAAACATTCCTATACCTCAACAGCTGTTATTTTAGGATCATCTTTCTTTGGTTTTACCACTTTAGAATTTTCTGTCAACCATACAGCAGCCTCCTCCAGGTTGTCCTTGTTTAACTTCAAAGATTTCAAACAATCCTCTCGACTGAAGTTCATATCCATTAACTTTGTCATCTGTGCTTCTGTTGTGTAAGAAAACATTTTTTAATATTTTTATATGTTGATCATTTTGACACAAAAATTTTGTAAATGCTCAGATGGTGACACTGAGCAAAAGTATTTTTTGTTTTGCTTTTATTTTTCATTCAGAACTTAACAATTACATCAAGCATGTTATTCTTTATTTACGTTCTGTTCGTTTGGTTTAGGTGCCAGTTTACATCAATTTCACTAATGTACCTTTAAGTATATACATGTATCTTCAAAATGCTCCTGGCATCTGTCACAAGTGAAGTGTAAAAACTAACCTTTTTCTTCAAGTAAATAAGTGCTATCCACTTGACATGAATTATAACTTATGAAACACTAAAATATGTACAGGAATAGACATAATTATTGTCAGCAAACATACTGTCAAGGAAATACTTGTAAGATCATGTACTAAATATTTGCAAAATTAACCATGCTCACCAAGGAGCTACCATCACAAGCCAATTACTTGTGTACTTATTATATTCTGTCATCATCTTATTATGTAATTCTTATCTGACAACTGTTTAATTGTTATCTTTTTTTCTTTCTCTTAATTTCTCTCAAAAGACCAATTAAAAGCATAAATGAGCATTAAATAATTCAAATTTTACAGAAGAACAACAACTGACCTGTGAACTGTGACACTGGTGACTCAGCTGTTTTATTAGCTTGTAATGCTTGTTTAGGTAGAGAATCCATTATAGCCAGAAACATCTTCATATCCTGGTATGACAATCTTACATTCATTGTGTTACAGTTTATCTGAAATATACGTCATACAAGAATGTATTCAATTAATGTGAGTCTGGAAAACAATATATTCATTTTACAGATGTCAACATGTGTCAATGAATCAATTATCAATAGTAAACAATCATCATTGATCTACAAGGGCCATAACCCAGTTTCTGAGATTCACCACCACTTGATAGTAGTTTGTTTGTTTGTTTTCTTTTTTTTCTTGCTGTAGCCTTTTAATCTAATACCATACATTATTTTATTTACTAACAAAACAAAAATATCCCTTCAGGATAAATTCTTCTAAAGTTATCCTGCAGAAATCAGTTATTTTACAAAAAAAATGCTTTAAAAAGGGCATAACTCTTTCAATAATATCTGAATTTCAGCAAAATTCAAACTTAATTAACCTGTGTTTTGGTATAACATAATTACAGGCAAAATGTAAACAAAATCACTGAAAACCTTTCAAAGCTATCCTCTGGAAACAAATAATTATATGGAAAATTTCCTTACAAAGGGGCATAACTCTATCTATAACAAGTTGATTGCTGTGAAAATCAAATTTAACCTGTGTTGTGATGTAACATACTTACATACCAAGTATACCAGTTTTTTCTGGTATATAAAAAGATAATGAAAATCTTTTGTCTATAATTATTATAACAGTCATATAAAACCCTAAAATAAGAAAATATATTGTTTTGTTTAGTTTAATTCAATACATACGTCTAGAAGCATTTGTTTGAGATCAAATTCTGCCGCATCAACCAGTCCGGCTGTAAATGTGTTAGGTTTAACAATAGGTAGAGGGTTTGGAATCAGCTCTATAGTGACCGACATTGGATCTACAATTGACAGGGCTGTTTCTTCCTCCGCTTGTAGAGAGCACGAGAAAATCTCCAAACTTTGAAGAGTACATGAGAGTAACTTGTCCTGAGCTTTAGGTCTGTACGATAATACTGATGTACACTGAAAATTAAGATGAAACAAAATTGATTTCTTATGTACATTATGAGGTAACAAACAACAAGAAAATTAACAAAATATTCATATAAATTACTAGTAAACAGCAAACATTCTGATTTGATTTAAAAGGTTTAATAACAAAAGAGAAGAACCTCTTAAAGTAAGAGCCTTTAAATAAGAGCCTGTGTTAAAACAGCCTTTGATAAAAACTGAAGGCATTAAAAAAATTAATATACCTCTTGTTATATTCCTACCTAAAGAAATTTCAGTTAAACAAAACCAAGTTACATGATGTAAAATTACACAATGAAACCCAAATAACTTATAACAGAATACCCATACCTTCAGGATGACAGCATTGGTATCAGCAGAGGCCAGATTCTCTACAACAACAAACTCTGTATCCCTTACATTCAACTTCAACTCAAATGGAACATCAGTCTGAGAAATGAAATTATAAGTCTCTTTGATTGTATTTTTCAGCAATCTAAGATCAATCATATCTTGGATACAATCTTAAAGATATCTTTTCTTTAGTATCTTTTACATTTACAACCTTTCCTTAAGGAAATATTATTCGCTTGTGTTTTTTTTATTGTTTTTTTATCCATGCCATTTTTTATCAAAGTTAATTGAACTTTAAGGAACCTCAAATTTCCTTCACACTAAATGGGAAAAAAAAAATTAGTTCCAAGTTACCATATCTATAGCTGTTTCCTGGAAAGTTATAGAAACATATAGTAATACACTGTTACTGACAGAAAGAAATCTTTAACCATTTTAATTATAATTCTTGATTCAAAGACTGCCCATACTGCTACTGTCATGTAGTTGCACTAACCTGTTCTACAAGAGAACCAGCCCTCTTTGTTATTATACCACCAGATGTCATCAAGGGACTGGTGGTACGTGAGCCTTTACTGGATGATGACAGAGTAGGGGATCGAACCTCTTCCACATTATCATCAGCTGATTCTTGGACTGTTGTAAAAATTTGGTAAAAATATGTTTTAGAGTTTATGATTAGAACAAACAAGTATAAAATCCTTTTCATTACCAGTATACATAAGCATGAAGCCTACAGTTCTATTTTAGTTACTTGGTTATTTTGTGCTAATGCATGTATTGTTTTCAATTTTGCTTCTTTATAAGCTCAAATTTGCACATTTAAGTCATTATATTTATTGTGCTATTCTTTTAACAATGAATTCCATTTAGTCTTCTTAATGATATATTCCTTATTTATCTAAATGCACTCAGACTTTTAACAAAGTTACTTTTTTTAAAGAGTTTTTGACAATCAATGGTGTATAAAATCTGGATAAAGAGTGATCTCCTGAAATTGCAGACTCAGTTTGAATGAGTCTGTACATGAGAGTTATAATCTTTTTTTCTTAGGCATTCATAGATTTCTATCACTAAGCTAAATTTACCAGTTAGGAAAGGATTATCTGGTTTTGTAGAGATGAACTGTTGTAGGGCAATGATCCAATCAAAACTACACAGCAGTTTCATGTTGTTTATGATGACCTTTAACCCCATACTCTCTACTGTCGCCCTGTAGTGTAGCTCTAACTGTAAACTGTCCGGGCTCGCATCCTTTGTAGGCTGTAGAATCTTCTCAAACACACAGGGTTTAAGATTGATAGCCATATCTGTTAATATAGTTAACATATAGCTTCGTTTTCTTTGCTTTAATAAACCATGAATACATGTAAATAAGAGATCTAAATAAAAATGTTCAAAACCAAATTTATGCAGAATAATAGTATCAATTTCCAGAAGTTGTGTAATACTTTTTCATAATGACAACTGTACAAATTTGAATATCAAATTAATATCTAAACTACAGATTAAAAGTGGGATCAATATACACAAGATGGCAGCCCCCACAAAGTAGACAAAGTGCATAGCCAAATTGGGAAAATACAGCTTAGACAATATGCATGTGTTTTATCATTATAATACTAATAATATTTCACTCCAGAGCTGTAACACAAAAACGCATGAAACAAACATGATATAAACATATAAAAATTTTATTTATTTATGATATTTTTTAAAATACTATTTATAAAAGCAGGAGGAAATCACCATATCTATTTACATTGATGTCAAAATCAAAATCACATAAAAGTTACAAAGATATCATCATCACCTCTAAACCTGGTATCACTTATAAGTATCTCCTTGGAAACAAGGTCAGTTTCTTTTGATTGGTCAGAAAACAGGTCATATGACAACCTGGAACGAATGAAGTCAAGTTTGGCTAAGCTGACCTCAGGCTGACTAGAATCAAGTTTATGAGAGGTCAACAGTTCAACAGTCACATTGTTGAGGTCAACAGCGAATGAAATCATTGTCCATACATCTCCACTTAGTACAGTCTAAAAATTGAAAAACATAGGCATTATCCTAAAAAGTAAACATGCTGAATAAGTGTAATTTTTCAAGACAATGAAAAGAAGCAGAGACTCTCTTTTAATGAGGTTGTTCATGAGAGATAATGTAAAGTACAACATTTCTGTTGCCAAGAACACTAGCCCAAGAGGTTTTCCATCCTAGACAGTGAAAGTATTCAATTCAATTATCCCCAAAGGACCAAAAATAACAGCTCTCAAGGCTGACTTTGCCATTAGCTGTTTTAGCCACTTGCTGAAATTTTACTTATATGGCTTAAGGAATTACAATTAAGCTATATATAGATAAATTATAAAATTTTGTATGAAATCAGGCAAGCCTACAATTTTGGCTAGTGAAAATTTCAATGAAATACTGGGCAAATTTGTATAGCTACCACACAGCTCTTATCACCTGCTCTTGTGAGGATTATATTGTTATAGGAAATAACATTATAATAAAATCATTGAACTTCTTTTGAATTGCTTTTTAACTGAAAATATTGCAAGATTTTCATAACAAAAACTGTCTTAAACATTCCTGCAAGTCCATCCTGTGGCAAATTTTATATTAGTTTGGAAAAAAAAAATTCTTAATGTATGTACCTGTACATTTGGATTTTGCATGTGTGTAAGAAGTTCTTTCTTGAAGTTTTCAAACTTCTCTCCCAAGTTATGATCCAAAAGTCCTCTAATAAGTTTATACTGGTCAATATCGAGACAACAGTGGACAGATGAAAGCGCCCCCTGTACTCGAAAATCTGGTACAGCATGACTGAAATCTCCCTCCAAGTTTCTCTCAATCTGTAAGTTCAACATGCACTTCTCCTTCAACAGCTTACAACCCTGCAAATGTAAGACAATGATCATTTAAACATATGTAAGACAATGATCATTTAAACATTCTATTCAGGTAATACAACACCTACTATAACAGGTTAATGAAATATAACACTGAATGACATATTCAATGCTGATAATTTTATGTATTACGGTTATAATCCAATAGAACAAAATACTTTTTACCACCCCTCAGATTGTTTCATTGAAATAAACTGATCACTTTAAAGATCCTGTAACTCAATTTCTTTATGGTTTTATATCATAAATCTGATGCTCAATGAAGATTTATCAATATTGTAAGTTCAAAAAACCATTATTTGTAAAGATATTACCGAATTTACATTTCATGTAAATAAAGGGAGGTAATTAGAAATCTATTTTCGATAAAGTCTAAGCCAAATTTTTCAATAAGAAATGAATGCATAGATTTTAATGATTACTTATAATGCGAATAAACATTTGCAGTACATATTTAACATATTCTTGGATGTTTGGAAATTGTTTTAGAAGAATAATTATATACATTCATAAAAATTTCACATAAGTGTTGTTACATCCTTAATTACAACATAGAGGATCTTAAATGTTGCACATTTTTAACATTAATATACTTACTTTAACACAATTCTACTACAATTTTCTGAAGCAAGAACATATCTTGTTTAACTGTTTAAATTTTTGAAAACAAAAAAAACACTCAAGGCCAGCCAAATAAATTTTTACCTGTCTCTGAATTACACAAGATGGGAACTCGAGATCCTGATGAAGATTCTTCCCTTTATACTGTCTCTTCTCTACCCTTTCTGCTGCAAACAGATCCATATCACATAAACGCACATCCAGAACATCCAGCAAGCATTTATGATCATCTATCTCCATAGCAACATTTCCATCTTGACTGGTATTACCTTTTGCAAAACCAGTCAATTTTTCAGTCAATGTAATGTCACTTAAAGGCGTAAGAAATGGACTACTTGCAGAACTAGCTTGCATCGAATGGAAAGATGTATTTTCAGAGAGAGAAAGATTTAGACCAGAATTCTGTCTGGGTGATTCAGGATCCACACTTGATCCTACAGAAGACACTTCAGTGGGGTCAAACATACCATCGTATCTTGTATCATGATCAAGACTACCATATACACTTGATGACATTGGATCTTCTTCCCGGCTCTGCTGCAGTAAGTCCTCAAAAGTATCCTCTGAAAGCACAGACTGCATCCCAGACTGAGAACCATCAGTTTGTGAAATACTTCTTGAAGTTATAATACCAGTCCGGCTATTTATAGATCTTACAGAAGATTGAGAATTTGACCTTGACACTAACTGTTTACCAAAGCTTTTGTCTGAACCAGACTTAGACAGGTTCTCAGTCGGTGTTTTAACTTTTTCTGACTGCTTCTCAGCATTAAATGTACCAGAATCACCATCTTTTTGAAAGCAGTTCTTGACAGACAGCCTGCCAAGGTCAGCAACTAGTACATCAGTAGTTTTAGAGCTGTGAGGTATGAGTATGATAGGGGAACCAGCCTCTATATCAAATAAAATCCTTGGTTGGTGGTAAGCTTCTTCATTTATCTGAAACAATTATTTTATCACTGACATATTACTTTCAATATTTATTGTACCATTGCAAACAAATCAATAAATATGTATAAATTGGTATTCAATAAGCAATTAAAAATTTGAAATACATTTAACTATTTATCTTACAGATATTGAAAATATATTCTGTAAGAACTTAATATCAGATAGAATTATTTTTAAGCATTTTTACAAGTTAACAATGATATAATCATTGCTTTTTCCAAATATTTTGAAGAAATTCAAGGCATCTGAAAAGAAAATGGTCTTTTTATTGACTATACTTTCATAGAGTTCAGATATCTATAACTAAATTATATATTCCATATATTTCACTGTTTTGTCAGTGTATAGCAGATGGACAGCTTGACACCAAGGCAGATTTTGGGACAAGGACTCTTTCTGCCCCTCCCAATTAACAGGAAATCATCACTCTGTCTTCGTTTTTTGGATCCAAAACTTTATATTCTTTTGTACATTAAAATTAAATGTAATAATTGAAAACCCTGGTAAGTAATAAACTAAGCCGACCTTTTTCCCTGCTGAAGCAGCCCTCATTCTACCCAGGACATCCTGTAACTGTAGAAAATGTTGAACAAATCCTAGCATCTCTGCCTGGAACTTGTTGGTATGTGTGTATCGTACGGAAGACATTCGCAGCTTTAACTTCATGTCATAATCTCTGATTAAATATGGGTCTGGCAAACCAAACCTTTATTGATAGAAAATCATTAATGTATAAAGCAGAAGCAAGATTTAAGGCTCATACATGCAACATAAAAACTGTAGCACTTAAATCTTTTACATTAATTTTTAATAAACAACAACTTTTGGCTCATAATTTTATTGGCATAAAACAAAAGTTTATAGCCATATAATAAAAGAAATTAAAGTTCAAATACACCAGTTATACAGAAGTAAAAAGATGCTTCAACAAGATAAAATTAATTTTTATAACTTAATAAAACTCTTCTTACTTGAAGAAGTCAAACTCCAGGGCTTGGTCACCTACTGTTAAAAATCTCTCTCTGTATAATTTACCACTAGGAGAAAGGTCAAGGACACAAATCTTTCCTAGTTGACCTGAAAAGATAATATTCATTTATAGCCTTTATAAACAGAGCATCTCAGAAATATCTATTCCTTTAAACTGCTTTAACTAGAACTGTTTAGCCTTCGCCACCAGTATACAGCTGGCCAGACTGAATGTCTGTGAACTCTGACCTCGCTCTATACTGTTGCTATCTTTATAATTTTACAAAAATTGATAACAGACAGTTCCAAAAATGAAAGCCTGACAAGTCCATTGAAGAAATTTAGCAAGAGTTTAATTGAACTGTATGGTCGTGGCTCTAACAAAAGAAATAAGAAAAGATAAAACGGTTATCAAAGTAAAATAAGGCCAATATTTCAAAGAGGTATTTAACTAGTTAAGACTTTAGCCATCAATTTTTACAATACAGGCATGACATTATCAATATTATTTAACTTATATCATCTTGTCCTAATAAAAAGTTTTAACATTTATATTATGAATACCTTTGATGTGGAAGTTTCCGTCCCTGAGTGAGAGGTGAGAGTTCATCTTGGAGATACTGGCCTGAGAGAATTGATATTCTGGTTTGTTAAGAACTATAGATAAGTTCTCTATCTTCAGTTTGATCTCTGAGTTTACAACAGGTTGCTCATATTCCTCTACAATACACAGACAACAAGAAATAAAATATACAGACAACAGTAAATATACTGTTTTCTTAAATCATTAATATATAGCATAAAAATATTTTTGGTAAAATAGTAAAACATCAAATGATCAGTCAGTCAATGCAGCTTTATTTATCAATTTTCTATAAATAATGCCTATGCAAATAAGCATGAAAACTTGGAAAAACTGGTAAAAACAGTCAAATGTAAGGGGTTTTCTACTAAAAATTTGTCCACTGGACATGGCTGCTCAAACATATTCAAATGTTTTGTATGTCTAGGGATAGACAGTGTGAAAGCTTCCCCCTCCATTTTTTGTGTTTTACGATGCACAAACACTATTAAGGCCATCTGACAACTTTCTAGCTTTACTGGTGGAGGAAGACCTTAAGTGCCCCTCTATGCATTATTTCACTGATTAGAACCACCAATGTTCAACAAGCTGGTTGGATACTTCTTCACATCAAAGAATCCAAAATCTCTGGCAACCACCTTTCCAAATGGGGTCAATACTGGTGACATTGGCAAATCTTTATAACTGCTGTACTTCATCCAATACATACATAAATGTATGTACAAATAACAAACCTAAAGTTATATAAAAAATATTTCATATAAATTTATCAAATTTGGCACCTTAAGGTAAATTGGAAAAAAAAGAATTTCTATTTGAATAACTTACCAGGATTGACAGGTTTATTTTTAGGATCTGCCTCTTTTCCAGCAAGGATATCCACATCATGTACTTTTGCTCCAAGACCTAGGAAATCTAGCAAAACCACCCATGTCTGCTGGTTAATTTTAGTGTCTAAACAGTTAAAATCCACATCAACAAATCTTTTTGTTTCATTGTATTTGTCTTTATATTCAGGTGAAGCTTTGTCAACAAGAAGAACAGAAATGTGTACTAGATTTTCACCTGAGAACTCGTCATGTGAATGGCTACGTGAAAAACGAGGAGTGGGTGGTGGTGTATTTGGACTCACTCTGAAATATTGACATTTACACACACTTCATAATTTAATACAATGAAATATCAATTTAAATAATGTCAGCATTAATGAAGCAAAACAAAGCAGCAGATATGTCATATAGAAGCAAAGATTCCAATCTAGAACCAATCATATTAGCTTGGTAAACAGAAATAAATAAATAGGACACTGAATGAGTGTAAGTTCCATGTGAGTTGAACCACATTATATTATGAGAGCCTCTAGCAAGTTCAACAAATTCAATAAATAGATAATATTAATCATCTCTACAGAAACAAAAAGAAATAAAAAAGAAAATGCTCACCCTGGCTGCATTCTACTTCCTCTTGCAAAGGCTGGGGAAGACAAGAAAGGTCTAACAAATGGTTCAGTGACCACAGGCTGGTTCATCTTTGACACAAGGTTATGAAAACTGCTTGGCAGAGAATGAGGCATCATTGGTACAGGAGCAACAATTGCATTATCTGGACAAGATTGGGACAAAAACTCCCTTGGTGTCATGTTTGCAAATTCATCTTTCTTCGGCTCCTTGGAAACCATGATCTGCCTGTGAGGAGAATCTGGACTTTCTAATAAATCATCCATTTCTAATGACTTCAGAGAGACCTCCACTTTCGTGGTTGCTGGATTATCCTTTAGGAAGTCTAGGAGAAATCTGTGAAGTTTAAGTTCTACAACACCTCTGTCCCCTTCACCAAAATCACCTCTTAATTCAACACTAAATAAAGGAACCTCTAATCTGAATTTCTTAGTGACAAACAATTTGTCACTCTGAGACTGGTTTAGACTGGACATTCTGCTGGAAGACAAACTCTCAGGCTGAGATGGAAGATCAGGTGAACCAGTCGAGCTTTTTGGTAGACTGTCTCCACTTGTTGCATTCTGATTTGAATTTGACTCTTCTGGCATCTTCTCATCTGCACTAGACATATAATCTGATGTCTGCAAAATTTGTTCGTAAACACTTTTCTGAAGAACAAGTTTCAGTGGTGTTTGAATTCTAGCTCTTATGTCTAAAACAGGCTGTTTTTCTTGTTCATAAAACAAATCGTTTACATCTTTAGGTTGAAAATGTCCAGGATATTCTCCGGTATTGTTGACATTAATCACAGATGTGTTTTTTGCTGAATGATCTATAGTCACATGTATTGTAGTATCAAACATAATTGGTGTCCCAATATCACTTTCAATAGTCAATGATCTGTAATCCACTGAACCATCTAAATTAATGGAATTTTTATGTGTTTGTGTTTTCTTGTCAATATCTGCAGAATACAAATTCATATTACGTACTTCCATGAAAATCCTGTCAGGTTTTTGTCCTTCACCATCAGAGAGCACCTCTTCAAATGAATGACCAAGACTTTTGTCAACCGTGTTACTAACTGTTATCTGACCCAAATGAGCGACAAGTACATTTGAACTTGTGGCATTTTTTGGCACAACAATTATGGGCGAGTCAAATGAAGCATCAAGTTCAATTCTCATATCTTTATCTTCACTTTCATCACAAAACGTCACGTTGTCAAAATATTCCGACTCTGTTTTCTCTGTGGCTTGATTTAGCTTTTGTCTTGAGCCACCATAAGTATCCAAACTGCTTGAACTTCCAAAAAATGAATTCTGACCAAGGCCTAGTTCTGATCGCTTAGCAACCATTCCTTTAGCAACCTCGCTAGCAACTGATTTTAAAGACTTTGCCACAGACGACTTGTATTCCTTAAATTCAGATACACAAAGAGACAGTTCATTTACAGTCTTAGGTGAATGTGTGTAACAAAGGGAGGCAACTTTCAAACTGACTTTTTTAACATCTTCTGCATTAGTAGTATCTAAATATGTGTCACTCCTGTTACTAAGTGGTTTGCTAAAGTGAAATGAAAATGCCTTAGTTTCTTCTTCACAATCAAATACAGTTGACTCATGAGCCGTTCTGTACATATGTGGGCTTATGATAGATTCCTGTGCACCATCTATGCCTGCACTGAATAATCTTCGGTGCCGTTTATTATCTGGTGTGACATCGTACACATGAAAGCCTCCCAGAGATCCTGACATACTTAGTTCTGTATCTGTAGAGTAAAAAGATACATTTTTGTAAGTTATTTTCTGAGTTTCATGCATATATTAGATAACATTTATAATGTATGCAGCGTATTAAACCTATATTTATTGAGAATCTTCAAACATTAATCGTGTCATTAAACCTTACCCTGCAGACTTTGTATAACTGACTGGTTCTGTTCTGAACTTTTTAAAATTTTCCATCAAATTCTGATGTAAATAAGTCTTAATAGACTAAAACCAATAGGTCCTTAAATAAATAGTTTACAAACTAACCTGATGTTAGACATTGTTCTCCTATCCCCTTTATTTACTTTCCATTTAAAATTCTTATGAAGAACTAAAATTTGATAATTCCAAAAATCATGAATATATTACCTATGCTAGCTTGTAGCCTAGCACATGACATTGTTGCCGTGGCAACCTTTCTAGCTGACTTTACACCAGTACTGGTATCCAGTCTCATCATCATAACAGACAATCTGTTGAAGTCAGCTGTCACCTCAGTCCTAGATCTTTCAGTATCAGAATTTGATAAACCGGCAAACATTGACTGGTTTACTGCCAAAGTATTTGATGCAGAGGGACGCCGTATCCCAGATGGTTTAGATTTGGGTACTGTTCTCTTTAAGAAGCTGACAATCTCCACAACTGTTTCCTGATTGGCTGAATTAAAGCAAGATGGAAAAAATGATATTTGATAAATTTTGAATATAAATAAAAAAGATTGAAAAATGACATACAATTTTCAAAACTGACAATCTCTATTAAGTGACCATCTTAATCTAAAACACTCTCCATTGCATATGCATTTACTAAAGAAATTGAGTGTTCTGTTATTCATCATTCCTACAGCTTATTAGACAATGACATTAAAGTCATATCAAAATATAATATAATTGATATACAGTAGAATTTCTATGAGTAGAAATTTGATAAGTCAATTTTAGCGATGTGTGGAAGTAAAATGAAAGTCCCGATTTTTCCTGCTAAATATTCCTTATACAAGCATATATTTGAGTTAAAATTTTATGTGTCAAATTTTTTGATGTATCAAAGTTTTTTCATGGGCTGTATAGAATAAATGAAGTACAATTACCACAAATAAGTAAAAGTCCTTCAATTATTTTGACACCTTTGATCTTAAAACATTTTATTACCCTTTTCTAGCCGCAAAGATGATTTTCGACCAACTTGTGTACCAAGTGTTAATTACACAGTTGTGTCTTCAAACAGCCTTTGTATGAATTTAAATGTTTGATAAAATGCTTTAATTGTTACAATTAAAATTGTGAATTGGTTTTTTAAAGTCAACAATAATTTTTTTTTCTTTAAACGCAGAGCAAATTTAAGCTTTCCTCTTTAAATTTTGAAAATAGCTTTTAATCTTAGTTTTTAAAAAATTTCTTTAGGGCATTTAAACCTATGATATAAGATTTTAAATTAAAGATTAGCTTTTTTTTAGGGGCCCCCCTCGATTTGGGTTTACTTGGAGATTTAAAGCTGAAATCATGTAAAAACTCAAAATAACTTTTCAGGCTTAAATGTAGGTCTTGGAGATGCCACTGTTTGTAGCACTGTCTGGCTGGAAAGCTTTTGGTTTTCTTTCCATGTATAAGTAAAGCATACTGTTTAAATTTGATTTTAAATAAAAACTTAAACACTAAAATTAAAATTAAAAATTAATAAAAATACTTATTCTATTTTATAGTTTTTCATTTTTTAAAGCATAACAGGTTAGCGTATTAAAGATAATGTACCTTTGTTGCCTACAGATTTATGAAAATCTACAAAGATATCAATGAAAAATCATTTGCCACTTTGCTAGTATCACTTGTGTTTTCACACTGCCTGATACAGTTTGAGACAAATCATCTTTGAAGCATGAAGAAGTTATTTTACATCAACAAATAAAAAATTTACAGAATATTTCCTTAACATTTAACATGCTTGAACAAAGTGAGAAGTCTTTGCCACTGGTATAAAGGTAGGCCAGGCTGCACATCTATGCAGCATGACCAGGCTCTATTCTTTTGTATCACAATCTTTGTATTTTGTTATTGAAACCCCTTCAACTTCAAATTGACTGTTTCAATTTAAAGCAGGAAAAGTCCATTTAAGAAATTCGGCAGGTTTAAGGTTTACATGAGAAATGTCTATATTTAAGATAATTTCTAAACATAGTTTTTACAAAATACCAATATTAATCAAAGCTTGGTATGTTCTTGATACAACATCTTGTACAGCCTTGTAGACCCCATGGTTGTCACAGGTGGGGGGGTATTTCCTATTGACCCTTGGTCGGTGAACCCCTTGGTGGATGCATTAGGTGAGGTGTAGTTGATCTGTATAAACTAACTTGTACTGTCCATCCTTGAATATTCACATTCGGCCTTGATATTATATAATCATCATGATAAAATCTAAGTCATTATATACATGATTTTCTTATTAGAAGTACAGAAAACTGCATCCAACATTAGATCAAAAAAGGCAAATTTTTACTCTATAAAGGAAGTAAGTTGTTATGCATCAACAAATATGTTACATACATATTCATTTCCTTTGCCATCGTGCATCTGATAAAACAAGGGTACAAAGAGCACATAGAAATTGGCATCAACATTAAACTGAAATTGTTTTTAATGCTGCAATTTCTTAATAAGAAGACTTGCCATGTTTATCAAAAGTATCAAATTAATGTCTGCGCAAATGTGTTTCAACTTTAAATCTTAACACTTTTCGCATATGGCTATGACTATACAGTTTAAAGCATTGTACAACTGAAGACAATGTTAATATTTGAAGAAACATTACTGTCTTTTTTTTCTAAATTATAGCCCGTACAAATATCTTAAAAGAATAACATCATTTCTAAGAGAATACAAAAGTTCTTACGTAATGTTTCTATGAGAGGCGACCAGCAGTTCAAAGTCTTGTCCGTACGTCTGTAGAGCATCTACTACTAGTAGACTATGTACCATTAGTTTTACACTAGTATCATATGGCCTCTTTGTCACACTGGTCTTCACACCAGACACCTGTAGCTCAGCAACTGCTCTATCTGTAGTGATGCAATAAATAAAAACTTGATCTTTATACTTGTACTGATATACATGTATATTTTAAATGGCCATGATGCTATGTATTTAAGAAATTAAGAGTGCCTAGTTATGTAAATGACTTTTGTTGAAATTACCAGTAAAATGCACAAGTATTCTGTGACTAAATGAATGGGCTTATGTTAACTTATTGATTTATTATTGTTTTCACTGTCCTTCAGATATTGCTAACTTTGATACGTTGCTTATGCGAGTGTGCAATTTTTTTTGGATACCATTAATTTCAAATATTGGTCACACTTGAGGAAACTGCAGTGACTTGAAAAGAAACTAATTTCAATAAATTTCATCATGAGTATTCACATAATAATAACTTTGATACAACTTCAACTGATCTTAAATAATGTAATATGGCCTCAAATAGATGGGAAAATGTTCACAAAATCAAAACTACCAAAAGAACGACTTAAACAGCCAATTTATATGAAACAAAAATCATTCTACAGAACAAATGTATTTTCAAACAAATACCTCTGCTGTGAATTTCTAAAGACATGTGTTTTACAGTAAAGTCAACAAGAAACAGCTGTGATTCTTCTAAAAGCTCTTTCAACTTCTTCTCTGGGTTGTCCTCCTTGTCATGTAATAAAGAGTCTACAAGAGTACTCTTCCCTAGTTCTTTAATGTTCACATCACTAGAGGACTCTGTCAATGATTGGCTGCTTGAAGATTTCACAGTCTGGTTTAAGTTTGATGGTGGAGACAAAGACTTCACACACGCATTAATTATCTGAACCTAAAATTAAATCAGAAACTTATTATAATTAATGTGTCCGAAGGCAAACTTGCATATACATAGGTTAAGCATTAGGAGTTTTCTTCTGTCAGTAGAGAGAAAACATGCAACATTAAACCAACTTAATAAAAGAATTATCTCTCCTAAAAAATATTAATAAGTATGAAATGTAATTCTGACAAACTACTAAACAAATGAGTTAAAATGAACAATGTGCATTCATTTTAAGAGATTTTTAGAGAACAGAAAGAGTTAGTACACTGAATATTAAAGAAAGATAAGAAATAACAATAACCTAACCTTTTGTTCATTAACATGTACAGTAAGTGATGGTAGGTTGCCTGTAACAATTACAGTAGGAAATCTCGGATCAGCCGTGTAGATCAGTCGTCTGAAATTAAAATTTATGCTTGCTTGTAAATCCAAAATTTACATAAAATAATGAACATAAATTGACAACTATTCACAGGGTCTTTGTCTGACTCTTCATACAAGCCACTGATGCAGTTTCTTCAATCATGTACAAATATACTAAAAATTTGCTTTATAAATAAATTTAATTCACCGTGAAAGTGACATTTTCATAAACATTTATCATTATCATTGATAGATATTAATCATAAAGCAGATATTTGGTCTTTAAGATTCAATCAAACATAGGAAAGTAATAGGGGCCCCTTGTTGTCAACTTCTTAAGCATGCTAACTTGCGCCTCACTACTTGGAAAGTTCAAATCCAGCCAAGGACTTTGGTAAATCAATTCATGTAAGAAACTTATCCAGCTTCCATATAGATAGTTTGTGGTTCTACTGACAAACTTACATTCTCAAATGGCATATGGCAGGAAATATTCAGCCTTAATAGACAAGTAAAGCTAGAAAGTTGCAATATGACTGTAAAATGTAAGAATAATCTAAAATAACTCCCCCCAAAAAAATAAGTAATAAAGCTTTATAATCCATATTTTCAATCTTATAAAAAAAGAGAATATTTACCTTTCTAATTGAAGAGTGATAGTAAATCTGTCTACAAGATGTAACGGTGTAGAGTTTCTGTGATGTATATGTTTCCAGTTGTCCTTCATTTTACCTGTCATCACCTGAAGGTCTGTTAATTCTAGTGTGTACCTGTAACAAACAATCATATTACAACAGATATTACTTTAATTTTTTCCCCAATATATTCTATATTATCATATAAAATACACGAGTCTAATGGTCTAACATTTGTCTTTCACAGCTGATTCAGACATTGTGGAGATAGTAGTCAGACACTTGCTGAAAAATTGTTAATTACTGGTTAGTTATCTAGGGTAGTCTGTGAGATGGAACGACTCGAGATATGACTAAAAGTATGTGTTAAAATTGGAGATAAAATCCACAAAAACAAACAAACTTTTATAAATTATCATTCACTATTTTCAACAACGACCTTGAAACTGAGAAACAAACATGTAACTTACTGATCATATATTGTGCTGTACAGCTGTGACTCTGTAAGCTCCATCTGGGATAATTGTTCAATGTCTATACCTTTATTTGCACTGTTCTCTGGCTCATTAGGTGGAGTTGACATTGGTGTAAGAAACTCGTCTGAAACAATCACCCAATTATATACACCTTGTATCAATGTATGATCATGTCTTTTTTACCCTTTTCTGACCAAACAAAACAAGAAGTGCGTCCAAAGGACACAGATGGCCCCCTATTCTACTGTATTGTCAGTCTACAGAAGGACAGCGAGACAGACAAGGGCAAATCTATGTGAGCCCTGCCAGCATTAAAGCCTTATTCTTTAGCCATACCTCAAACGACAGATATGGAAATTGAACTTTGACCTAATGACCGTAAAATCAATATGGTTCATCTAATGATCATGGGCATCAATTTTACCTAAACCAATGGCTTATTCCTTCTGACAAGGATAACAGGGCGTATGTATGTCTAAATGGACGTACAGTTGGACTACGTACAGTCACATCACAGTATGAGTGGGAGCATAATGATGACTGCACTAAGAAATACAGGGCAATACCAATACACAGAATATTCCTACAGATTTCAAAAAGACAAAATCATTATGTAGTTCTATACACTTTAAGTGTTTGTAATTACAAAATACATTTACCTTCATTATTCTCTGTACTCTCAGTATTAGGTGTTCCAGTCTGTGTGTTGTGTAGCTTCAGGTGTCCTAGATCTAACACTACCATACTTGTATTATCTGATACAAAATTCTCAGGTATGATGATCTGTGGGGCTGCCACATCAAGATTTATCTCCCATCTCTTTGCCTATAGATTCAAAATTATATTATCAAGTGTTGTTTCCCTTTATTTACCAATATCATATTTACTAATTTTGTACGTTTACCTGTTTGATGCAGTATTTCAGTCACATACTTTGAAGCATTGCCCAATGGGAGGCTTAAATAATTTCTGCCAACTAGGTCACATATTTCTATTCAATCAACAATAGCCATGATATCTGATACAACCAAATCTTTACATATAAACTTAATGTCACATCCAAGACTCAATGTAGCAAATCTGAAGTATGTTGTAAACAAAATTTTTTTCTGAAAATTAAAAATAATTTATCTTGCACAAAATAAATCTTTGTTAGAATTTGCATTAAATCGTATAAATGTAGTTTTTTCTATTTTCTTTTAAAGTTCAAACTATTGCCTGAATTTTAAACACTGTAGGTATACACACCTTCTCTGACCCCTCTAGTATCTGTTCCAATGAATGTTTCAACTCGGCCTGTGTCTGTCGTTTCAGTGTTTCATACTGTCTCCTAGCAGCACCTTATAATACATTTAATATTCTCATTATAAGTAAATGGCTCCAGAATATATTTAAAATAATTAAAACACACTTTTTTTCCAGAAGATGTTAAATTTATACTCAGCTGACTTATTATGGAAATATGTAATGTTAAATGTGACATTTCAGCTTCTCTCTTCAAAACCATTGAGTATTATACGTGATAGTGTCTACATGTTGGACTGAACATCAAATATTTCCAAAATGTTTTATTTTTACAACTTCAGGCAAGAACTAGGAGAGTATGACTATCAAGAACTAGAACATTACTGAAAACTATTAAATTTCTTTAAAAAATTTCAAATTCAAATTTAATGTCATAATAAATATCATTGACTTCCACTTACTGGACAAGGCACTTTCACTCTTCTTGGCAACATAGATATTCTTAGATGAGAACACTTCCTTGATCCGCCTTAAAGCTTCAGTGTTATACACAATGTCAAGTGGCTGTGTTAATATGCTGAACCTACAAAATATATACATATATTGTTTGGGTAAACATGTAAATTTGCTTATAAGATATGATTGGTATTTATCTCCCTATTTGTATAATTTGAATTTTCAGCTTTAGCTGTTAAGGTGATGAATAGACATACTTCAGTAAAGGTGGCATGGCAACATTCCAGAAGGAAAATGGCAAATGCTTCTTAGTGGCCCACTAGTGGGCATGGTCTGTAAAAAAAAAATATTCATGGATAAAATATTATAAAGTTAAAAAGATGAAAGGTATTGTAAAGCATGAATCAAATGCATTAATAGATGCGAAACTGTGAAATAAATTCTTGCAACATTAGTCAAACAGTATGTGTAAATTATTCAGTTATTATTTACTTGAAAAGTGCAATCATAAAGTTTCCTTACAAACTATAAAGATATCTGTGTTTATTACTCACCTGTAATTAGCTGCTGTTTGAAATGGATTTTTCTCAAACTTCAGTGCAAACAATTTTTCTTCTGTCTCTTCTTGTACTGGGGTAATTTTAGAGGATTTCTGATAGCCTGGTGTTCCTGGTGTCCCTATCTGTCTCTTTATTCCAAACCTCTCCTATCAACAACATAACATTACATGACATAACAATAGCAACACTTTCTATACAATAAAGCCCATTATATGATTTTTATAATTGATAAATTTCAAATCTGACTGCCCTTTCTGCTAGATTAGGAAATAGCAATAATTCTTCTAAAAATATAATAATGCTCATTTCCAGAAAAATGCACAGATGATCTTATGGTTTTTCAGGACATTTTTATTCTGACACATACAAAATGAGCAAAGCATCATTCAACTAAACCTATCTTTTGAGATATCTTATTTCATTGTACACATATCATGATACACAAATAAAACTACTGTCTATGCGTTTTCTAAACAGACAGACTATAACAGCATGAAAATAAATCAAATTTTAAACAAATATCATTTTTTCCAGAAAAGACTCTGTTACAATACAAAAACTAACTGAAATATAACATTAATTACATACAGAACTTTGAAATGTATCAAAAGCAACAATATTTTATGGTTATGAGTATTTGAACTATGTACAGCATATAAGAGAATTTGTTTTTCTGGATTTTATGCAGATTTTAATGCAGTTTTTTGGTCATATCTTAAAATTCCACCTAACCAATAATTACATTACAAGTTTCTCCACAAGTCACTGGATACTTATCCCACATGATTTCTGAATCATCAGAGAGGGACATATGATCATTACTCTCAATGCCTGATACCAACTGTCACCAAGAAATCACGTTTCACCAGAGGATGAAACCATGGACCCCTTGATTAGTAATATAATGCTCTTCCTATAGAGCTAAATGGATGAACTAAAAGTGCACATGTACCTTATTTTGTGATCCCACAAGGCATGGAAACTGTGTGTGTTCTGTCATCTTATCTAGAAGTCTCAGTCCGCCTACATCAAGACCAAATGTGAAACCACCAGTTCTAGGACGTGATTCAAACATCATTTCTATAGCTGAACATTCTAACTCTAGTATACTGTAACTTTGTACATCTTCTACAATATAACATTATCATGCCATTTATTATCATGTAAAATTTCTTTAGAGGTTTTACAGATTACAAAACTTTAAATATTACAGTGTCAACAAAAATATATAAGAAGGTAGCAGTAGCCTAGTGGTAAAGGTGTCTGCCTCTTAGCCCGGTCAACCATGGGAGCATAAGTTTAAGCCCTATGGAGACCATGATTCCTAATTATGACAACTGTACTGAATGCCAATTTTAGAGGGTTTCAAATAATCTTCAAACTTATTCACATTTGTCCTTTTTTTGAAGCAAATTATTTAGTTTAACAAAGCTATCACCAGTAAATATGTAACACAAATTTCCTAAATAAAAACAGACTTACGAGATTCAGACATAGTTTTATTCCCTTGTACTTTGAATGAGCCATTATTCAAACAAAAATTGAGTTTAGCAAACACAGCATCTCTCTTCAGTACAGATTTATCATCTTCTCCATCTCCTAGTACAAACTCTACCTCATCCCTCAACTCTTGTTCTGTAATACAAATTTGTATATCATCTTTAATCTACATGCAATACAAGAACCTTTTAACATTATTTCTTTGACAAAATTTATCTTTTCATTCTGCTTTTATATTCACAACAAAGTTGATGTTGATTAGAAAGACATCATAGCATACATAGTGTTGGTATTTGAGCCAATAGTAAACACTTATGACTTTAATTCTCATACATGGTGTATATTTTTTCTTATAAATCACTTAATTGTGTGAATTTCATAAAGTCTCAATATTATATTCTATAACAATATTTCTAATATATGTTCATACAAGGTTAGCTTTTAAAAAAGCTAGTAGCGACTCGCTTCGTAATTTTATTCCAAGGGTGTGTTTAAATGTAAAAATGACAGTTCTGTACCTGAAGAGACTTCAGCGAACATCAAAATAAAAGTGACATATAAAGTTACGGAAGCCAGTTCTCTCAGTTTAACAAAGGGGAATATGAGTATATATGAAGATGCATTACAAACAGATAGAATGAAGTCCGTATGTCTATGCACATTTACTATATGGCCTGTTGACCTTGACCAAAAAGTGTTAGATAGGTAGAATTCATAAAGATAACTCTTTATACGAAGTTAAGTTGTAATATGTTATTTAGTATTGGAATGAGTGACAAACACAAGTCCTATACAGGAATATATTACTGAAGAACTCTCTTTGGTGTGGGCGAATTAAGATTCATGGGGCATGATTATTTGATTTGTACAAGTTCTCAAGTCTCGTAAATCCCGGTCAAAATAGACCGGGAGAGACCGGAAGCGACCGGACCGAAGAATAGTATAATTATCCCAGTAAATACATACACAAAATACTGGAAAGGATAAAATTACCGGAAAAAAAAGAAAAAGAAAATATGCACAGAACCAGATGTACACTTATGCTAATTAACCAATTAATTGTTAATTATTTAATTTACTACAGAGAAAACAGGTGAAATCGCTAAATCAAAAGTCTGTGTAAATATGATTTATTGAAAAGAATTCATGAAAACAAATATTTTAATCATCATTATATCTTTGCGCTAAAACCAATACTTGCTGCTTTTTCAAAATGGCGTGAAAATTGAAGGTTTTTTGACGCTATGTAAGATCAAATTTGATTGGCTTAATTATTTTGGATTCCAGCCCAGACAGATAAATTTTGTAGAAAGCTGGAAGCCAAGCTTAGATTAAATTTTTGGATGGATTCGGAGTTTTAGGTTGTTTCTTAGTAAAATCCTTACGTAATACCGGCTCGCCGTGGCGAGCCGGCATAATTATATAAATAGAAAAAAAAATAATTATTCTCAAAAAAAGAGAAAAGAAAAAAAAACTTATTTGCTCTGCATGTGTGAAACCCTTTTTGCAAGAAGACATTTATCAACTCATAACACTTAATTCTATTCCAGTCAAAAAAAATATTTTTTTCACTACAGTTAGTAATTGAAAATGAAATGGCATAATTACAAACCTAGCTCAGACTTGGATATTTTTACAGGAGGTTCATCAGTTCTATCAACATTATCTCCTTCATCTGGTACCATGCTGGTATCAGATCCTTGCTGGGAACCATACCATCCTCCCCATCCTGGGAACCAGCGCTGTAGTAAAGATTTATCTTCAGGAGGGCTATCAGCTGATTTTTTGGTACCAGGCTCAGGTTCAGGAGAGGGTGCCTGCATTAGCAAATGTAAAAAAAACTTTAATACCATGTTAAATGGATACTTTAAAAAGTTTTTTCCACCCAATTCTTGTATAATATCATTCACAATAAAGATAACAAGCATACCTTTAGCTTGTAAAGATTTCCACTCTTGCAATAAAGCTATATTTAAGAAGAGGGAACACAATGCCATGTGTATATACATTTAATTTAGGTTAATATTTGGTCTTCTATTAATCTATTGTAATATATATAATATTTTGAGTCTATTGAGCTGACAATATGTATATATGTTTAAATAAATTGAAAACTTTTCATTATCTAATTAATATATCAATTACATAGTATGTCATATATCAGGGAAAAAAAGAAAATAAAAGGCCAGACAAAAACAATAAAAGTCAGCATAGTATCTTTAACACAAACAAATGTTTAAGCACTAATAAAACTATTTTTAACAACATATTAATTTTAAGAAGATATGTTCAAATTTCAAGCTTTACTGGAAAAGGAAGACCTCAGGTGCTCCTTTGTACATTATTTTAGAGATGAGAAGACATGCAAGTAAAACTTCCTGGACAACATCCTCACATGATAGGATTGACAGTCCCAGTTGGAATTCAAACCAACAGAGAAAATGGGCAAGTGATTTGAAGTAAGCAAATTTAATCACTCAGGCACAAAGGCCTTGTCAATCAGTATTAATCAGTATAAAGAAAACATGAAAACCATTATTTTACCTTAGACAGGACACCTTGTCTGATCAACTTTCTTAAAACATATTCTCTGATTATCTTTATTTCATCAAATGTCCATTCTTGCTCTATCTCGGCTTGTCTTTCCTGAACAATTAAATATGAGCCGCGTCATGACAAAACCAACATAATGGGTTTGCGACCAGCATGGATCCAGACCAGCATGCGCATCCGCGCAGTCTGATCAGGATCCATGCTGTTCGCTTACAAACCCTCTTAGAAGTAGAGAAACTGATAGCGAACAGCATGGATCCTGATCAAACTGCGCGGATGGGCAGGCTGGTCTGGATCCATGCTGGTCGCAAACCCATTGGTTTTGTCATGACAAACAATGTACAATAAAATAATCATTTAGAAGCTATAAAACAAAAACAATCAGGGTCAAGGGTTATAGAGAAATTCTCTCAGCTCAAACTACAAATCTCAGGTATTTGATTGGTTCAGAAACTGCCACAGAATGTACACTGACCAATGAAAATCCTGAGATTTGAGAGAGAATTCAGAAAGTTATATAACCTCTAGGCCAATTCCTCATATCAAATATATTTTAGAAAAGTAAAATTCACTTTTCATATGCATGTGTACAATACAAATCATACTCTAAATGGGGTATTTTTTATACACAACGAGATAGCAAATACTATGGGTAGACAGAATTAATAACAAATGAAGCTCTAAATACCACACTGATTCTTCCTCCATATAACATAACAGACAAAACAATGAAGAGAAAACAACTTACTTTTAATGTATTATCGATATATTCCTTCTTTAACTGAGATGTGTAAATTTTGATATAGACAACAATATCTTGAACCCTTGTTATGATAAAATCCTTTGTTAATCTTCTGTTTCTATCTTGTATTTGAGAAACTTTAGCTTTAATAGCAAACTGCCACCATTTCTTTGCACTGCAATACAGAAGACAAAAATATAATAGGAGGGGATCTTTTTTTAGAAATAGGAGAAAAATATATACATTTTGTAAAAAGGCATGGGGCCAAATTTCTGGCCCAAATAACAACTTCAAGAAACAATCCTGCGTGAATAGACAGATTCTTCTTTTTTATGAAAGCAATGTCTTTTTTTAACTTCTATATACATAACTTTAATGCTTTATAAGGGATTAATTATATTCTTTGGACTATTAAAAAAGATAAAACAAAAATAGGGTTTTGGAAATTTGCTTACTTAAACTGTTCCTTCAAAAAGAACTTAAAATATTTCTTGAATTCAATATGTGGGCCATCATATATACATTATACGTGTATAATTATGAATTTTGACAAGTACTAGATTTCAAAACTAATATTAGATATTTGAGTACACAGCAGTTTGAATATATTATCTTAACACTTACTTGTTTGCCACAGGGCAGTGCGGTCTCCATTTCCTAAATGGTTTACTCTTCTCATACTTCTCAAACTCTCTCAGTAACATGACAATATTTCTGTACTGGTTCTCACTTAGTGTAAAAGCCATGTTCTCAAGGTTCAAGTCTATATTGTTACGGGGAACCATCTTGTCACGAAGTGGGAGCGGTGTGGTAAAACGTTTCATCTTTGCTTTGGCTGACACAGGTGACAGAATATACTCATGTTCCTGTTGAAATATAAATCAGTATGTTACAATAAATACAAATATTAATCCATCACCTTGCATTTGCTGTCAGTATACATAAAGAGCCTGGGCTAACTGTCTATATACAGTTTGACCAGACTTTTTGCTTTTGGTTTATTTACTTTAAAATTCATCTTGATATTCTAAAAAATTTATAATTGGAAAGCTCCAAATGGAATGACAAGTCCATTCATATTTTCTGACAACAAAATGTTCCACATGCCAAATAATTTATATATTAAAATACCTATATCATTATTATAATATAAATGTACCTTTCAACAACACTTTGTTTTTTTAAGACAAATTTACATCCAGGACAATGTTGACAGGACATCACACATTATTCAGTACAACTTTTTTTCATTGAAACTAGACATGCAAAATTCTAACATTTACATTAAAAGCATTCATATCATTTATGTCAATTTTACAGCATACCTTGAATTGTTTTGTTATACTTGAAACATACATCTCCCTCTGTAAATTGTCCTGAAGTAAAAAAAAACATTTTTTTTACATAATGACAAATTATATTATATCTTCAGGGAATGAATGAGCAGATATTTTGAAAACCCTAATGAAAAGTTTAAGCATAATTTAACAAGGTGTTGTTTATTTTCTTATCATATATCATGTAAGTATCCTATAGTTTACCATTACTAATACTATACATTTGTTGCCTACAAGGTGTAATCAACAATTCTTTGTTTTACTTCAATTGCCCATTTTAAGTTAGAGTGGCTATTTAACTTATCAAATACATGGAGTATTAAATACTTTTGACAGTAGTGAAGAATTTAGTTGAAAAGAGAGAAAGGTTGAACTGTAGATTTCTGATGTTGTGACTTCTGGCCTTGTTCTTTACTGACACTTATTTTTTTTTTCAAATGGAGGATATTGAATGAGTGTAAGATCTACCCTTAATCTATTGAACAAGTTTTATAAATTAAGTAATGGATGTACATGAATATAGTATTCTATTTATCACAGACCCGAAATAAGATCTTTTTCTAGTAAAAAACAACAGCGATCAGTGATCACATGTGTCGCCTCATGATGGCCAATTTCATGTTGGGACAAGTTTTGTGACAGACGGACAGACAGACGGACAGTGCACAACTAGACTTGGTACTGGTCATTTCTGTAAAGTTTGGATGAAATTGCACAAGTAGTTTATGAGGAGTAGTACGGACAAGCTTTTGTGTATCTGGCAACACACAGAAAAAAACACCTTTTTATCAAAGGGCCATAACTCTGCCAAAAATCATTCAACCGGAAAACCTGTGCAATATGCGCAAGGACTTAACCTACAGATCAATCCTGTAAAGTTTCATTGAAATTGCATTAGTGGTATAAGAGAAGTAGTCCGGACAAACTTTAAAAATAAAAATTATTAAAGGGCCATAACTCTGAAAAAAATCATTGAACCAGAAAATGCTGACAATATGCACAACTAGACTTGGTACTGATCATTCCTGTAAAGTTTGGACAAAATTGCACCAGTAGTTTATGAGGAGTAGTACGGACAAGCTTTTGTGTATCTGGCAACACACAGAAAAAAACACCTTTTTATCAAAGGGCCATAACTCCGCCAAAAATCATTCAACCGGAAAACCCGTGCAATATGCGCAAGGACTTGAGCTACAGATCAATCCTGTAGAGTTTCAATAAATTGCATTTGTGGTAAAAGAGGACAAGTCCGGGCAAAACTTTAAAAATAAAAATCATTAAAGGGCCATGTCTCTGACAAAAAAAATTGAACCGGAAAACGCCGACGATATACACAAACAGACTTGGTACTGATCATTCCTGTGAAGTTTGGATGAAATTGCACCAGTAGTTTATGAGGAGTAGTCTGGACAAGTTTTGTGACGGACAGACAGACGGACGGACAGACGGACGACGGAGAAGTGATCCCTATATGTCGCCACTACTCCGTAGAGGCGACACAAAAAGAATCTTTATTTTTCATTCTGTGCCTATAGTGAAACATAAGCGTGATGTTTGTATAACTTGGATGAAAACATGTTGAAAGTTATAAGATTTGGTGTATAATGATTTTTATTAAATAGCTTTATTACACTCCTGCACTGTGGTTTAAGTTTTTTTTCATTGGGTTTTACGTCGCATCAACATAGTATAGGTCATATTGCAATCCCTGTTGAGATTCGAACCCACAATGGTGTGGGGCAAGTGGTTTGAAGTCAATGACCTTACCACTCAGCCATGAATGGCCCACGGTTTAAATGATAAAAGACATTGATTCAAATCTATACCTATAATATTACATAATTAAACATGATAAAAAATAACAGAAAATACAAAAATCATGTCACATACCGTCATTTTATTTTTAGGAAGATGTCCAACCAATGTAGTGTTGGTATCAAAGTAGATAGAGAAATTGTTCAAATCTACCAGCTTGTGCATAAGCTCTACATTGTCCCTGCTCACAAACTTCGGTGTCTATAATTGTACACAGTATCAAAACACATCAATCCACATTTATATCATATCTGACTAAAAACATTGTTACTATTCACCCTGTCCTAACAAACACTACAAAATAAAGGCTTCTGTGTTAAAGGGATTTTTTCATGTAATCTTCTTGTTTGAATTTTCTTCTACATGATTCTGATTTTTTTCCCAACAAGTCACTGTATATCACATGTTGTTTGTTTGGTTTATATGTTGATTTTAAAACATTTTTTGCTATATATCAGTGGTCTGTTCCCCTAGCAGGTGTTTTCCAGGATAACTAACCTGTAATTACCAATTTCTCCACAAGTGACCAACTACTAATCCCATCTGATTTCTGAATCAGCATTAAGAGAAAATTAACAAAGATCAATTGTCATGGTCAAAATTTTACTTTGTAGATAATGTTCACCCCTATTTAGATAAGTGATTGGACTGAATATAAACATTTTTTTAATTTCTTTTTGGTTTTTGTTGGGTCTTATGTCACATCAACACAGTATTGGTCATATGGTGACTTTCCAGCTCTACTGGTGGAGGAAGACCTCAAGTGCCCTTCCATGCATAATTGCAGGTACAAAGAGGCACGCGAGTAAAAACACTGACATTCTGTAAGCTAGCTGGATAGCTTCCTCACATTCAAGAATCCAAAATCCCTATCCAGGATTTGAACCCACAGCAGTTAGGGGCAAGTGGTTTGAAGTTAACAACCTTAACCACTAATCCACAGATGCCCCGAATATAAACATAAAACCATGCAATATTTATAAAACATTATTTTATATTAATCTTGATGCTCTATTCAAATATTTTATACATATGATAAATCAGTCTTACCCAAGATCCATCTGTACTTTGAGCACTTAGATTTTTGATGACAACACCAAATGAGAATGGACAAGTAGGATTGGTAATATCATCTTCATAGCGGATGTGCACATCTTTGATATTCAACTACATTAAAAAATAACATAACAGAGTGAGTAGTGACACAAAAAGAAAAGTTTGTTCAAGTATCATTTCACTTTATTTGATAAGAAATCTATGAAATTTGAATCAAAGTTGTCCCAATCATATCTTAAGTGATAAGCTATTCATCATTTCTAATGCCAAAATAGTGGTCAATATTTTCTTTTCTTTTTTTTATCCACACAAAAGCTGTAATATATTCAAATCATAATTGACTGGAAAGAGGTAAACAAACCCTAACATGTATTTTGGCCATTGAAGTTCTCATTTGAAATATATGGATATAATCAAAGAATAATCAATTAAAAAGCAATATTATCAATCAACGCTTTAGTAAGATAAATATGGAAGTTTATTCTAACTTTTACCTGTAAGTTTTCTAGAATGTTTGCCACTACAGAAGTACCATAAGAAAACCAGGAAGACTCTTGTTTCACTTCTTTTTGAACCTTGAAAAAACATAAGTTCAAAATATTAATTACTAATTATAGATAAAAGGAGTGACAGGAAAGGAGTTTTAGTGTGTGTTTACAATAACAGCACCTTCATGTATCTTAGATCAAAAATGGTAATCTAATCCAATGTTAGAGCAATCTGTATCAATATTTGTCAAGCAATCAAGTTATTTGTTTGCTTCCAACCTTAATTGTTAATAAGAATGATCTGTAGTATTACACATAATAATTTTCTCAGCTATTTCAAATACTTTTTTTTTAGAAATTATTGTTATTTTTACCATAGTATATATAATAATATAAGATATTTCTTCAGTTGTTTATGAACCAATTTTTATATTTATAATTAACAAAACTATCAACAGAACATAACAGTTATAAATAAATTTGAACTGAGATTTACATATTAAAATACTAAGCATCCTGGTGACCACTGATTCTCCCAATTCGACCATTGCAGACCAAGATCAGCCAGCACACAAGTACTGTCTCATCAAGATATCCATTGTTTGCTATTAAGTCAGTAATTATTTTTTAATTTTACCGAAAACTGATAAATGGTATTGTCCAACTTGAACAAAAGCAGTTGGTAGGACAGCAACGCTCGACTATTCTTAGTGCTTGATAGTAAAAAAAGCCTTGATAATGTAAAATTTTCTGAGTTAACAAAAGGGCAAAATTTTTCTTTAAATCCATGTTACAGTTATAGGCCTTGAAGAGAGTCAAATTATGCTCTCAAAGAAGAGTAAAACATTTCAACTTGTTTCCAAGACAGATGTCAATAGAATATGAAAATATCTGAGGTGGTATGCAAACTTAAATTTAAAATTTAAGTTGAAAAAGGGGCATAATTCTTTCCAAAGTTACCTCCTCCTGTCTACAGGTTGGGGTCATGAGGTTGAACAAGTGTGCATAGTTTCAAAGCCATATGTCAACGGACTTTGAAAATATTTGAGGTATTACAAAAACTTTAACGTAAATTCTAAGTCGAAAAAGGTGCATAATTCTGTCAAAATGCTCGATACAGTTACCTCTTCCTGTCTAAATGTTGGGGTCATGATGGTGAACAAGTGTGCAAAGTTTCAAAGCCATATGTCAATGGACTTTGAAAATATTTGAGGTATTACAAAAACTTTAACATAAGTGGTTACGCAGACGCCGACGCTCGGGTGACTACAATAGCTCTACTTATTGTTATTGAACAGTCGAGCTAAAAATGGATGAGATATTAATAACAGAAATTTAAGGAAAACTGACTTCATCTACTGTGAAAAAAGTTACTAAAATTACCTGTAATTTAGCTTCAAGAGCCTCAAGCATTTTATCTTTCCTAGCTGCCTCGCTTGCCTTTTCTTTTTCTTCATCATACTGTTTTAATAGATAAAAATAGATAATATCACACAAAAATATATTTGTAAATCATTCATTTGGTGCTCAGATATTGCTGTTTAATCTCAGGTAAGCAGTTTTTAATTTCAACAAAAAAAAAGTTTACTTTTTCAAGACAAAGTAATAGTCAAGTTGCCTTAGTTCTGAGAATCTATTCTAAAATTGTATATTAATTAACTATAGTAACAATGTTCATACTGCAACACAATAAATATCAAATTTTAATAATCTTATCCAATGAAAGTATCTGTGAAACTATTTAAATACCTCAGCATTTTTCAATGGTCCAGCAACAAGATATAATCTTTCTATAGAAATCACCCATGGTTCACTGTGTAGTCTACGTAGAGGAATTTGTAATGTGATCTTTCCAATAAAACCTGTACAAGAAATATAAAAGATAGAGAATGCATAAATACTTAGGGACAAAGATGGGTTTGTTTGTCACATAAAGAGGGAAAAAATGGTTTTGATTTTAATACTTATAGAGAAAGAGGGGGACTCCATTGTCAATTGGTAAAGTTCATTAAATTCAAACCACTTGCCTCTTAATACAGTTATTCAAATTTTTATAGATACTTTGGACTCATTTTTGTTTAACATTTAGCTACACAGCATGCTTACAGAGAAGGTTGCATAAAATAACAAAGTTAATTGCATATGAGCCACGTCATGACAAAACCAACATAATAAGTTTGCGACCAGCATGGATCCAGACCAGCCTGCGCATCCGTGCATTCTGATCAGGATCCATTCTGTTCGCTTCCAAACTCTATAACAAGTAGAGAAACCGATAACAAACAGCATGGATCCTGATCAGACTGCGCGGATGCACAGACTGGTCTAAATGCATGCTGGATGCAAACGCATTATGTTTGTTTTGTCATGACGCAGTTCAAATTTTCCCTGCTATCTTCCTCCCTGCAAATATTAAAGTATATAGAGGTGTTACAGAGACATGAAAAATCTATGTGAATACTTAATGTTAACCTACCTGACTTGACTTGTAGGGGTAAACCAAGACTTTTGAGTGCATCTTTCTTCAATGGCAAATTCTCTAGTTCCACAGCTCCTGATATAAATAGAAATACATGTAATAGTTTGTTCTAAATCAATCCAGATTTAATTTTTTTATGCACGTGAGTCCAAGTATAGTTCTCTTTTATGTTAAGGGGTGTAACTTACTGAGGGCTTCAAATAAGTTCCAAAATTTGGAAGCTAGAGGCTGCAAAATTTTTGATACTGGAAGTCATATTATATAGGTAAAGAAGAAAAAGGGTCATATTTTGGAAATCACAAGCCAAAATTAGGAGTAAATGACTACATAACTTTCACTAATGGAAGCCCTATTACTTTACATATCCATATTTACAGTAAAAAGAATCAACTATTTTCAGCCTTTTGAAATTAAATAAACTAAGATGGTGAAATTCTATACATTGTATATGTTATTAGCTCTTTTACACTTATCTTAATAAACTATAATTATATCTGGATTTCAGAGGGCTATATATATATGTTGGATGTTCAACTTCTATGGATATACTATTTTATGTGTGTTCAAAAGCTTTGTACAGGATTTAGACAAATGATGGGTGATCTAATACCACTTCTTATTGTGCTCAAAACACAGGATATTACCTTTAATAAACAATTGATTCCAACACTTTATAAAATTTCAAAATCATGTGCTCAAAATCTTTGTACTTACCCTGCAATAATGCTATGGACAGCTGATGTGTGTTCAAATTCTCTACATACTCCCCTACGTAGGTGTTCAAAACCCATGCTGCTAGTCCCTCTAACATTGTAGTATTTTATTATAACTCTCTTTCTTTTATCTCCTGCATCCTGTACAAAGAAAATCAAACACATCCTACATGTCTTTCATGTGCCATTTTTCCAAATAATCTATAATTTAGCATTATAAAACCAAATATAAAGAATTAACACTCACACTACCTTGAAAATTAGCTTAAATGCTTTATTCATATAAAATTTTTGTACTACTTTATTATTAGATAAATTGAACATTTGTTCAGGAGAAAATTTTGCAATGTTAAGTTATATCAGTTGTAAACAAATACTGCTAATGACTGCTATGACCTAAAGAAGATCTTTTTTGCTAGTAAAGAAAGTGTAAATTTCCATACTTCAGCCAATTAATATTTAACACTTTTTTCAATAAAAAAGAATATCAATATTTTATAACTTTTTCAACATTTTTCTTTCTTTCCTGATAAGCAAACTGCAATTCAACACTTTACTTTGAGTAACATGGAGATGAATGCAAAACAAATTTTTATACACAAGATATGTTAGTAAATTTTATAATAACTATATTTCTTCACTGCACTAGATTTTCACTCAAGCATGCATCCCCATTTAAAACATAATCTTTCTCCATCCCTTTAAGATATGCTCCCTCCCTTAATCATCATATTGAAATGCCCCCCCTCCCACCACCAACAGTCTTTTTTCATCTTAAATAACATACCGTAAAATTCCTAATAAACGCCCCTCCCCTAATAAAGCCCCCCAAGCCTTTTGATATAAGGAAAACAATCTACTCATCAGTGCTGAACTCATAATAACAGCCATAATTTTATTCAAATCATTCAGAATCCATTTTATTTTATAGAAAACACCAATATGTATAATATGATCTTTAAAACTTTAACACTTTTTAATGTTATTACCAACACTTGCTAACACTAAATGTATTTACAGTGATTTTTGGATTTAGGAAAAACTGTGTTGTAATAATAGCCTCCCTTTTGAAAAATGTTTAGCCCCCGGGGGCGTTTAATAGGAATTATATGGTACATGTATTTATTGAAGTTCCCAAATGATAAATAAAATCTAAATACTAGTAATATTATACAAGTCATTTATTATGTTTCAATAAATATATTTCAAATACTTGTGCCAATAAAAACAATATTGCTCGGCCATGCATTTATTTTAGTGCAGTGTCATATACATTATACAAATATAGCGCAAAGACGTGCTCAATATCTGTATTACAGTAAGACTATACCCAGTATATTTTAAGCATGTCAATAAAAAAAGATACTATTTTAACTTAAGTTAAACAATTCTTATTTTGCGATAAATAGAACATGTATACCTTCATTCCTGAATTTATTAAACTTGTTGACTAAAATATTTTTTTTGTTTGCCAGAGGCTTGTATTATTTTATTCAACTTGTTCAATAAATTCAGTATTGAACCTAACACTCATTCAATATCCTCTGTATACACAAATGATGTCACCACATAGTGACATACTTATAGTATTCACCACTCGGGCCACTACTTAAAAAGAATAAAACAATCTGTGAATTAATCAAATTTTTAATTAACAAAACCCCTAAATGTAGAAATTATTAACTTGAGACTAAAGATTATAAATAATTGATAAACATTTCAATCAAATATACATCTCACAGTCACTACTCTGCTTCAAGCTATTATGAACTGTCGGTTAAATTCTTAAAACCTGTCAATCAAAATTGCAAACTGTCTGAGGTTTACAAAAATAGTTATTTGAAAATTGATTTTTTTTTCATTTTATAAATATACACATCTTTAACAAAAGTTTAAAAAAGTGGTCATGATTTTTAGATTTGAAATTAAAATACAAAAAGGGTGTTCTTTCCTCAATATATACAAGGGTTAGCCTTTCACTTTTCATTGATTCCACAAAAAAAAGAATGTAATTTAGAGTACTTTTCTCATACTTTAAAATGATTGTTATTACAAGACTTGTTAATTTACTAAAATGACTGTTATTATTATATAAGACTTGTTAATTTACTTTGTCTGCAGGAATTAATGCTATTCAAACTGAGAGGAATTCAAATACACACATTATATTATTAATTTATATATTATATTGCAAACATTAAAGGGACTCCACTGAATTTTTTTTTACATTTGCAAAAAAATGAATGAAAAATTCAAAACAAAGAAATGAAAATTTTGCCTGTGTCTCTCTTCAACTTGATGTTCCTTGAAATAAAATCTTATATCATTAATTATAACAGAGTGGTCTGATCAACACTTGGCATAGACCAATTAGGTTGGCACAAATATAATGATTAAAAGAATATCTTACTAAATGAAGGCATTACACTGGAAAACCATTTTTCTTTCACTCAAGTATCCTTTAATCTAAAATTTTATAGTTCATTAAATTTCCTGCATGGTCATGTGCCTTACCACAGCTGCCAGACTAAAGGGAAGTAACTCTAATCTAGCAGATCTGATAAAATGGCTGAAATTTGACTGCTAAGCAGGCATGGGTATAGACAAAATTTGGTTACCAATTAAACAATTATTAAAGAAAAATTCACATTTTTTCTGTTTCTGTATTTGGTAAAAACTAAAAAAATTTTACAAACAATTTTTAATGTACATAAATTCTATATAGCTGACCATCACCTACAATGTGCCGACCACTGTTTTAGTTAAACCTTAAGGACGTTTTCGGGAGTTTTCATAGAGACATATTGGCAAAATTAAAACTGTTCCATAGAATTTCTTTAAACTTGGCATGTTGTTAGAATATGATAACAGAAACATTTTGAGCGGAAAAAAATATGGGTCACCGTTCTAGTTTTTGAGTTATCTGCCCCTGAATCAGACTTTTCTACTTATTTGAGGTCATTTCAAGGGCCGATAACTTATACATACTTTAATGTATTCTTGTTTTTAACCTCTGGATTATGTTCTTTCTTTTTATTGTTGAGTACACTACATAATAACATGCAATTCCTTACATCGTTTCTGTTAATTTTTTTCAATGAAAATAAAGGTACTTTAAATTCTAAGAAAAATGCCATCTTTTAAGAAAAAATGCACAGGTTAAAAGAAGAAGAGGGAATAAAAACTACCCACTCTAAATTTGTTCTTGAAATTTTGCATATCAACTAAAACGAAGGTAAGCTTCATGAAAATAAGAAAAAAAATTGTATTGTTACCCTTCATTGTAAATTATCTGCCCTTGAATTTAACAAAAAAGTCCAATTCAAGGGCAGATAACTAAAAAACGAGTATGGTGACCCCAATTTTTTTTTTCGCTCAAAATGTTTCTGTTAACAATATGCCAAGTTTAAAGAAATTCTATTGAACAGTTTTAATTTTGCCAATATGTCTTTATGAATACTCCTGAAAACGTCTTTAACAGCACTCATTCTACCTATTCTTAATATAGCTCAAACACTCTAAAACTTCATGCTTGTTTTTACTGAAACCATTACCAGGAATTTCATAACAGCACAGATTACCCTCGAACTGAAGCAGACACATTCATAAGATTCAGAACAAATTTTTTTTTCAGAACATTTGTTACAATTTAGCGTCACGCATTGACCTTACCACTTTAGGTCTCTTTAAAAACTTTTCCTAAACGGTGAAATACATTACTCTGATACTCATTAGATTATTTCACCTCCCTGCAACTGTCTCAACAGATATCTCACCCTACTTTTAGGCCAGCTAACAGAACATTCAAAATCCATGATACATTTCATGATATTAAATGTTAAATGTATTTAAAGACTGATTTCAAAACTAGGGTCAAACACTGACATATATGGCACAAAAACACAATTATTTTTCACCCCCACATGACAAGGGATACAGGGATACAAGGGTTACATAAGGTTACAGTGGGATACAGTGAATTTTCATCATGTTACAGATATTTTTAAAATTAGATTTTGACTTTTTTGTTATTTATTTCACCTAGAGATATTATTTGAATTAAAAAAAAGAGATCTAATTTTACTTATAATCGATAATCCATTAACATTACCACATCAAAGGGGCTTGTTAGCTGAGTAATTAGTGAGCAATGGCCTTAGTGGATACTAATTATTTATTGAGAAAGATAACAACAAGAGGGCCATGATGGCCCTGAGGTCGCTCACCTGTATATAGCCCCCCCCCACCCCCGGGCCAATTTTTACCCAAGGGCTTTTATTTGTTTATTTAAAAAGACTTGGTAGACACCCATAAGAAGATGTTTCATGCTAAACATCTAAGTTCTAGCTCATTGGGTTTTTTAAAAGAAGATTTTTAAAGTTTTTACTAAAAACAATGACACCCCTGGGGCAGGGCCAGTTTTGACCCCCGGGCTTTTATTTGAACAAACTTTGTAGACACTCATTAGAAGATGTTTCATGCTTAATATCTAAACTCTAGCTATTTGGGATTTTTCAAAGACGATTTTTAAGTCTTTGCTATACACATATAAGGAAAATCAATGACCCCCCCCCCCCGGACGGGGCCAGTTTTGACCCCAGGGCTTTTATTTGACCATACTTGGTAGACACCGATTAGAACATGTTTCATGCTAAATATCTTAGCTCTAGCTCTTTGAGTTCTTTAAAAGAAGATTTTTTAAGTTTTTACTATATGCATATAGGGAAAATCAATGACCCCCTGGGGCGGGGCCGATTTTGACCCCAGGGCTTTTATTTGAACAAACTTGGTAGACACTCATTAGAAGATGTTTCATGCTAAATATCTTAGCTCTAGCTCTTTGGGTTCTTTAAAAGAAGATTTTTTAAGGTTTTTACTATATGCATATAGGGAAAATCTATGACCCCCTGGGGCGGGGTCAATTTTGACCCCAGGGCTTTTATTTGAACAAACTTGGTAGACATTCATTAGAAGATGTTAGAAATTCATTAGAAGATGTTTCATGCCAAATATCTTAGCTCTAGCTCTTATGGTTCTTTAAAAGAAGATTTTTTAAGTTTTTACTATATGCATATAGGGAAAATCAATGACCCCCTGGGGCGGGGCCGATTTTGACCCCAGGGCTTTTATTTGAACAAACTTGGTAGACACTCATTAGAAGATGTTTCATGCTAAATATCTTAGCTCTAGCTCTTTGGGTTCTTTAAAAGAAGATTTTTTAAGGTTTTTACTATATGCATATAGGGAAAATCTATGACCCCCTGGGGCGGGGTCAATTTTGACCCCAGGGCTTTTATTTGAACAAACTTGGTAGACATTCATTAGAAGATGTTAGACATTCATTAGAAGATGTTTCATGCCAAATATCTTAGCTCTAGCTCTTATGGTTCTTTAAAAGAAGATTTTTTAAGTTTTTACTATATGCATATAGGGAAAATCAATGACACCCCGGGGTGGGGCCAATTTTGACCTCAGGGCTTTTATTTGAACAAACTTGGTAGACACTCACTAGAAGATGTTTCATGCCAAATATCTTAGCTCTAGCTCTTTGGGTTATTTAAAAGAAGATTTTTTAAGTTTTTACTATATGCATATAGGGAAAATCAATGACCCCCTGGGGCGGGGCCAATTTTGACCCCAGGGCTTTTATTTGAACAAACTTGGTAGACATTCACTAGAAGATGTTTCATGCTTAATATCTAAGCTCTAGCTCTTACGGTTCTTTAAAAGAAGATTTTTTAAGTTTTTACTATATGCATATAGGGAAAATCAATGACCCCCCGGGGCGGGGCCAATTTTGACCCCAGGGCTTTTATTTGAACAAACTTGGTAGACACTCACTAGAAGATGTTTCATGCCAAATATCTTAGCTCTAGCTCTTTGGGTTCTTTAAAAGAAGATTTTTTAAGTTTTTACTATATGCATATAGGGAAAATCAATGACCCCCTGGGGCGGGGCCAATTTTGACCCCAGGGCTTTTATTTGAACAAACTTGGTAGACACTCACTAGAAGATGTTTCATGCCAAATATCTAAGCTCTAGCTCTTAGGGTTGTTTAAAAGAAGATATTTAAAGATTTTTCTTTCGGTTGCCATGGCAACCAGAGTTCTGCATGGAATTAAATTCTTTGAACAATTTTTAAAGGTGACCACCAAAGGAACATTCCTGTGAAGTTTGGATGAAATTGGCTCAGTGGTTTATGAGGAGATGTCATTTAAAGCAAAAGTTTACGGACGGACGACGGACGGACGACGGACGGACGGACGGACGCCGGACGAAAAGCGATCACAAAAGCTCACCCTGTCACTTTGTGACAGGTGAGCTAAAAACTTGATATTTTGTGACTTATTATAATGTTATAAAATTATTTTTAGACTATGCAGTCAGCATCAATTTAATTTTAATCTGGTGAAACATTGCACTGATTTTTTTCCTATGCAAAAACATACTTCAATAAGACACAGTCATGTAAGCTGTATTACAAAAGATAAAAAACTTTTTCCTCCAATATATCAATGTTTATTTCTGAATAATTTAAGTTCAACTTCATATGAACATATTTATTATAATTAGAAAAAAGATCATATTTTATTTGGAAATAATATAGATATATAATGCAGGATTCCCAGATTTTACTAATAATCAAATCACAGATCATTATCAGTATATCACCACTTCAAAGGGCCTCGTTAACTTGAGAATTATAGCCTAAGGCTTACGCTTGTTTATTGAAATTCTTGTGACCATAGATCATAAATCACAATTTCATAAAGTACTTCATATGCTGTAGAATAAGACATCTATTTTGTTTGTAGGGTTTTTTCTTACTTTTTTATTAATATCAATGTTTATTTCTGAAGAAAAAAATATTTTTTTCTCAAATAATTAAGATTATATTATTTGAGAAATAATGTATTTTTTTAAAAAAGGATTTAATGTGATCATCTATCACAATTTCATAAAGCACTTGTTAAGGATATTAAGATTTTTTGTTGCTTATTTCTCATTTCTAAGTAAGAAAGCTAAAGTTATTTGTTCATGTTTTTTTTCTTCTTTTTTTTTTAATTCTAATTAATTCTTATAATATTTTTAAATATTTGATCCATATTTAGGGCTGCATGCCAGTAAGTTGTATTTTTAAAAACCATTTGTGATGAACTTATTAATAAATGGTCGCTGTTTTTGTTAAATGAAGTGGACAGTTAAAATTTGGATTACAGAGCCCTCCCTTCATTGGTAAGTACTAATATTTCATTCAACATTTAGAGAATTGTTACATTGGATACATTTTATTTAATTAGGATAATGATTCAACTTATAAGCATAACCATTTGCTACTTATACTAATAAAAAGTGTTTCCATCTAATCTATCTAAATTTTAAAACTGTGAGTTAAATTATTTCTTGTTGTATTTTTCCTGGGAATAATGTGATAATTCTTAAACCTTTAACTTTAGTTTCAGTATGTTCAAAATGTAACAATTAAAATTTATTATTAAATGTCCCCAGATGACACTTCCTAGTAATTCACTCCTTAATGCAATTGATAACATAGAAGTAAAGATAATGGAAGGTAGAACAGTATATTAATTTGTATGCATATTTCTTGAATAATTTAAGAAAGCAGATGATGCTTGAATATAATCTTGTATGGTTATGTGACTTAATTATTCACAGTTTGGATCAGCATCTGTAGTAAATTATCTGAAAATCAAAAATTAAGAAATCTCTTGAAGTTATCTTATTCATAAGTTTAAAATTTATTATGAAAAAAAAAACACATATAGATAATGTCCTGTTCTGTTTTGCTCCAATTACACTTTACTAATTAAAGATTTAAACCAACCTGTGAACCCTTAATCTACTCTTACATGATTGACATGAACAAAACATTGTAGAAAAAAAGTAAATTCTATAGGCCTTCATATATTTCACACTCCTTGAATTTTTTAATGTCTGCCTCCTTCATAGAAATGAATTTGAAGCAGTATGCCTCCAGATTTATATGGCTAATTTTCATGATTGTCTTTTTTTTTGTATTTTAAATCAAAATTATGTGAAGTGAACTAAGTAAATAATTTACACATTGCAAACAGCACTTGTAGCAATCCATATAAACTACCAAAAATTGATAAAAAAAAGCAAAAAAACCCAACCCCTTCCTGTGTTAGTCGTGTGGAAGAAATATGGCGATAAATACTGCAAATTCAGTCCTTAATTGTAGATAACATGTAGATTGTAAATTATTACTTTAATTTTTAATGATTTTACTTTTCTTAAAATCTCCGGATATTTTTGTCAAGTTTAAATTTCTGAAACACTTTTGCTCATCATTTTGCATGCAGCTTTAAAGAAACAAAACATTATGTGTGACATATTTTATGAATTTTTACCAAAAAAGTTTTACAAAACTTTAAACTGTACATTTTATATGAACTGCAGTAACCAATGTAACCCTTGTATCCATGTATCCCATTCTTAACAGGGGTGAAAAAGAATTGTGTTTTTAGGACATATCTAAACACTGATGAAAACTGAAATTTCATCAGAATACTAAAATATAAGGAAAAGAGTCAACTCGGCCCTATACCAACTCGGCACGGGTCAACTCGGCACGGGTCAACTCGGCCCACTTTACAAAAATATATATAACGTATTAACTTTGCTTTGCATGTTTTTAAGGTAAATGAATAATGAGAAATATCTTATTATTATATAATCACACTTCTGCCGAAATAAGTACATTTAGAATTGTTTTTTATTTATTTGTCTTGCAGATTGGATAAAATTAATATAGATCTAATAAAAATGTGTTTCCTTAGATGCATTTTGTTTGTAAAGAAATATTTAAAAAAATGAAACAAAAACGTATTTACTTCATATCATAAGCTTCTAATTAATTGCAGGTGGATGAAATGAATGAATGAGTCAATCATAATTATCACCTAATTAATCGGTATCCTTAACATACACACTGCTTGATAATAATAGCCTGTAACAATATATATTTCAACACATTGTTTGACACTGAAGGTATTTAAATTTACGGTTAAACCTACGTTACTCGCAATTCTACGGATAAGAAAAGCCTGTCTGCTGCTAGTTCGGAAACTGTCAATAGGTGTATTATAAATAATTACAATAAATAGTGATATTAATTAATAAATATTAATAATTGAAAAGTGGGCCGAGTTGACCCGTGCCGAGTTAGAATAGGGCCGAGCTGACTCGGGGGCCGAGTACGTTTTAGGGCCGAGCTGACCCGGATTCAAATATAATATTACCCCACCCACCTGATATAAGCATGCATTTTTCTGACAACCTTCGGATGAAAAGGACATTGCATGAATTTATTGTTAGATTCATTCGCTTACCTTTTACTGTAACACCGAAATTCGTCTTAACTGAACAGATATATTAGGAATTTATATAATTGCGTTTGTTTCGATTTTCATTTTCACGGTCAAGACGGTGCACCGGTAGAAAATGTTTACTGTGATATTTACAGAGGGGTCAATATCTATAATGCAGTTGTCATCGCTTCCAGCGCGGCGTATTTTAAATTGGAAATTCAGGTGTGTCACATATTGACCGGGTTGTTTGAAAGTCGGCCAAATCTAACAACAAACCCAATGTTACTTGTTTAGGTCTAGATCTATATAGATCTACAACTTTCATAATTAATCATTTAAGTCCGATGATACCTTTAAAAAACGTTTATTTGTACATGTACAAACACTACTGTAGACATAATCAATTTACCTCTATACGCTTATAGTACTATATATCTTTTATATATAGTATTATAAGCATTTATAGATACATAGACTGTGTCTAGTGCCTTAATATATAGTATTATTAAGCTGCGGTCTCACTTATTCAGTGTGGCAATACCACGTGACATTGACGTCATTTTCGGCATCATTTCCAAGACAAATGTTGCTCGATTCGGAAAAGAAAACAGCCGTAATTATTTTATTTCTGTACCAATTTCTTTGGGATATGCACCAGTCTACGGGGAAAAATATAAGCTTTCCATAGAATATTGGATCTTCGTCAGTATATAAGCCGTTTTATCAAACACTTTGCCTAACCTTGGAAGTTGCTTGTATTAGAGCGGGCTTCAGTTGCAAGCTATTTCGTTTTCTGGCGTTATCTGGTCTACGCCATAATTAAAAAGTAAGGTTTACATCAACCGGGAGTACGGAAGGCAAAACTCTACCTAAATATGTTCATATTTTTATTATGAATGACATAAATCTTACATTTTACTTCAATTGTCAAATCTGGCACCAGTTTCAAGTCGAAAAAAAGGACTAGGGGAGACCGGGGCGTAATGTTACATGGGGTAAAGCGATACATTTAAATTTTAAAACTTATTACGTCACATATGACGTCATAACAATTGTAGTTTGAACGCCGATCGAATTCGTATTGTTTTCATACTACCTAAGCTGAAGCGGGACTTAAAATAAAGATTAAGCAGCAAATCAACACTTCTACTTCTACGTAAGTAACTTTTGACTATTTTTTTGAATATATTAATTTTTTTCAATTATACCGTTTGTGATGATATAGCCCATGTATAAAATTTACATAATACATTTGTCAATAAGTTGCACAATAAATTGTTATTCTGATTACCTCGGATTTTATCCAAAAACCTGCCTAGTCTCGGTGATATCGTTGGGGGCAATGTGTTACTGTATGTAGGGGCAAACTGTTACAGTGTAACATTATGCCCCTATGTTTTTATCGAACAAGAAAATATTATAAATAGTTCTTTCACAGTATCAAGGGAATCTAAATGAGTGTTTTTTTACAATCTCTACTTTAATATATAAAAAAATAAAACCTATAGATTTCTAACAAAATATAGTTAGATCTAGATTCTTATCCTGAAAAAAAAATAAAAAAGAAAAAAAAAAAAAAAAAACACAAAGAAACAGAAGAAAAAACAGTAAAAAGCATGTAAATAATAAAATAGGATATATACGTATTTATTTCATTATTTATTTATCAATTCAATTTCGAATTTATGGATTTTTTTTCAGAATGGTACGAAATTACAAGAGATCAACACCGCTATGTAAGGTTTCCGCAGATGTTATTAAAAGAGGAATTAATGATGTAGTCATTTGCGGGCGAAGTATCCGGTCTGTTGCCAATGAAATAAAGATGAACCCTATGACATTGTGTAGATACATTAAAAAAGCTAAAGAACTTGGAACAGATAATGTTGAGAGCTTCTCAGAACGATCTTTTAAGCCAGTCTTCTCTGACATTCAAGAAAACATACTGAAAAACTATCTCAAGACAGCAGCCAATGTATATTTTGGGTTAAGTCCAAAGGAGGTACGAATTTTAGCGTTTGAATGTGCTGATGCGTTTGGTATTGGTATGCCTGAGTCTTGGAAAAGAGATAAAAGTGCTGGACCCGACTGGTTCTCTGGTTTTATGAAGCGGAACACAGATTTATCAATCAGAACCCCTGAAGCCACAAGTTTATCGCGGGCGACAAGTTTTAACAGAGCTAATGTAAACCTCTTTTTTGATAAGCTTGCAGCTGTTATGGATAGAGAAAAGTTTCAAGCTAGTGATGTATGGAATTTGGATGAAACAGGGGTTACTACAGTACAAAAGCCACGAAGTATAGTAGCTACTAAAGGTGTGAAGCAAATTGGTTCTATTACGTCTGCTGAACGTGGGGAGCTAGTTACGATGTGTGCAGCTGTCAGTGCTAGCGGCAATACAATTCCTCCAATGCTCATTTTCCCTCGCGTTAAATTCCAGGACCATTTCATCCGTGACGGACCAGTCGGATGCATAGGTGCAGCGCATTCTTCAGGTTGGATGACTCATGACAATTTCTTGAAATTTCTGAAACATTTCGCTCATCACACCAAAGTAACGAAGGAGAAGAAAGTTCTCCTTCTTCTTGACAACCACGACTCACATCTTCATATTGATATTCTGAATTATGCACGCGAAAATGGGATTGTAATGTTATCATTTCCGCCTCATTGCTCTCATAAGTTACAGCCCTTGGATAGGTCAGTATTCGGTCCCTTCAAGAGATATTTGGCAAGTTTTCAAGACAGTTGGATGCGCAACAATCCCGGAAAAACTATGACCATCTACGACTTGCCATGTAGCATTAAAGAATGTTGGCCAAAAGCAAGCACTCCTTTAAATATTTTACATGGGTTCAAGGTTTCCGGTGTATACCCTTTCAACAGGAATGTTTTTAATGACTGCGAGTTTGCACCAAGTAATGTCACTGATCGACCAGCACCATATTCTATAGGCACGTCACATTTTACAAATCAGACAAGTGAAAGTCCGGAGCATCTTGCCACTCAAAACCAGTATGAAAATGTTGCTGAAAATCAAAGTAATGTTTTAATAGGTACGAACAATGACACAAGAACAAATGAATGGAAATTGATAAATAGATTTGTACAAGTAATGGGTAGAGAATTAAAACAAGTACCTGGAGATGGACACTGTCTTTTGCATTCAGTGCGAAGAGCGTTATCTGAAGAGAAGATTGCAAATATAAGCCATGATGAAATTTGTTTCAAACTTAAAAACGAAATAATTGTCAACAGAGGTTATTACACAGAATTTGCTGGTGGCCGCGATATCGTTTCTGATATTGAAAATTACATCACGAAAAAAGAGTTTAACAATGACTCTATAGATTTAGTTCTTGCAGCCCTATGCAATAGCTTTGGTGTTTCTACTATTATATACTTTTGTGTGCAAACCGAGGTGCAGATTTTTGCACATACACCCGGCAGAGAAGGGGTGATATTTAATGGTGACATTCATATAGCCAAGACTGGCCAAAACGGAAGTGCCCATTATAACTGCGTGGGGATTTGCCAAGAAAATATCAACAATACACCAAGTAGGACGCAAAGAATACAATCAAGCCAAGAATATGAATCTCCTCAATTCTCTCCAGAACATATAAGACCTCACCCAAAAGCAGCTCCAAGAAAAGGCACTGCTGGACGTAGAAAACGTAAAACAGCAATATTAACTTTCAAATCAAAGAACAGTACATGATAAACAAAAACAGAAAACAAATCTAAAAAGAAAATCAGTTAATAAGAAAAAGAAAGTGATAGAGTCCGATTCTTCCGAGAACGACGAGTGGTATTGTCTGATTTGCGTAGAGCCATATTCCAACAGTCGCCCCGGAGAAAAATGGATCAGATGTGTTACATGTAAAGAATGGGCGCATGAAGAATGTGCTGCTGTCTTAAGGGCCATGTTTTCACATGTCATAACTGTGACTCAGATTACAGTGATTGAAGTTGTCACAGTACTCAGTGTTTCGCCATAGAGGCTGTGACTGACATTTATTTATAGTTTCGTCTTGTAGCAATTATATTTTTAAAATGCATTCACACATTGTTATTTAGTTGAGCCTAGTCGAACATAATGATGAACTGATATGTAAGCGTATCATATTACCCCGTGTTATGTATAACTTTGCCCCAAATATCGGGGCAAAGTGTTACGGTTACTCATAATTTTTCATTTAACATCATTTACAAATACTTATAACATTGTTCAAATAAAATTCACTGATTGATTAAAGAGATGTTGTTTATTTTCAAAACATAGTTTATATGATACACACAATTATATTTAATCATTAAATATGAAAAATGAATAAAATGTAACGTTATGCCCCGGTTTCCCCTACAGTTTAAAGCCGATTTTAGAATCCGTTGCAAATGCGAAGCAACATGCCTACCGTTCTCTTTCTACAATTTAATTTTTTCATTGTTGATCTTTCACAGAGAGATTATGAAAAAAACTGATTGTTCCTTAAAGCAACAACACTTACTTGTATCGCAATAGTGCACGTCAAATCACGTAGATTTAGTCCTGTCGGAAAATAATGTTTGGTTTCGTTTTGAAGATGTTTAAAGTATTGCTCATCTTTTCCTATGTAGTTAAATTTGTTTTATTCTATTTTCACAATGGCGAAAATTGATAAGAAATATATGTGCTCTCAGTGAGAGAAAGAGTTAATATAAAAACACTTTTGTATGATATGGAAAGGGTTACACTTTAACGCGAGTGTTGTTAAGCTAAAGGTATTTTTCAGTTTATTCTGACAAACACTGACACTCGTGAATGTGACGAACAGGTTCTTCTGTCCTCAAAGAGAGACTTTTAAAAGGTATATTTTTTCTGGAATTGTTGTATAATAAAGTTCTATAGAGTTTGATAAACTAAAACACAATTTGAACTTGGAACTTTGCCTTGTAAATCTGATAGAATTGTTACTTAGTTGCATTGCTTATAATTCTCTATTTATCAAAAAGACCCAAAAATAGCCATGAATAAGAACGAGAATGGACGCCATGTGGAGTAAACAAAGTAGAAAATAGTTAACAGATAAATGATTTTACAAACCAACATCCATCGATCAAAATCAAAATTTCTTGAAACAAAACATTCAAACAAGACGGAAATAACAAAGAT